TATCAAGCCGATTATTAAGGAACAGACTAATTCCTGGAATGTATTCTTTCATTGTTGGGATGTTTGCTGGGATTTCAAAATAAATAAACCGATAACTGCACTAAAATGCATGCAGGACGTGTTTTATTTTTAATTCTGCTGATTTTTCTGTATGAAGCATATTTTCGCGCTAACAGGTTTCTTGACAACGCCTTTTTATGACATAAACAAAGGAAAAAGCGCGGCAGCTGCACGCAGACGCCCAAAAACACAATAAAATTCATCCCACTTTTATTATATTGTCTTTCTATAGATTCACATTTACATAACTCCATCTGTTGCAAGTTATGTTGAATTCATAGCAAGGAATCTGGTTTAACATGCAGTTACACTGCTTACACACGTATTCTGTTGAAAATCAGCCACGTGTTATTTGGCTGATTAGTGATGAGTGTTTAATCATTACCAAGATTAATGATTGGTGTTTAATCACTAATCTTGGCGCCACTAATCATGACATCATGATTAGTGTGTTTAAGCTATTGTTCATAGTATTATTAAAAGAATAAAATAATTTAGCATTTAAGGATTGCCTTTTCCCTGTTATCGACATCCGTTGTAGTTTAAATATACGCCTATTTGCTTTTGATCTAAGATAGCCATTTCTTACTAGTAACATTTTTCATGTTTCATAAACGTCCGTTTTAATTGTTTTGTAACCTCAGTTTTTCAGCAGTTTTGTAACTTTTGCAGGTTTGAATTTCCCGCAGTATTTGCACGTAGTACGTAAGGACGTTTCATCAGCTGATTGGCTGAGTTGTTAAAGGGGTGGCATGCGCTGTGCTCCTATTGGCTGGGAGAGTTCTAGCGGGAAGATTTCAATAAAAGAGCGAGCACACAGCAGAAGCCGCTCCATTCTCCGCTGTCTGTCTTTATGTTCGCTGCTTCTTAGTCCTACCTCTCTTAGTCTCTTCGGACGTTAATTTTCTTTTTTTTTTCTTTTTATTCTTTATATTTGTGTGAAACCGAAGCGTTAAGGATGCTGTCTGCGCGCTCCCCCCTCTCGGTGAAGAACCAACAGACTCTCAGCAGTCAGATAGACAACATGTCTCTGGACAAAGAGAACACGGTGAGAGCGGGAAAAACATGTCCGCCCGGATTTATTACAACATTTCTCTTTTAAAATATCTTCCTTGATCCTCTTTAACGTGTTTGTTCCTTTCCAGCCTCCCAGTCTGAACAGCACCCGCGTCCTGGCGTCCAAAACCGCCCGAAAGATCTTCAGTGACCCCGCGGTGAGTCTGGAAATGTTCCGGAGGAAGATCCGACTGTGATCCGGAAAGAGAGCTGGTTGGACGGGCTTACAGCCGCTGGTCCTGACGCCCAAACTGGAGGACGTTTAGGCGCCAGGACCGAAACCTCCCCCAATTTAGATTCGATCAGCTCATCTAATCATTAATTCACCTGCAGATTGATTTGTGTTTTACAAAATGTGGTATTTTTATTTCTTACACATTTTTGTTGTTTTTAAAGTAGCAAGATTTGGTCTTAAATGGAGTTATAATATTACACTAATGCATGTAAAGCGTATTAGAAGATGATGATTGTGCGCTGCATGAGGCTGTAGCTAATGATCCCTTGTTTTCCAGCCCAAAGCGGTGATGAAGAGCAGCTCTGAGGAAGAGGAGCCTCTGCTGAAGGAAAACCCTCGCCGCTTCGTCATCTTCCCCATCCAGTACCACGACATCTGGCAGATGTACAAGAAGGCAGAGGCTTCCTTCTGGACGGCAGAGGAGGTAAAAACCCTAAGAAACGGGTAAACATCCTGACTAAATTAATGCAATGCACCCAGAGCATGATGCTGCTACTTCTGGACATAGAAGTTAGTAGAATAAAATAGAATATTTATTCTACAGTGTGTGGCTCCTCTCCTCCAAACATGAACCAACAACAATCAGAATTTAAAGCCAATTTTATCAGAATGTCTTAATATTACGAAATGATTTTGGTCAGAAAAAGATCTGATATTAGCTGCTCAGTCAATGGGATTCGTTCTTCTACACATTAATTTTAAAGTCCTGCCAGTGAAAATCATTTTATAAATGATTCCCTCAGTTGTAAAACCAATACCAGAGTATGACCTCACAACATAGTTTTGTGTCTGAAAAATAAAACTACTCCTTCACTCTCCTAACACTGATTTCGTTGTCCTAACTTAAAAACTATAAAATCCCATCCTGGCTCTTGTAATCCAAGATGGCCGCCATAGTTGTGCTGACATCACTCATCACTTAAATATTCAAAAATTACATTTGTCCAACTCAACCTCTTTTTGAACTGTTGAGACTTTAAGCTGCTGCCCTTCACTAATTACTCCTCCTGTCTGTCCTGCGTTGCCGTGGCGATGTGCGTGCAGGTGGACCTGTCCAAAGACCTGCAGCACTGGGAGTCCCTGAAGGACGACGAGCGCTACTTCATCTCCCACGTGTTGGCCTTCTTCGCCGCCAGCGACGGCATCGTCAACGAGAACCTGGTGAGGAAGCCGCCGCCGGTCCGGCCGCTCTCCTCCAGCCCGACCCGTCCCGCTCACTGTTCCCCGTTTCGGCCACCAGGTGGAGCGCTTCACGCAGGAGGTGCAGGTGACGGAGGCCAGGTGTTTCTACGGCTTCCAGATCGCCATGGAGAACATCCACTCTGAGATGTACAGCCTGCTGATCGACACCTACATCAAGGATCCCAGCGAGAGGTGAGTGGAGCCAACTGGTGCTGCTGGGAGTTCTGGCCGGCCTCCCTCTGAGGCTGGGTTCACTGACGCTGCGTTCACTGACCCTCAGGGAATACCTGTTCAACGCCATCCAGACGCTGCCGTGTGTGAAGAAGAAGGCCGACTGGGCGCTCAACTGGATCGGCAACCGGAACGCCTCCTACGGTAACGCCGCCTTCTGTGACCTCACGCCGCCGTTGCCGTGGCGCCAATATTGATAAGCTCTGTTGTTGATCGCCCAGGAGAGAGAGTGGTGGCCTTCGCCGCCGTGGAGGGAATCTTCTTCTCTGGTTCGTTCGCCGCCATCTTCTGGCTGAAGAAGAGAGGCCTGATGCCCGGCCTGACCTTCAGCAACGAGCTCATCAGCCGAGACGAGGTGATTAATAGCCCATCGATAACCGATCGATAACGATGGCTCGGGTACTGACCGTCTCTGTGCTGCGTTCAGGGTCTGCATTGCGACTTCGCCTGCCTGATGTTCAAACATCTGGTGAACAAACCGCCGGCAGAAACCGTCACCAACATCATCAGAAACGCCGTGGAGATCGAGCAGGTGGGGAGGATTGGGACCGGTCGGGCCGGCTCCGTACCGGTCGGGCCGGCTCCGTACCGGTTCCTCTTTGGTTTATTTGATGGTTTCTATTATCTTTCCTTCCTTTTTTGCTAATTTAGGAATTTCTGCCATAAATTCTATAAAACTTGTAATTTCCAAACTTAGTTGAGCCCTATTAATTCTGGGAAGTTGAGTTTAAATGTTTAGTAGAGCTGTTTCTGGTTCTGTCGGGTCTGATGTTGGTTCTGGTTCTGTCGGGTCTTCCTGTTCTGAGCTCTGCCAGTGAAGCTGATCATGAACTGCGACATGATGAAGCGATACATCGAGTTCGTGGCCGACCGGCTGCTGCTGGAGCTCGGCTTCTCTAAGGTACGGACAGAACCGGGTCGGCTGCGGACCGGTTCCGGCGTGTGGTGATGATCCGCGCAGGGGTACGGACCTCAGCCGGTGATGGGGGCTGAGCGCTGCTGCAGGAGCCCGTCGGAGCGTGTGGTTCTGATGGACCGGCAGAGCGCGACACAGACGCCCTGTCTGAACGCGCCTCCAGTTTCCTCTGGGATCCTGGATTCTCAGCAGAGTGAGACCTCCTGTCCTGTTTCTGTCTCTGCAGGTGTACCTGTCCGAGAACCCGTTCGACTTCATGGAGAACATTTCTCTGGAGGGGAAGACCAACTTCTTTGAGAAGCGGGTCGGGGAGTACCAGAGGATGGGCGTCATGTCGGGTCCCACCGACAACACCTTCAGGCTGGACGCCGACTTCTGAACCGGGCCGGACCGCCTGAACGCTCCAAATGGACCTGCAGTGCCTGGCCTTGGTGAACTGAAGGTATCGGCCAATCAGAGCGCTGCAGCTCACCTGGACTCAACAATGAAACACATTCTCACCTTCAGTGACTTTTTCTGGACTCTTAACTTAATTCAGATGCTGGCTGTGGGGAGTTTTATATTTAATTTGTATATAATGTTGCCTTTTGTTTTGTCTTTTTGTTTTAATAAATGTTGTGAATATAAATGTGTCAGTTCTTCATTAAAACTATTTCTTCAGTTCAGGATCTTGAACACATTTTGGTTTTGGTTGGTTTTTCTTCCATGTAGGGGTCAAAGTTAATCATAAAGGTTAATTTTAGGTTATTGGTTAAGAACGTTTCAGGTCTGATCAATACTTTCTAATTGAAACGTAGTAATTCAAATAAAGGTATTAATTATAATCTGAGCAAAAGGGATGCAGGGGTGTCAGTATTCAGTCCTGGGGGGCCTGCTGTCCTGCAAGTGTTAGATGTTCCTCTGCTGAACCACCTGAATAGAATAAAAGGTCATTAAGGCTTTGGAGAACAAGGAGGAGGTAATTAAGCCATTTCATTCCTGTGTTTTGCACCGAGGGCCACTGCAGGACAGCGGCCCTCAAGGACTGGAGTTTGACACCCCGTAGAGATTAAGAAGAAGGTGACTGGATTGAATCTTTAGGTATCCCACATGTGACTCTTAAGCTTTTTGTTTGACTTGGTAAAATTATCATTTTCTCGACTTTTAGTGTTTGCAGCTCCTGGATTTAATACTGGAGAACTGGTTTTAAAATAAATGTGAAAGTTGGACTAAATGTATGCCTTTTACTTATCTAAAAACGTTTAGTTTATAGATCATGTAGTTTACGACTTGAACACACCGCCGCTCCTTTACCATGTGATCTGTTACGTCATACAAGGAAGTAAACAAAGAGCTGAACGTTTCTCATTAACCGTTTGAACCCGTCAGAATGTCGATTTCTAACCCAAGACAAGTGTTTTCAAACCCGGTAAGATATTTTATTAACATATTTCAGCCTTTTGGACCCGAACTAAGCTTCACTTTTAAACTTTAATCCGTTTGTTTCATTTCGGAAGCGGGTGCTACTATGTTAGCTTAGCTGCCAGTCTGTCTCATCGGAACCAGAACTTTTTGAAATGTTTAGTTTTTTTAATGGCTCTATTTTAATCTATGCAGGCAGATAAAGTGAAATAAATTAGTTAATTTTGGTATTGTAAAAATAGAATAATGACGTCAGTTAAAATAAGAAACTTCAATAAGGAGGGAAATGTATAAATTATTAATAAAAGCCTTGGAGCTTTTATAATTTCCAAAATCTTAAAGTGATGCAGAGCATCTCAAAACAAGAGTGTGCAAATACTTAAGGATTCAAAATCTTTATTCCAAATCTTATCTAAATAATGGGAGTTTTTTCGGTTTTGATGTAAAATAAATATTTGCTTCCATTCAGAGTTATTACATGAAGTGTTTGTAAAGAAGCTGAAAAATGTGGCAGATGTTCCCTCATTTAGTAAAGTGAATGCATCTTTGGTATCCGGAGCTGAAAGTCTTGTTTGTTCTGTGAGATCATAAGACAACAGTTTTCCCTTCCCTGGCCGACCTGCTGTCATGTGAGTCTGGTGGCTTCCGGCTGTTTCTGTGTGCAGCTCATTGTGTTTTCAGCTGAAAGTATTGAAAAACAAAACAACTTTCATGTCTGGAAGTTGATTTTTCATCAGAAAGCTGAAACGTTTTTCTGTCTCTGTTCACAGTTGATTCCTTTCGCTGGCACCATTCTGGGTGGTTTACTGCCCGAGGAGATGGTTCTAATCCAAGGTTCGGTACCATCTGGTGCTGACAGGTGATAACGATGTTTATTTATATTTCCTCAGGTTCAGGTTGATCTCTAATCCAACATGGTATTTAACAGAAGCTAAAGCAGCAAATTATATCATGTATAGATTTATAATTGTATCTTCTCTTATGTTTTACATTGTTCTTGTATATTATTTGTTTTAAAGTTAGTTATAGGTTTAGAATTTATCAATAATAATTAATTTAGGCAAAGCGAAATGTGGCTATGTAGCAACCCCGAACAGGGACTAGAACTTGCAATCCAGAAAAACTACCTTAGCAACTATGTTTTAGATTCCTATTCTAAAGTAAAAGCCAGAAAAGGAATTAGACCAGATATTAGTTACACTAAATGCTATCAGCATATTAGCAGACGTAACCACCATTAGATCTGACGCCAACGAGGAAGCTTTACATTTAATATCAATCCAGTCTCAGTCATTGGACCGATCCCGATATGTTAAGAATTACCGATACTGATATTAAAATTGAAACATTGTTCATTTCTGAATGAAATGTTTTTCAGTTAGTTTTGTCTGCGACTGCTCTCAGGTTCCAGGTGGATTTTACGTGCGGCAGCAGCGTGAAGCCGCGGGCCGACGTGGCGTTTCACTTCAACCCCAGACTGAACAAGAAACGCATCGTCTGCAACACGCTGCAGAAGGAGCGCTGGGGCAGCGAAGAGATCCTGTATCAGATGCCTTTAAAAGTCGGAGCTGCATTTGAACTCGTCATCCTGGTCCTGAAGGACAAGTACAAGGTGGGAGACACTACAGTCCTCACAGCTGTTTAATTATCTAGAAGACTTTATCTAGAATATGTTACATTAAGTAGAGTGAAAATGTCAATATATAAACAAAAAAACCTTTTGAATATTTTCTCACACATCGTCTGGCTGTTAAATCCTTCAGCAGTCGAGTTCAACCATGTTGGTGTAGCAGCTAGCAGGTTAGCTCTGCTGGATGAAACCTCAGCTTTTGTTTTTATACAGAATGTTTCTAGATTTGTCTGAAGTTGACTTTTGATAAATTAAAACTTGCTAAATTTGTTGCTGGTCACTTTTTTCATTAAAAACTCGCAGTTTGTCCCTAGTAACTATTTTAAAAAAGTCACCAAATGTATTACTAATTGATTTTTTTGAGACGTCATTTGATTTGTTGCTAGTCGCATTTTTTATGAAAAAGTTGCTAAGTTAGCATCAACTCCCTCCCTTGGATCTTAGATTAAACTGTTCAGTTTCTGTCTTTTTCTCTGCAAAATGAAACTTCAGAATGAAATAACTGGATGTTTTTATCAACACTGGACATTCAAGCATCCCAGTTAGTTCTGGGGTACCACAAGGCTGGGTGCTCGGTCCAGTTCTCTTTATCTGGAAATAAAGTTAGTAAAATAAATGGGATGATACTTTTTGTTTTAGTCAGAAGATAAAAATGATGTTTATTTGTCGTTAAGGTTGCGATAAACGGAGCGCACGTGTTGGAGTACAAACACCGCGTGGATCTGAACCGGGTCGACACCATCCTCATCTCGGGGGCCGTGGCGGTTCAGGCTCTGGCCGTTGTTCCTCCTGCTTCTGTAAGTTGATTTAGACATTGAGTCGTCCAACCAGCCATCCAACGAACCAGCCATCCATCCAACATGTCTGTCTGTTTCAGAGTCCTGCCGCTCCTGCTTCCAGTCTGACCAGCTCAGCCTCTGAGGTAAGCAAACAGTTTGGAAACGTTTTTCCACTTCCTGTTTCAGATTTTAATGTTTTTTCTCCCTTTTCCAGGCGATTCTCTCATTCAGAGATCTGGTGAGTTTTTCTGCTTCACTTCCAGTTGAAAAAACAGAAAACTGATGTGTTTATGAATTCCTGCTCATAAATCTGTTTCTACCTGAACCTTGTTCGGCCCTTTAGTCGTCGACTCACCTGAATGAAAACAGAAAATTAACCCGCATCTCAATAAATCAGAAAATTATTGAAACATTTATTTATTTCACGGTGATTGGTTTCTTTTGGCTCATTAATTTCTTATTGGCCTACAAATAAAACATGCAAACCCAAAATTCCGTTTTCAGGCTTCAGAGGCGTAAGTTATTGAAATTTTATTTTTCTTAGTCACTAAATATAGTGAAAGATTTTTTTATTTCTTTTTCATTAATGCTTTCCCATTTAATATTAATAAATGTTTTGAATTAAATTTGGATAAAGTTATTTTAAATTTGTTGTTGAAAAGGTAAATTAAACATTTCAGTATCTATAAATTTCTATCTATAAAATATCTATAGATTTTATTAAATAATTTAAATAACTTGATGATTAAGGTCTGAGTCTTGTAATAGTTTTAATGAACTTATAATTAAAAGTCACTTAGCAATATTGAGATTATTTCTGTTGATCTCAGAAAGTTCCCTTCAAAGGGCAGCTGGAGTCGGGGTTAAAGGTCGGACGCAGCATCGTCATCAAAGGACAGACGAGTCCCAATGCAAACAGGTAAGAACACCTGATGATGTCACTGACTCCGCCCCCTGCTGTAGCTTGATTCATGTGTGATGTCCAGTTTCTGCGTCAACCTGCGGGACGCCAGCGGCCGTGACATCATCGTCCACCTGAACCCCCGCCTGGCCAAACGGGTCTTCGTCAGGAACTCGTTCCTGTCCGAGTGCTGGGGCGCCGAGGAGTCGGACCTGGAGGCCTTCCCCTTCGCGGCGGGGAAGTACTTTGAGGTGAGTGTCCCTGTCGACCGTCTGGGTCCGGCCCGGTCCGGTTCTGAGCGGCTCCGTTCTCCCTGCAGATGATCATCCGGAGCGACACGCGGCACTTCAGGGTCGCCGTCAACGGATGCCATCAGTTCAACTACAAGCACCGAGTCCAGGACCTGAGCGCCGTCCGGCAGCTGGAGGTGGTGGGAGACGTGACGCTCATGGAGGTCCAGATGACCTGACCCAGAAACACAGAACCGCTGACCGGAGAACCGGGCTGTCCAAACTGGCTCAGGCGTTTCGGACCAGGGGGAATGAGAACGGGAGCAAAACGCAGCCAGAAAACTCAGAAACATTCTGGAAACTAAACTGGAAATTTCTAGAAAAACATGGAAATTTCAAAAGTTGGGCATTTATCAGTAAAAAAACAAAAAATTTCAATTAATGTCAAAATATATTTTTTTTGAAAAAATTGGAAAATTTGACTTTTCAAATTTTTTCATGTTTTTCTGTGAATTTCTGATAATCTGAAAATTCAAACTGAGTTTTTTGGTGTAAATCTATTAATCCTTTTATTTTCTGATCATGTTCATCGGTGTTTCTATTCTAATTTATTAATATTAAATGGGAAGCCATTAATGGAAAAGAAACAAAAAAATCTCACTATATTTAGTGACTTTTTTCATCCTAATTCTGAATTAGGATGAAATTATCACAGTATCTGCAGCCAATATTTACTTTCTTCAAATAAAAAATATTGGCTGCAGATACTGTATAAATAACTTGCATCCTTCTGCAGCACCAATCCGTCTGTTTTTGAGTAATTCTAGGATCTGCTTGGATCATTGAGGAGGTGAAATAAGTTTTTGGCTTCTGGTTCTGGTTTGGATGACAGAAGTTTGGACATCCGGCCTGAAGCATGACTGACGCCTCTGATATTAACATTAATAACTGCAGTGATATCTGCATCAATGTGGCGGATTCCAGGCTCAGCGTGAAATAATCCTAATGCTTAATTACTTATAACATTGAATGTTGCATTACTGGCCTCTTAAAGAGGAAGATAATTGTTTTTTTGCACTTCAGGATGTAAAGATGTAAAAAGAAAAGATGGTTAATTCATGTGGATTGATTTTGGTTTTAATGTTCTGACTGATGGAAAAGTAAACTACTAAGAATTAACAACAACCTTATGACTGTTTTTTTTGCACCATACTGTGCCGGATCGGCCCCCACCTTCCTGCTGGAGGAACAATATCCACTCACTACGATGACCAGCTTTGGTTTTACCTGGCAAGTTGTGATCATCACACACAAAATGTTAACTTTGCGCCTGATATCTAAAAGATAAAGAGACGCAGTGCTTCGCTGCCAGTTGTCAACACCAGCAAGATATTAAACGTTTTAGGAGAAAATAGCGAGACGTGGTTCAGCTATTAATAGCAAAACAAGCTCAAAGCATAAAAACATAAAATGTTCTGCTCTTTAGAAAATGTTTGTTTTTCTGATGCTGAATCCTGATGCATTAGTGACGTTTCCAGTTGCTATGGCAATGAGCAGAGAGCGATTTAAAAAAGTTTTATATTTGTCGTCATTCTTCCCTTTGCTGCAGCGCTAAATACCTGATTATTAACAGAACTGTTCTATACAAAAGCTTCACTCAACAGTCCAAACTGGCAACTTTTATCAGAACTTCATGCAAAACAAAACTGAAAAGTTTATTTATTTTATTCTAAACTACAACGCCTGCATAAAGCAGACAAAAGTGCTTTCAATTTTTATAAAATACCTAAACAACCCAATGTACGAACTGTGCATAAATTAGCAGCTCATTAGTATCCAAGCATTCACTGGGTCAGAGGTCAGAGGTCGGCGTCCAGCCTGAAGGTGTTGTCGGTGGGACCCGACATGACGCCCATCCTCTGGTACTCCCCGACCCGCTTCTCAAAGAAGTTGGTCTTCCCCTCCAGAGAAATGTTCTCCATGAAGTCGAACGGGTTCTCGGACAGGTACACCTGCAGAGACAGAAACAGGACAGGAGGTCTCACTCTGCTGAGAATCCAGGATCCCAGAGGAAACTGGAGGCGCGTTCAGACAGGCGTCTGTGTCGCTCTGCTGCCGGTCCATCAGAACCACACGCTCCGACGGGCTCCTGCAGCAGCGCTCAGCCCCCATCACCGGCTGAGGTCCGTACCCCTGCGCGGATCATCACCACACGCCGGAACCGGTCCGCAGCCGACCCGGTTCTGTCCGTACCTTAGAGAAGCCGAGCTCCAGCAGCAGCCGGTCGGCCACGAACTCGATGTATCGCTTCATCATGTCGCAGTTCATCCCGATCAGCTTCACTGGCAGAGCGTCAGTCAGGAACTCCTGGACAAAATATTTCAAACTAAATCAAGTCGTACAAAAATAAAAATGGTATGTTAAAATATAAATGAAAGACCATATTTTCAACCAAAAATATTTTAAATAGCTTAAAGCAGATCTAATCCCAGTACAGCCACATGATCACTAATGTGTAGCCATGATAAAGGTTTATTATAGGGGTATTTGCTAAGCATAAGTTTTTTGCCTCTAAACTGCATTCGCCAAATCCTTGGTAGCCATCTTTCTTTTGCATTACAACTGATTTTTAACCATGAACTTCAGATTCCAACATGTAGGGTACTTCTAAACCTACAAGTGCTTCCAAAACAGCACAAATCCCCTAAAGATGGAGGGAATGTCAACAGAATCCTTCTCAGTTCAGACTCAGCAGAATCAAACCAAAGCTCCAAACCACGAGGCCTACAGCGTTAGCATCAAGCGTTAGCATCAAGCGTTAGCATCGCATCAAACCAGCAGCAGCTCCTACCCCGAGATGTCTTCTAGACCCATCGAACGGTTGGGTCTATCCGCCCGACCATTTGAATGGTCGGGCGTATCCCCCAGGCAGCTTGAATAGATACTCAGCTTGATTGTAGATCAAGCTAGGTATATCCACTATCGATGTGCTGTTAGTTCCAGACGCCATTTTTTATCCTCGGATATTTCAGGGATACCAGCAGCCAAACAAACCGCTGCTGAGATGCCATGGTGGGGTCGCTCTTCCCATGCTGCTCTGTTTAAACATAAAAAATGGCTTAAAAACTTCACCAGGGATAAAAACAACTTCGATTAACGTTTCCGAAATATAACTTACCGAATAACAAACGTAACGACTTCAACCATCGCGCTTCCGCGGCCTTCTCAAGTAGTCGAGGCTTTTCTCAGTAGGTCAAGTACGATGTCAGGTAGATCCGCAGAAGCTGTGAGTCATTAAGTGTGAGCGTCCACTAGGATTCAGAAAAGATCGTTTTAATCCGGGATCCAAAATGAATGAATATCAAAATGCTGTTTTTTTTTTGTTTTTTTTTTTTTTGTCTGTATGCAGCCAGGTGTTACCTATCTTACGGTGAACGCTCACGTCGTAATCGCGCAATAGTTCTGTCCTTGGCGCATGCGCCTCAGACTCATAGAAAACAAACATGGCGCCGTCCAGCAGTGGCCGGTTTTGACAAGTTTCAAGTCCAAATACAATGTAAAACTCCCCAAACCTCCCAAACTAAAAAAGCAGTCTGAATCTCAACCTTTAATAAAAGTCATGTTTATAGCACGATATGTTTTTTCTATATATCTGCAGCTGTATTGGCTGCTAGTTCGGTCATTGTAAAGCCACTATATTGTTCAACTAGCTTCAGTTTTCTTTCCTTTGTTGAGGTTCATTAGCTTAGCTCTTAGCTTGACGCGTTTCTATTCCACAGTATGCTCTTGTGCATCTCTTTGTGAATTAAAGAATCACTTACAAAAATCCACACAAAGTCTGACGAACGACGAACTTTACTTTTCTTTGAGAGGATGACACAAAGTATTCCTTAATCTTGCACAGCATTCCGCATGTAACGGTCAAAAAACTGTGTAGAGCTAGTGAAACACAACACAATTTCTTTCTGCTCTAACAATAAACAGCACTTTTTTTACGTATTGTCACTTACGTCCTTTAGGTGGCGCTTTTCTACCAAAACATAATAAAATAGAAATTTACTACTAAGAAAATATCTAAATATGCAAAAAGCATTCACAGTCATGAACAATTTCAAGATGTCTTTTGATCCATCTTGAAATAATGTAAGTTTATTCGTACATTGCTTATTAAAATGTACAATAAAACTTTCTGCAATACTTCTTTCTTTGTTTTTAGTTAAATGTATGCAAATATAAATCAACACATTGTAATTAAAAATTAAATTTAGATTTCATTTCAGTGCAAATCATGACTAGTCAGGAACGATGCCCTGGACATATATCTGACAACATGAAGTCTGCTAAAAATCCAGAGAAATTCAAGAATAGATGAGAAACAAGTTTTACTAGGTCTGCAGTTTCGCCTCCCGGCCACATGACGTCACTGTTGTCCACAAAACGCAACGTTGGCCAGACTCCGCTGTCTTTTTGTTTATTTTCCCTCGCTTCTTTTGGCTGCAGCTGAATGTCGGTCAGTAAGGCAAAAGGGCGGAGACACAAAGTTTCAGCTTTACGCCTCCGTGCTCTCCCATTGGTCACGCCCCCTCAATGCTGGCCCCTGATTGGTCGGTGGTTGTTACCGGGTGTGGTGGGGAGAGCGCGGCGGAGGTTCGGTTGTGTAACTTCGTACGTCAGAGTCCTGCGGTCATAAACGGGACGCTGTTTATATAACACTCTGCAGCTCAGAAAGGTAAATTAACTTCACTTTATATGTTTCAGTTTAACTCTTTGTGTTTTTGTATTTGTTAATCTACTAGAAGACAAAAATAAATATCCTAAAAACACAAGACAAGCTACAGAAATCCAAATAAAAGTGCAACACACAAGAAAAAAAACAGAAAAAAGAAAATCTCATTTCAACATACAAAGTTAGAATATATTGGCTGCTATGCTAACTATGCTAATCAAAGTTCACTCCAGCTCTGGTGGATTAAAAGAAAGAATATATTTGGAAAGTGTAAAACTAATTACTTTTTCCCAATCAGAAAACAAAATAATAAAATTATCCAAACATAACTAAATGCAATAATTCTCTTTTCAATTGGTACTTATGACTTTTCAACTTCATATAGCTGATGATTAGCTAGCTAAGCTAATGAAAACTCAATAATCATCTCTGGTGGATGAAAAGAAAGAATTTATTTGGGAAATATAAAATTAGTAATTTTTTCCTAATCAGTATATATTTGGTGTTTGAAGAAATAGGTGATGATAAGCAAGTTCTCAGGGGTTGTTGAGTATTTGTATATTTTAATAATTTATGATCCATAACCTCCATTAATTTATTTATTTTTTATTAGAAATGCTGCAAAAATCATTAAATTGCCCGTGTCATTGGAAGAGGGTAGTTAGTTAAAACCTACTTTAATAATTGGATAAATATTCCATTAAGAGACAGCTTCATTGCACCGCACTTGATTAATATTATGAAATAATTTCTACCTTGGAGAATTAACTGGTTTAATGAGCTTTATGTGGGAAATTTTTTATTTCAAAATGTTTCTTCTGCTTCAATTTGTTTTGTAAATATGTCAATTATTTGTATTAATCCTTTCATTCTAAAATACTAGAATTTGTACATAAATATATTTCTATTTGCCTAAAAATAAACTAAAAAAAATATTAAATCATGTTATGATCAGTAAAATTTTCATCAGCAATTTCTTGAATGGCTACTTTTTACTTGAACTGAGTAAAAGTATGTTGACATAGTTGCGTTCTTAATCTTCACAATTTATAAAAAAACAACATAAATACAAAACAACCAAGAAGTTCATTGTAAAGTTTTATTATAAAAGCTATATTGTTCACTGTTGTCAACAAACAAATGTATGGAAATGGGATTACTCTGATATAAACTGTTATGATTAAGAATAACATTTAATAACATGAGGTATTCTTACTGGCTACACTATGGGCCAAATCAAGAAATTAAAAACAGTACTCTTTCTCAACAAAGAATGTTTAATAATAATAATAATAATAATGAATAAAGCAAATATAGGTAGTATCACAGTGATGAATACTGTCCACTGACATTTTTTAAAAATATCAATAAATGGAGACTGGAATACATGTAACATTCATATAGATATCAGTATATTTACAATATTTACAGTCAAACAAACAGAAGTCGGCTAGTAACAGAAGCACGATACAGAAGCTTTGGCAAACAATAAACCGTGTGCATACGTTCTGCTAAATGTGACATATACACATGAAGTAAACATCATACATGGAGAGAGTATAAAAACAAGTAAGATTTTTTTAAAAAATCCAGTGCAAAGTCAGGTTTTTGTTGGTTTGTTTGTGGATGAGTAGCAGCCTTCTTGTCCTCCTCCTTCCTTTTTGCAGCCAGTTTTGTGGTTGTGGTAGTAAAATGTCCTGAGTAAAGCGGAAAAGCTGTGAGTCTGGGTTTATGGCAGCACGGATATTTTAACACATGGTGCGGATGTGAAGCGGTTCTTCCGGTATGATTGTTGCACTTCTTCCATCGCGATGAGGACGGACATCTTTTCAGGAAGTTCTTGATCTGAGTTCACCAGGATTTGCGGACCCTGTTTGGATGTCTTGTAAACGTAGCCGGGCCTGAATCCTAAGCCTTGGAGTCCTGAGTTGCCCCCGTGAGTCTTTCAGTTGGCGGTGGACACAAGCACGCCGAGGGGAAGCGTGGGGCCCTTGTTTTGGCCCTTGGGCACGGCGGCTCCTTTCGTCAGGTCCCTGGTTTCCGGGGGCCACGACGATGCCCTTTTGGTGGTCATGTGCCGCCGGGCGTGTTTGGTCAAGTGGTCGCTGCGCATGAAGCGCCGGTCGCACACGGTGCAGACAAACTTCTTCTCGCCCGTGTGTGTCCGGCGGTGGCGGGAAAGCTCGTCCGAGCGGGCGAACCGCTTGTCGCAGCCTTCCCAGTGACAGCTGAATGGCTTTTCGCCTGCAGAGAGCGAGGACGGGTCGGTTAGAGGAACCAGAAACACAGAACGCTTTCCGACTCAATGCCAGGTTCACACGATTATTTCAGTAAAATTCTATCAATTTATTTTGATGATTAATCAATTACTCTAATGATTAAAATGATGATTAATCGCTATCCCTACTGACATTTATGCATTTCTAATAATGCATAAAATATACAATACATAATCAAATACTAAATTTGATGGCCATTAGTTCAACAATCGATTAATCATGATTGATTGTTTCTGCATTATCTGTAATGGATTTTCAATAAAATAGGTACATCTTTATTTTAAACATGAATGAAGTTGTTTATTTACATTTTATTCATATTTCTAATGTATAAAATAAGTGATTAAATGATTAATCTATTACTTTTTGATGACATTTTATTCTTATGTTTTTATGACGTACAGCACATTGAATCACCTTGTTGCTAAAATGTGCTACACAAATAAACTAATTAATGACTATTTCAATAATTAACACGATTAATTATTTCAGCCCTAATATTTGGACCTTTATTGAAGTGGATCAGGTCAGTATCGGTCGGCGCTCCACTAACTCGTACCTGTGTGTGTGCGCAGGTGAGCTTTGAGGTGTGAACTCTTGAAGTAGGTCTTCTTGCAGCCAGGGAAGGTGCAGACGTAGTTCCGTCTGCGGGAGAAGTCGGCCTGCGAGGCGCCGCTGCTTGTTCCTGACGGCATGTAGACGGGCGCGGGGGCCAGGGGGAGGAGCTTGGTGTTGCCCAGGGTCATTACAGTCTGGGGACCCTGCGTTGTCTGCGACATCGGCCCCTGCGGCACCATGAACATGACTGCCCCCTGCGGCACGGTGGAGCCCACCAGCAGGGGCTGGGTGAAGGTAGGCGGAGGCGACTGGGGTCCAGCTTGGGTCTGGACTTGGACCGGTGCCTGGACGAACGCCGAAATCATTCCCGTCTGGCCGCCGACCGGAAAGACCCGGCAGAGGACCGGAGAGGAGGGAACCGCAGAGGAAGACGGAGGGGGCGCGGCGTTCTTCTCCCCGGGAGCCAGCTCCGGCGGCGTGGGTGTGTCCGCCAGCTCCGGCGGCGGCACGGGGAGGCTGTCGGCGGTGTGGCGGATCACGCTGGTGGCCATCGCCTTGCCTGGCAGAACCACGCAGGGCGGCTCGACGTGAGGGAGCGGCGGCGGCGTGGAGATCTCAGGGGAGGCGCAGGGCTGCGGGGGGCGGAGCAATAGCTGTCTGGAGGCGGAGCTTGTGGTGAGGACAGTCATAGTCGACGCCTCTGCGAAGCTTGGACTGTGAGGCGGAGTCATACACTGAAAAATAAGAAAAGCTTTTCAGTCCTCAACTTCTGCTTTCTGATTGGTTGCTTTCTTAGTTCCAACTGAAATCATTACTGTGATGTCAGCGTTTCACATCAGTGGATATTTATAATTATCAGTATTTTTGCTTTAAATCTGAAATACATCCGATCTGGTGGTGTGACGTATTCCTGTTTTATACATATTTTTTATTTTTACCAGTTATGAGGAATTGGGGGAAAACTTGAAACTGCTTCTGCGCCAGTTACTCAACATGTTGTTGCTAGGCAACAACATGCTGTGACTGAGTGAGTCGGTTGTGAGTCGGTTGATTCCAGCTTTAGCTGTGAGCGGTTAAAGCTGTGGATCGAAGCTCAGTGAATATTCTGTTCATCAGGGTTGTCCAAAGTGCGGTCTGGGGCCTTTTGTGGCCCTTGGATTCGTGTTGTGTGGACAATGACCTTAATTCAAGAAAGACACAAATTTGGCCATGCAACACTTTTTATAAATTTATTTAGGATATTTTCCACTTAAACTGAAAATGTAAAGTACAACACAAAAGTTTTTCTGTATTTTATTTATATTTTATATTTTTTAGTAGCATCACTAATATCCAGGAAGTTTTAACTCAAAAACAATAAAAAACAATTGTGTTAGCTCAACAATACATGTGGCTAAATACAGTAGAGATTGTGGAAGAAAATTCTTACTTTTGTTGCTAGGAATAAACTTCAAAATATTTAAAATATGGGAAATAATAAGCAAACACAAAATATTATGCATTTTTTATTGTTGTGCAGGTAAAAGAGAGAATTCACAACAATATTTGTGTGTTTTAATTGAAATTTTGGCCCCTGAAAACTTTCAGCTTGTGGATTTTGGCCCTCAGTGCAAAACGTTTAGACATTACTGCTAAATATTGAACATTCAATCAGATGTATTATTGTTATTGATTTATTGTCCAGGCTGACTTCCTACCAGTGAGGACAGGGCGATCAGGTCCTTGGGAGCGTCGCCGCTCTCTGTGTGGAGCTGAATGGAGTCGCAGGAGTCGGAGGTGGGGGTCAGTGGGCGGGGCTTAGGGGGCCGCTGGCACCAGAAGCTCATGCTGACGAGCGCCTCGGCGGCCTCCAGGTCGTGGTACTCGACGCACGGCCTCTGCTCCATGGCCGCCAGCGCCGCCGTGTGGCTGTTCACCAGATCCACCTGTAGAACATCAGCAGGTCAAATTCACGCTGTACAGGTTGAGTCTTTACTACATTCACTGGGAAAACTTGTATCAACCTTCATAAAAAACACATTCATCCCTTTCTGCAAAACTAATTTCTTCATATTTTAGCGCTACCTGTTCTTGGAAAATAAAAAAAAAATACTTTGCATGATTAGAATACAATAATAAATCAGTGAAATGAAATGGTAATTTCATTTCACTGCAAATTCATGTGGGATGGATGGAGAATAGTGAAGGTTTTTCTACACCATCAAACATTTTACTTTCCAGGTTTTACTTTTCTCTAATGATCCAGATTCAACTTGTTGTTTTCTGTTTTAAAATCTTTTCTTTCCAACAAAAGAGGGACAGTCTCCATTTTACTGTCATGTTATTATAAGAAAACTACATTTATTTGAACAGATTCAGAGTTCATTTGGTGGAAAATGCTTCATTTAAAGTGGTTTAGATTAGAAGTAAAAACAAAGAAAATGTCGATCAGGCTGATTACATCTCGGTGAGCAAACAAGGCAATCATTCCTGTGTGTCCTGAACGCACCAGCCGACTGTTTGCCTCTTCCTCTGGGAACGAGGGCGCACCACCACCCACCTAATTACCAATGATATCATAGTTTCCCCAAATACTCCTGGGCCCAAACCGCCTCGGATTCTAAATAAACCAGAACCAGAGGCCCGGGTGTAGCAAAAAGACATAAATAATCGACGAATGAACTGCGAGGCTGAGCTTGGGAGGTGACTCAGGGACAGAGGGCTTCGGGGTATTTGGCCGAGTTGGAGCAAAGCTCAGCTGCACATGCAGGAAGGGTGGAGGAGACCGAGCGAGCGGCGAGAGACTGTAATAAAACAGAGAGAGAGAGTCCCCTTCTTTCTCTTTTCTGTGTTTCACAAAGCTGAAGGGGACCCTCCCTGCACCCTAAAAACAGGCCACGCCCCCTCCACTGACTCACCCACAGAGAGAGGGAGAGAGAGGGATAACAACAGGAAGTCAAACAAAACAAAGTCAATTTGCAGCAAGCACGCCAACACTCCCATTTCCCAGCTTCACACGAAGGCACCGCTTGATTATAAACAACAGGTTCATGCACACATTATAGTTCCTTCATGCAGATATCGGCTCCTGATCGTCGTGTTTTGTCGTCCATCACTGTGTCTTGAGGTTTTTTTCCTCCCGTACGCGGCCATTTCTGCCGAGTCTTTGTTTTCAGGGGCAGCTTTCAAACAAACTGACCCCTGGATGTGATTCCCTCATCAAATCCGGACGTTTAGACAAATCTGACCAAAACAAAGACAATGTCTGATCAAATTATAGCAACAACCCTGCATAATTCAAAACATATTCATTGTAAGCATTTTGTAGAACCTTAAAAACAATATTATTTCACTTTTTCCATCAAAGACTCACAGATATACATTTTTTTATTTTCCAGACCTGAAGACATAAATTAATTCCTCAACTTTAATTTTATTTTACACCATCCACCACTTACATTTAAATAAAAACACCCTATCAATTAAAACAGTGACTAATCAAACAATACTAATCTGGTTGAGGTGAATGAGTTTATTTCAACAATAAAACCACGTGAAATTGAATTTTCTGATCATTTTTTTATGAAAAAAACAAACGCTCTGGATCGACACAATAGGCGCTCGATTATTTTTCCTGGAGGTGATTCCGCTGAGAAACAAAAGAAACCAGAAAACTTTCTGGTGCAGCGATGGATGCATTGCAGGGATGCAACTGTTGTTAGAGAGAAGAGACCGCGCGCGCACTCAGGCACGTGCGGTCCTGCATCCGCACACAAACACACATGCGCGCGCATATGGGGGTTCATCGGGTTCACTGTGTCCTCAGATAAACCCGCTGGCAGCGCCGAAATACCGCCGGATCAGAGCCGGTACCGAACCTACCGCGGGTTTTATCAGTCCGGACAGATAACCGGACAACTTTAACCCCTAAAAATGCATAAAAACAATAAGAATAAAAACAGAGCGGGGAGGCCGGAGCCGGCCGGGGCTCACCTGGCAGGGGCTCCCTGTGGAGGAGCTCCGCATGAGGAGAGCGAGGAGGAGCAGAGCTGGAGGTTCGGAGCGCTGTGGTTCTGCCTGCAGACCGAGCTTCACTTCAGCTGTGAGCAGCCAAAAAAAAAAAACACAACACAGAAACGAAATTCAGAGCAAGTCTGGCGGGTGGTAACACGCAGCCAATCACAGCTAAAGGTGTAGCGGGCGGCGGCCAATCACCGGCGAGGCGGTTCATGAGCAATACGTGGCCGGCAGATGATTGGTCCGAGGCGGGGTGCGTGGCCGCCGGGGGGCGTGGCCAGGGAGTCAGCGGTGTCAGAGTAAACCCGGTGAACCCGGCAGCGCGTGCGATGTGGTGGAAAGGTTGGGAGGAAGGGAGGGAAGCGCGAGGCAGGCAGGCAGGCGAGCCCGCGAAAACCTGCGGGAGCGCGCGCGACAGGCTGCTCTGAGACACAATGACTGCCACAAAAACAGGGAAGATATCCACAAATATTAACCTGAAAATGACAAAAACAGTCTCAGACTCAGTGTTAAGACACACAGACACTCTCTCACATGTCTGGCTTCCTGTTTCTGTCTCATCACTTTGTTGGAAAGGCGGAAACTCATCAATAACCTCAACAATAACAAAGGATTATCATGCAAAACAGTTTGTGTTCAATGAAGAACACATTCAGAAATTCACAATATTTAAGTTTCAAACAAACCAATAAGTGATGAGTCTTTTGTTTGTTACTAGAAAAAGAGTGAACCTAGCATGCTATGTTACGTTTGTTGTGAATTTGGATATTACGACATTTTAGTAAAAAAAACAATCAACTGTAAAATCTCACTTAAGTCAAACGTCCTACTTTGAAATTTTGACAATGTGTGAAACTCCAGCTCTGAGTTCCAATATGGCCACTCCTTGCAACAACAATAGTAAGCTTTGATGAAAACATATTTATTTTAAAAGAAATACTTGTGAAAGTGGGTTTATCGTGAATGTCAACCAGATAGCAAGGCCAGGAAAAAGTTTTAATTAAATATAATGAGGGAGAGGGAAGTATGTCAGTTATGCAGCTTGACTTTGATAACTGCAACATGTAGATGTGCTGTGGAATTTGGTGTTTGGGTAAAAAGATGACCTGAATGCCAACTGTCTGACCTGATAGAGGAGCCGTTTAACTGAACCACAGCAATCACTTTCTAATAATCTCAAAGTGAACGTCAAGAAAACATCAAACTCAAGGACTGAATGTTCTGTTGCTTGTGTGGAAAATGTCTGAACGTCTTTTGGTGATGAATCTCGATACATTTTTCCCTCCATCATGTGCAAAAACACAAAAAATGTAGATGGCTGGTCTCTGGAGCTCCAAAGCCTTTCACATGGATTTCCATTTTTTTTGTAAACTTTTCATAAATTTCTTCAGATAGGGGAGATGATGTGATTTTTTTTGCCTACTTCATGTTGTCAGACCGGTTCTGTAAAGGTAATTTTTTTATTTGCTTGAGCTTTGCCTTGCAAAAAATGTAATTTATGACAGTTAAATCACAGTTTAAGATCTGAAATGACTTCTTTAATGAAGCTCTTTTCCTCCATGTGAATATTTTTTGATTGACATGGCTGTGAAAATATGTGTGCAGGAAGAGATGGGCGTGTCACATAAACTCGACTGGACGGCAACAAAAAAAAACTCTAGAGTGACAACAGTTCAAAGCGTTTTCTTTTTCGTTCCCTGAAGGAAACTGAAGCTGCAGACAAAACAACACGCTGGGGGGAATCCAGCCTGTGTTTACATGCAGGATCTGGGACTTCAGCTTCTGGGAACTGTAGTCCACGACTTAACTATTTCTTTTTTAGATGCTTGCAGGGATGTTGAGGTTTTTCCATCGTCTGCATGTTAAAATGCAGGGAAAACGAGTATTTAAGGTGAGACAAAAGGGAAGTGAGATCCTGCAGCTCTGGAGGCCATCAGCATGTTCCTCATTGTCTTTTTCCTGCACCCTTTTCCTGTCTGTGGCTTGCCCCCTCCCCACCAGGCCAATGAACCCAGGGACTCCAGAGCGGCGAGGTTGTAAACAGCCTCTCCAGTGAAGAATTTCAGGGCGGGGCTAAAACCTGGTCCCCCGACTCTCCACCATCTTTCTCCCCCTTTTCCTCACCCAGGCTCGTGCACACGCTGGTCCTGCACCGACTCCTTTGTTGAAGCTGCATGTTAACCCTTTAAAGTGCAACGTGGTGAGAGTGGGTGACTCAATGCGTTTCATTACAAATGTCCAGAAGTCTACATTAAAAAACAAACAAACTATTTTGTAACTGCAGTGCCTCTATTATTTAAGTTAAATTAAGGTCGTTTTCACAACTGATGGGTTTCAACTGGGAAACAAAACTGTAACATTTGTTCCATTTCCAGCTGCTGTGGGTTTGTTTTTCACTGCACTAAATCAAAACAACCCAACCTTTAGAAAAGCCTGTTCCCCTCCTCGCCTGTGGGGGCGCTGCACCAAGAACCACTGAAGGAAACAAGATAAAAACTTCTGACGAAGACCCTTTGGCAACTTCTTTCTTCACAAAACGCAAACAAAAATGGAGTAGCATCAGATTTTTCTTTAGTTTTCCTGCTAGTTTTAAGCTGCCATGTTTGTTTTTGTTGTATTTACCCAGAATGCCCTGTGCTTTAGTCTACTTCCTGCTTTTGGAATGGTTTCCGGTATCACATATGGATATCACTTCAACCGAAGCAAAACCCAGATTTGTAGGGAACATTTGGAAAAAACGTTTTTCCGCTGCACCAAAATGTGATCAACCACTGGATGCTGCTAATGGTGAAAGACGAAGACAAGAGGACAATGGTGCACCATGTTTATTAAATGTCTGATCACAAATGTATTCACGGGTGATTTTAATTTAGTTTCTTATGTAATAGTTTTATTTTCGCAATTCTAATTAGTGCAAAAGCAGATGTTTCCACTGACCGGGGAATTACAAAAATTAATTTGCTTAATGGAAACACAACAAATTCGGGGGAAAAAAAAAAGTTTTTTGATAAAACGTTTTTGCTCAAGAATGAGTTTTTTTGTTTGTTTTTTCAGCTGTATTGAAATGTGATCAACAACCAGACATTACTACTGGCAAAAAGACGAAGAAGACGACAGGAAATGGTAGGAGAACGATGGCACAACATGCTTTTAATTTCTTATTGCGCAATGTGATTTAAATTTTGTTTCTTATTTAATAATGGTATTTTTGTGATTCCAATTTGAGCATATAACTGCTCAAATTCAAATTATGAAAATAAATTAGGTTAGAGTGGAAACAAGCCAATTTAAAAAAAGGTTTTTAATAAAACGCTGCAGTTGGTTTATCGGCTGAATCAAATGACACGTTTTGCGAAAAAAACAACAGGAAGTGGTCGGAGGACGAAGGCACATGTTTTCAATCTCATCGCGTGAAGAAACAGATTTATGTGTGATTTAATTTTATTTCTAATTAATGAAAACACCACAACTGCAAAATTGTGTTTATTTTTCCACATTAGCCGAATATGGAGAAAGATTTGCGTACGCTTGGATGGCAAACGCAGCGCATGTGTGAAACGAAGCAGATCTGGGTGACATGAGTTCAATCTGGCTTCCAGGTTCACTGAGGTTGTGGAGTAAAAAAAAAAAAAAAAGGGGGTGAAGAAGAAAACACATGAACGGAGGGTCCATAAAACCCAGTCTCCAGGCAGAAAACACTCCCAGATTTGTGCAGGAGGAAATCACAGACTGAGCTCAGCTGTTTCAGGGAGTCAGGAGGAAAAATCCTGCGGCCCGTTTTCAACCCAAACCCACGAAACCTCAAAGCCACACCTGGTTCTGAACATTTTTCTCTGAAAAGTCAAAGAACTGTTTGTTAACATGGGTAAAAGGAGCACATAAACCACCTCTGAAGTCCAAGAAATCCTCGGGACTCAGTGTGAAAACAAGTGAACTGGGAGGAACTCTGAGGTCATTATTAAAAACAGACATGGAAAAATAACAGAAAAAGATCTGAGGGCCTTTTTAGAAAGTTAATGCACTTTTTGAAAAGTGATGTTGAAAAATAAATAGTATATTTTGGAATAAAATGAGTAAAATATCTGAATATCAAAGTAAAGATAAAAAAGTCCAACTTTGGATGTTTTTGCTGAAGAAAAAAACATTTTTGACAAAATTTCATCTGAGACAAAAGGCGTTTTGGAACTCTAGAAATAAAAATATTTTTAAATGTCTGGTAATACTGACAAATTTGTCTTATCAGGAAATAGACGCTTCATTAAAAAGTCTAAAGAATTTCATTGTTAAATAAACATTTTGCAGAAATCTGAAGATTTCTGTCTTAGAAAACATTTGGAAATGAACAGATTCGCTCAGAAATCTGCTCATTTTTTGTCAGTTTTGATCAAGCAGCAGAAGAAATAATGGAGAACAGAGGATTTGACTAGACCAACCTCTGGATGACGGTGCAGGAGGAACATCTGTTGACCCGGTCCAGGCTCTGGTTCGGTCCGGATTCCCTCTGCAGACACCAGGCGGCCGCGGCGCTGCACTTCTGCTCTCATCCGCTGCCATCTTCTCTTTGCAAACCCATGAAACAGAAACCTCCTCAAAAAGCATTTTAAGATTTCTTTCACAGAAATGTTGTTGAAACACTTCAGGGTTTTGTCAAAGAAACAAGGGTAGGTCAACGCTTCATCAAAAATTTAAAAAAATTGCTGGCAGAAATATTGTGAAACAAGTACTTTGAAAGTCTTAGAAGATTTTTGTTCTAAAAACAATGAAATTATCGCTTTTATTAAAAAGTCTGAAGATTTTATCAGAAACAGATGCTTTGTTCAAAAGACAGAAAATTTCTGTCAGAAAAGACATCGTTAAAGAAACACTTTACTCAAAACTCCTCAAAAAAATGTAACAAACATCATGAAAGAAAACATTTTAAGATTTTTTTGTCACAGGAACATCGTGAAATAATCTCTTTGTTTGTTACTTTACGAGCAGTCGCTTTGTTCACAAGAGTTAGAACAGTTTTGTCACAAAAACATTGTTAAAACCAACGCTTTATTCCAAAATCTTTAAAAACAAATGTCCAGAAACAAACATTTAAAGATTTTTCTTACAGAAACATCATGAAACAGAAACATTGTGAAACAAACCCTTTGTTCAAAAGTCTTGTAGGTTTTTGTTAGAGACGAAGTCGGGCCGTTAATCAGCCTGACGGCGGTGAAATCACGGCGCAGACAAAGCTCTGCGCCGTGATTTAAAGTGCACAGATCTGCTTCCCGTCCCTCAGGCTTTGGCTGAACATCACAACACCACTTTACATATCTTCAGGGTCAAAGGTCGATCCTCATTCGAGATGTCCAAGAACTGGAAGTGAAGGAGCTGCTGGCACAACGACTGCGTCCAACCTGAAGATGTTTCATATTGTTCCAGTTTCTCAAACTTGTTTTATTCTCTCTGAGAATAGCTTCTGAATAATTAAAAACATCACCTTCTCCGTTTGTCTCGGTCCAGTAAGACTTTTTAAGAACACAGAGAATTAACTTTGTTCAAAAGAAGATTGTATCTTCATACATGTGTAAGAATGTAAATTCATGGTACTCCTTCTGAGATTGGGAATAGCAGCATTTCAACGCAAATGTGTGCGAAACTTTGTCAAAATTCTGCTAATGTTTGAAAAACACAATTTCACATCTGATGTTTCTATTAAATGAGAAACAGAATTAAAATTGTAAATTTGTTCACGCAATAAGTCAGACTGGTAGCAGTCGTACTACTTCCTGTCAACTTCTTTGTCATTTCCAAAGAAGCAGCAACATGTGGTGGTCAGTCATGTGACTCGTGTGAAATGAATACCTGATAGGGTTAGGGATAAGCTCCGTGTGCTGGAATATAATTTGATATTTACAGGTTACAGACGGAAACTGGACCAGCGGTGAGGTGTTGCCGGTTGCTACGGTAACCGCCAACTGTCAGGACAAACAGCAAATAAAAGTCAGTGGCAGAAAAACTGGCCTAAATCAAAATGAAAAGTTTTTGACAAAAGAACCCTTTTAGATGTATTAATATGCATTTTATATAAGCATTTCATAAGAGCATATGTCAGCATGTCAAACATATAAACTTTAATCAGTGAATGTAAGTGAGGGGTGTCCAAAGCGCGGCTCGGGGGCCATTTTGTGGCCTTTGCCCCGATTCTTTTGGGCCCCAAATGAAATCCGAACTTGTTTATTAAGAAAACCTTAATAAACAAGTTATTAAAATCAGAGTGAAATGATTGTTTTACAATGGAAAATGTTACATAAGTATTTTACAACCAAACTTTAACAATAAGTGGAACGATATTTTTGCAAACTTTCTGGAAAGCCAACTCAGCTTTCCACCAAATCAGCTTTTATTCAATTAATAAATTCAGTGAAATATAGCAAACATTTTTACATAAAGTGACCCGAATCCTGGTCTTATAAAAGCCTAAAACTATTTTAAAACTACACAAAGATTCCTCTTTAAGCTTTGGTTTTAAGATGAATAATATCCCTTTACTGCTGAAAAATGTAATGTTGTATTTGTTTAATTTCAGGTTTTTTGGTTCTTTTGACTCCTGATAAAATTTACTCTGGGACTGAAAGTTCAAGTTAAAGTTCAGCATCTAATATTTAAATAATAGTTTTTATTGAAATCAGGTCTTTATTCTACTTAACGCTCATCTTTCAGGTGTTTTAGTTTAATTAAATGAAAATTCCCGATTTGACTTTTTATCCAGTTGTTAAATTTGATACTTTATGAAGAAATTAATTTACTGAGGTAAAAAAACTGCCATGAATTTCAGATAAAATGCTAAAAATGTTTTGTTAATTTTAGAGTTTGGTTCTGAGTTCAGTTTAATCTTAAATATATAATTATGCTTAACGATTTATTGTAGCGATTTAGTTTCAGTTTGTTTCTGAGTTAAGAGATTTTTAGTTTCAGAATTTAGTCTGGAGCTTCTGAGTTTTAGTTTCAGGCTCAGTTTTCTGTCAGAATATTGTCTTGTGTTTAAATGCTGAGTTGTTTCTGCAGCAGAAACCGTCCTCCTCCTCCTCTTGCTGTCTGAGTCCAAAGCGACTCGGAGCCAGCAGTCGCTCCTGAATCCTCGGAACAGAAAGCCCAGTTTGCTTTCCAGGAACGCTGCGTGGGAAACCTGGACGTCCTCCAGATGCTTTATGTCGGCCGCCTGACAGCAGGAGGGGAAACTTTATGCTAAATCAGGAAACCGGGATCCGTTTTTATTTCTTTAAGTTTCTGAACACCACAGGCATGGAAAAAGGGAGGAAAACTTTCTTCAGTTTCTGCTCCACAAACCTGAAGTCTTCCTCAGCGGGTAGAGTCCAAAAATGATACTCAAGTGAAATTACTTCAACATGTTTTACTCAAGTATCTGCCCAAGAAATGACTTAAGATTAGGAAAGTATTTGATAAAAAGATCTAAAGTACTGAGTGATCAAAGTATCAATCATTCAATATCAAATAATCAGATGGAGCAAAATATGAAGTGGGAATTTGAGTATTTTTAGGTCAAAATAGTGTAAAATAGACCCTGAGAGTGTCTGTGATATCTTTCAAATTGTTCTGTTTCTAATATAGTTTTTTTATTGCTCTCTGCATAAAAAACATTTTAGCTGATAGCTCTCATTACAGTCACTGTACTGGACTTAAAAATCATATTTTCTACCTTTAAAATTGTTATTTCTTAAAATGTACAGCATCAGGCAAAAACTGGGGAAAATCTCCAATTTAATAACTAATTGAAGCTCATTATTAGAAACTTTCATCTAAATTTAGGTTGGAACCCATCCAGTTCTTTATATATTGATTAGAAACATGTTTTAACAAACTATTAGAATCCATAATGAAAGTGATTCAACCTACAGCAAGTGAACGCAGCACCAAGCGATTGGCCAATAGGCTGCTTGTTTTCATATCTCCATGGCAACAGCAGACCATGCCGCCGCAGAAACAGACTAAAGCCTCACGATTTACGTCCGGCGGAAGTAAAACTATAAAGTGTTTGATTTGATTCCGGCCGGAGGAGAAATAATAGTTTAAAACATATAATTTAAAAAAACAGAAAAACGGATTTCCAGAATGAGAAATGCTCGTTTTTGCTGCAGTTTGTCTCCACCTGCTGGCCATTCTGCTGCCACTGCAGCTCTCCGCTGTTTCTTTGTTTCCAGACAAAGCAGGAAAAAATAAGTAAAACTCCCATTAGTCAGCCGGGCTGTTAAATGTTCAGTAATTCAAGAATTCTCGGTAACATATAAATACTGATAAGAAAATAAACAGATAAAAAAAATTCTCAACATTTTTCCACTTTTCTTTATCAGTTCTGGTAGAATATTTCAGGTTTTGATGAAAAAATATCTCTATTGTGCAGAAAAATCTAATGTTTATTCCATTTCTTCAGCTTCTGGGTTTTTGCGATGTGTTTGTTTCCTCAGTCCTGAGCCACTTCCTGGTCTCGGGACGTTGACCAATGTGCGGCATTCTGGTGGCAAAGACGCGCCTCTCCACCTCCAGCACCTCGTCGAACAGATACCAGGCCTCCACATCCAGCATGAAGGAGAAGAGCTGCAGCAGCCAGACGAAGGAGCGCGGCAGCGTGGGCTCCATGTTGGGGTAATGACTGGTGCAACTCCTGCCGAGCAGACGAACACGTCTGGGTTCATAAAGGGTCGCCTCGTTAACGGGTCGCTGGCTGAGCGTTCAGACTCACCGGGGGTTGCAGCGTCGCAGCGGCGGATGCCAGTAGTTGTGGTTCCAGGGAGTCATGAATCCGTTACTCAGAGAGACGATGCTATCCAACTTGGTGTGGTGCAGACTGGGCCCGTCGGATCCGTCCTCGTCGCTCCAGCAGAACTGGAAGCTGGAAGGACCGTCGTAATGGACGCCCGCCGGACAAGAAGACAGCCTCTTTAAACACATCTGGATGTTCTCTGAGATTCCTGAGGAAACAACAGCAAATGTTTCTCAATCCCAATAAAGCCCTGCAGACAGACGGTTCCCCAGAACTCAGCCGACCTCAACCGGGTTTGACTCCACCTCATTCTGATGAAACCATAACAGATGGCTCAGGTTTGTTGGCAATCTTTTTTACACCGCTCTCTCAAAAGTTACATCAGCAAGTTGTAGGTCTGCACTTTGACAGACAATGGGATGAACGGATGAACAGATAGAGTGAAAGGACAGACAATGAGATCCAGTCATCTCATTGGATGAACAATGGGATGAACGGATGGACGATGGGATCAATGGATGGACGACAGGAAGAATGGATGGTGAAGATTTTGAGGGGAATCGGTAACAAACGCTAACATTGGGGCAGTCCAGCCCTCACCAGAAACCAGTGAGACTTACTGAGTACCAAGCTCTGACTCCGGTCATGCAGAAACCTGTCAAGGGTTTCTTGCTGTGCCGATGAATCAACCTACGTTCCCACCCTGTTTTCGTGCTCATTTAGATTCTTACTTCTCCTCTTTGTCACGTAAAGTCTGTCTTTCTTGTCCACGAAGAACAGTTTCTTTCCTTTCCACTGTTTCCTGTAAAAAAAGACAGAAATGATTGGCTGTTCAGCAAATGAAGTTTATAAAAGCCTTCAGGTTGGAGGCCCTGATGTCTCACCTGGCCATGTCCTGGTTCCTCCTCTGCTGGGCCTCCATGAAAGCAGCCTGAACCAGTTTGTACCACTTCCTGAAGCTGAACAGGTCTCCTGTGGACCAGCAACCAAACAGAACCACATAAAAAGCAGCTTCACTTTCATACCATTAAGACTCAACCCAATGCATTCGGATGCACAATATATTAGCATCTTGTTGTTCAGGTGGAAATGATGCATTTTCTCCTATTTCCCAGTATTTTACTGAGAGACAGAAAAAAAGTCTGAAGAAAAGAGAAGGCAGAAATATGGATAGAATGATGAATGGATGAATAAATAGATCAACAGAACATGAATGGACAGGCAGACAGACAATGGACTGGATCTATTGATGCCAGTACAGTTAGATGAATTAGATAGGTGGACGGACAGATGAATGGATGAATAATGAGATAACAGGATGAACGGACAGTGAGTTGGATGAATGAATGAATGGATGGATAGACGGATGGATGGACCAACTGACCAATAAATAAAACCTTTAAGGACCAACCTGTATTGTCATGGGAACCAGTCTTGTTCGATAAATCCCTGAAACAGAAACAAAAGTCAAAGGTTCAGCAGACTGTCAGGTTTCCATGGCAACAGCTCAGGTGTGTCAGGTTACCACTCGGTGTGATCGTCCAGGCCAAACATCACCTTCATGGTGACGATGATGAGCGCGGCGGCCTGCAGGTCGTACCGCGGCAGGACGGGACGCGACTCGCCGTCCAACGTGTGGCGCTTCGGATCCGCCATACCTGCGCGGTCCATCAGGACGCAGACCCACCTGTGCAGCTCGTCTGGGGACCAGAACAGACAGGCGGGTCGTTAGCCGTCCCGGTACCAGTCTGTGGGACTGACTGGGTCCAACAGGTTACCGGGGAGGTTGGCGTCGGTCAGGTAGCGCAGGCTGAGCGGCGCCGGGTGGAGCAATGCTTCTGGGACTACTGGAGGAAAAGCAGGAAGCTGCAGTAATTGGACCAGAACCTGCGCTTCTTTATGGACCGAGCGGTGAGACGGGATCCTCTGCAGGAACAAGAACCACTGTTAGCAGATAAAACGGGTCAGAAACACAGAAAACCTATTCTCTACGTTTGGATCGATGGTCCTCCAACTTTCAAAAGGCCAGAATTTATATCCAGGTTCTGCAAATAACCGAGCCGCACCTGAGCAGACGGAAATATCAAAGTATTTTAAGATGCTTACTGTTTACACAAGAAAGTATTTCACAAATAAATGTTGTAAAATCCAGTTATTCCTTAAACTCACAGACGAAAACCGAGAAGCACCAGTTCAAAAACCTAGATGTCGAGAAAGTAATTGTGACAATTCATTTTAACAAATTGGAAATCATCGTTATTAACAGGACAAGTAATCATTAGCATGCTAAAATCAGAATTTGGACAGCACTAGCATATTAATGCTAACATTAGCCAAACATAGTAAAAAATTAGAGCTGCTCCTTGTAGTTCAATGACCGACCTCAACGTGGAAAAGAAGAGCATCGGGACCATGCAGCTTCATCTCTTCTGGGAGATCCTCGTACGCCGTCACATACGGGACGTGACCTTCTTTCACCAGCCTGGAAACACACACCGATGGAAGCTTAGCAGCAGCTAAAGTTTAAAGGATACGGATGAGTTAGAAACAAAACTGAAATGTTCTAGCGACTGGTTTAACTTCAATAAACATTAAAACAACGGGCCGAATCCAGAGCCTTGGGGTTCCCCAATATTAAACTATAATCTGCTAAATCAGAGCACAATATTTAAAACTTTACGTAGAAACCCAGAAAAAAAACTTTTACCAAACAATATTCAACACAGATTTGTAAAGAGAGAAAGAAAATACAACTTAAAAGGAACTAAAACAATCTCAATCTGTGTCTGCATTTAAAAGATAATTCAAAATTATTATGACCATATCATGAAGCGACATGGTGTTGAATTAGTTGATCTTTTTTTATTTGAAATATGTTTGTAAAAGTTGACTAGAAATTTTTATTTTTCATTTTATGATTTCTTTTAGTTATTCAATAAACTATTTATATTTATTACGGAATGAATTAAAAAACATGAGATAAAAATGTTGTTAAATATGCATTGTTACTTAGCAAAAATATGCAAGTTTTTCTACAAAATGTCTAAGAATCAAAAACTTTTTTGCTAATTTTTGCCTATTGGAACTCAGAAATATCAAAAGTTCTTTCTCCAATATTTCTGAGATTAATCTAAAAATTTCAGAGTTTTCTAATAAACCTTCAACCTTTGAAATGAAAAATTTCCAAGATTTTTCTAATAAATTGTTTAGTTTTCAAACTCAGATTTTACTTGTTTTTTCTTAATAAAAAAAAAGTTTTAAAGGAAATTTTCAATATTGGAATCCGACAGCTTCCATGTTTGTTGTATAATATTTCTGAGATTAATGCGACAAATTTGAGTTTTTTCTTTTTACAAAGTTTCAACTGTGGAAACTCAGAAATTTCCAGGTTTTTTTCTAGAATATTTTTTAGATTATCTCAATTTATTTTTAAGTTTTCTAGCAAATTTTCAACTTTCCAAACCCTTTCCATGTTTGTTGGTGGAAATGTTTTTGTCCCATCCTCCACGGCTCTAACGCTCCATCGAACTGAAGCCTTTTAAACATTTTAACGTGTAAACATGACCATCAGGCGTGTTTTTCCACCTGAGCAGGTCGCTGAGCGTCAGAGCTTCGCGGCTCCAGACCAGAGCCAGGTGGATCAGAACCAGAGTCGTCTTCATGGTCATCAGGTTGCGGCTCCATTTCAATGACGCCGAGGTGCTTGTGCTGCTGTAGTCCGATCCCAGCCAATCACTGGAGCTCTCTGAGGTTCAAAGGACCAATTGGAGCATTTAAAAAAATAAAATACGTCTCCAAATTCGCCATGGATTGATTGTTGATACGTTTCTTTGTAGTACCTGCATTAGAGCCAGCGGAGCTGTTCAGAACCGACCCGGAGTCGGTGAAAGTATCAGACAGAACCGATTCCGCGGCGCTGTCCAGGTCCGTGTCCAACGCAGCCTGATGGGAAACATGGAGGAATTACTTTATGACTCATTTGAACATTTTTACAAAGACGACAAATAGTTTAAAAAGTAAAATCACGATTAAAATGCATTTATTTTCATTTTAGCCTTGACACTTTATAAAAACCTAAAAGACTTTAGTGAAACTTTGTTAAAACTGTAGAAAATAAAAAATCATTAAAAGCAGGAATTTAGAACAATGTGAAAACAAAATTATAATAGGATTAAAACATATTTGAAAAGCTGTTTTTCTATTGGAATATTTACTGTATATAAAAAAGATCAAATTATCAACAATAAAAAAAAGATGTTTTAAGCATTACTGAAAAAAAAGGTAAATAAATTAAAATGATCAGAAATAACTTCAAAAAGAAAATTCAATGCAAACACATAAGCTAAAAATTACATAAATAAAATCTATTAAAATCTTCTTAGAATAAAGTGAACATAAATAAGAAAAATCTATTTTCTTTAAAATAATAATTTTAAAAATTACCAAAATGGAGATGAAAGTGTCAAAAAACCCCAAAACAATTACATGAAATGGGTAAAAATTGGAGAAATCTAAAAACATAAATTGTATTTCATAAAATAGTAATAATAATTAAAAAAGACAGAATAAAATTCTACACCAGTGATGAATAAAAGGAGACTGACCCCTCTGAATCTTGAACTCCTGATTGGGTTTCTGGTGTATCCCTGCTGGGTCTTCTGCAGATAAATTCTCCACATCTGACACAAAACGTCATCCTGAAACCAAAAACGTCCAACTAACAAAACGGCTTTTATCTGCTGATAACGGATCAATGGGAATGAGGGGAGCGGACCTTAAACCCAGGAGTGACTCCCAGTCTGAGGAGAGCGTCGGCCTGGTTCTGCAGGATGAACTGGAAACCTTCGCACAGCATCCAGACGTAGCCGCACTCTGAGGAGCAACAAATGGTTAAAACATCTGGTAATATCAGCATTCCAGAAAACCGTGTCAAAAGTCATTTAGATATTTAATTACTCAGGTGTTAAAAGTTAAGTTTTGACACCAAACTTAAAATTTGGAAGTTAAAACTTTTAAATAAAAAGTTTGATATGTGAAAAAGAAACAGGAGGTTAAAACCGACCCGTTTTCCTGATTCCGGATTGACTGGTGATCCGGGAAATTCTGTTGGCGTTGCCAGCAAACGGCATGTCCACCACCTCTCTGGTTCTCTGAGGACATTTGGATAAAACACCAAAAACAAACAAAAATCACAATGTATACAAGAGAAACGCTGACACCTGCAGGACGGTTGGTGGTACTGCAGTGAGCACAAGCTGATAAATGTAGATACTGGGTCATTTTAGACAGAAGAAAACAAAACATCTTTTTTAGATTGATATCAGAAATTTTCAGAAAAAATAAACCAAGAAAATCTGTGAATAAACTGAACAAACTGGGTTTGTTCAGTTTATTTGGTTAAACTGAACAAACACACAAAAGTAAAAAATTTGCTATAAAAAACAGACATTTTCAAGGCATTTTCTAAAAAAGACTCAGAAAGTGAAGATTTGCTAGAAAAAAAAACTATTTTAGATGAATATAAAAAGAATCTGGAAAAGAACAAAAAAAAAACATTTTCAACTTTTGGGATTAGAGTTAGAAATTTTTTTTTTCTACTTTTGAAACTCAAAAATGTCATTTTTTTCTGGAAAATTTCTCAGTCCACAAATTCAGAAATTTCAGTTTCAAAAGTTTGAATTTTATGATAATTTTTCTCAACTTTTGGAATTTCTTTGGGTTTGAAAAGGCTAAATCTTTTACTTTGGAACCCCAGTGATGCCTTGTTTTTTCACATTTCTGATTTTTTTCCCTTTGTTTTTGAACTGTACTGAATTTTTGTTCTGTTTGTATTGCCCCCAATCACTGTTTAAGTCAAACTCTGTCAGATAAATATTTGTCTGGGAGTCACCTCGATGACATTGTGGCAGGACCTGCAGTAGAAGCGACCCTCGTCTGAGATGCCCCAGTCCACAGCTGAACACTGATTGCAGGGCTCCTTGTATTCGTCCTGAACCAGAGAAAACACAGAGCGACAGGTAAAGGTGACACACCTGGCTGAGTCTCATCAGGAGATCTGATTAAAAATGAGCCAACCAAGAAAACAACAAGTCTATCAAACAAAACAGAACAGCTTCTACTTACTCATAGGAACTCTAAATAGTTCATCTATTATTCAAAAAAGAAATGAATATTTTAACTAAATATTTCATTTTGCTGAAATAAAATCAGCTGGTTAAAATCTCAAGAACAATTTGCTCTATGTATGAATACATTGTCATTAAAAATTTATTTTAGAACATTTGAAAGGTGGTGAAACTATTTTAATTAACAACAGCAAAAGCCTGACATTGGAAAACCTATAATAAAAACACTAATCTTATTTTATGGCCATAATTTGTAACAGCAGCCACATAAAGAACCAAACTAATTCCCTCTTCATCAAAACCTGTTACAGTTTAGCAGATAGCCGAAAATTTGCATTTAAAAACTATATTAGCCGATTATTAAATAAGATGCCACCTTATCAGGATCAGTAATTAAAATATATTTATAGCTCGTTTCAGAGTTTGTTGATCAGAAAACATGTTTAAAAACAGGTTTTGTTCATTGAGTTTGATGCAAATCGACAAGCTAACATTAACTGAACTCCTAAAAACAAAAACGTACTGAAGGAAAGTTTTAAATAAGTAAATAAAAGTTGAAGGGAAACCAATGGAAAACGTTTACCAGAAAACAATTCAGAATTTTATGATAATATTTTTTCAAGGATTATAATGATATAGTCAAACCATAATATTTGAACAAATGTTTTTTTTAAGTTTGCTGAAAGTGAATAGTTAAAATCTATGTTGACCGATTATTAAATGAAATGCTGTTTATTCAGGAACAGTAGATAATATCTGGATATGATGCAAATCAGTTTGTTAATCAGAAGTTGATAGAAAAAAAACGAGTTTTCTTAACGGAGTTTGGCGCAAATCAACGATCTAACACCAACATTTCCGTTTTCTGAGTGATATTTACACAGAAAATAATTGATTATTGATCAGCGCTTACCGCTTCCTCTTCATCCATAGTGAAAGTTCAAATGAATCGGTTACGTATTGATTTGATCAGCTTTTAATGTCGCAGTCGCGCTATCATGTGGAGGAGTTTGTATTTCTTCTTCTTTGTTTTCTTTCAGGTCGGAAGCTGCACTGCTGCCACCCGGAGTCCGATCCGCGAACTACAACACCCAACTGGTCAAATTAACTTTGGGCCTTTCGTAACTTTCGAAACTTTTACGATCCTGAACCCGTCAAACTGAACAAACACACAAAAACGTTCCCTTAAGACGTGCAAGTTTTGTGAAAACCTTGGAGTTTTCACAAAGTGATTCTCCCAGAAGTTTTACACTCAAGTCTACTTTTACAGTTTTGTATTGTAATGTGTGGCCCTCAGTGCGTGTTCATCTCTGTGAGGCTTCATTTGCTCTAGTTTATGAGATGTTTTGCTTCCTCAATCTAAAAGCGGATTTGGGTGAGATCAGAGATTATAAATAGAGCCGCCAGATGTTTCCGCTACATTCTCTTACACAACGTCACGACATGAAGTCCTTTTGTTCAAAATGTGTATTTATTGTTGTTTTCTTCCAGTTTCTAAAGGTTTATTTATTTATTTCTGGTTAAATCACGGCCACCATGAGCGGGTTCATGTTTCACGAGCAAACGCAGCACGAGCGCCTCATCAGACCGGCAAGTTCACGAGCGCGCGAACTAAAAACCCCGCGGACTTTCAAAATAAAAGCATTTCTCAAACAATTTTGTATCTCATGAAAAATATGATTTATTTCTATTGACTTACGCCCAAATTAAACTTTGTTTTTGTATCTAGTTGAATGTTGTTAGATAAAACACAAAGCTAAAAATTTAATTTTATGTTCCATTAAAATAGCTTAAAATCAGGAAAATGACATTATGCAGCTGTTTTTAAGTGGTTTAACTTTATAGATTAAAATATAAAGATGAAATAAATTCAACAACTGCAACTGAAAGGCTGAAGCTTTGTGACAGTTATAAAGTTCTTTGGCCACATTTTCAGAGGATTTCTTTTCTCTCTTCTCATTCCTGTCTCACTCTGACATGTTCCACCATTCATGCGTGACAGAAGCTACTGGACTAAATGGGTCAAACTTCTTCCTGTAACCCTAACCCCAACTGAGTGCAAATATGTTGAAACAGAGACTTTCTAATCTGATTTTCTTCTTTTCCTGGTTGTTTGTAGCCATGTTTTCTGCATCGCATTAATCAAGACTTCATATATGAAAGTTGTTATAGTTGCTTATTAGGTTAAATTTGAACGGATCCAGCTTGAGATTCTTGTTTTTATCATGTTGATTCAGGGTGGATTCCATTACTGCTGTTGATTCCATGCTTTTATTCTGAAGCCGCCAGGCCTACTTCCGCCCCGCCTCCTTGCTTCTCGCCAGCTTTGCTTATCGGCTCTCGGTCTTCCTGGTTCTGCGGAGTTGGAGCCGTTTTCCCTGCGCCTTTCGGTGACAAACAATGACTTCACCCGATCTGGATGCGGATATTTTAGTTTCGGAGAGAAAATGTGTTTAATGTCGGAGGTCAGCAGCTGACCTTTCGGGCCCTTTGGCTCCGCTCAGTCCGTCCTGCTGCGGATCATCCGCCAGTCAATCCGTCCAACATGGGAGCGAACTTCGTAGTTTTGACACTTTTTGCAGTTTTTGTGTCCCTAACAGAGGCTGCTGTGTCTCCAGCCGAAGACAAAGAGCAGCAGGAGTTTGGTAAGTTGTCCAAACATGGAGGTTTCTCTGAAAACCTTCTGACTGAAGTTAATCCAGGGACACAGAGGCGATCCTACAAAACTTTAGAATGGGGGCCACTGACCTGGGAGCCAGAAAAACCTGAGCGAGGAAATAAATCAATTTGTGTCCAGATATCCATAAGACCAGTCCCTCAAGGCTCATTTAAGACGTGTTTCATAATGTCATGTAGTACCTCAGTAAGTACTACTTAACAAGAGTTAAATATTTTTTAATTTTAATCCAACTTCATGTTTCTATTTATGGAAAATATAATTATAAATAATATTTTAACCCATTTTCACCAAACTTTTGGTCTTTACTCAGAGGTCTGAGCAAAAGTTGTCTGACCAATTTATAATGACAGTTTTAGCCCCTGAATAACCAAATTTATCAAAAAGCATTTTTTACTACTTGTGTGTTTTTGTTGTCAATTAGATATGAATCAGTGTTTTCCCCTGACCTGACCGATTAGTTGCTTTTAAACATGTTGTGTTCTCCCTCTGCAGAACCTCTGCGGTCCATCCTGGACGACTTCGACGTTCTTCCATTCTCCAGCCTGCAGACCCACTCCATCCGCCGGCGGGACGTCCAAACCGAGGCACATGTGGAGAAGCTGCTGAGCTTCAACGCCCTGCAGAGGTTGGACCCTGAAACTTCACCAATTCCTCTGAGCTGATTGCCCAAAATATAATATATTCCTGCTGGTTCCAGGAACTTCAGGCTTTACCTGAGAACCAACAACGAGATCTTTACAGAGGATTTCAAGGCCATCGTGGAGGATGAGGATGGACAGAGACGAAGCTTCCCGGTCAACAGACACAACTACTTCACCGGACACGTCATCGGTAAGGCGTCAGAGTCAGATTCACCTCAGTCCTTTAAAAAACACTGAGATTCCTGAGAAAATCCTTGATGGTTCAGACGCCCCTGAAAACCAGGCAAGGAATTTAGAAAATGAGGCTTTAGATGAAAGTTTGATCGACTTTGATTAGAATGAGCAGGGAGTTGCTTTCTATTTGTGTTTTTTCTCCTCCAGGGGAGGAAAACTCTCGTGTTCAGGCTCACATCGACGACCACGAGTTCTCAGCTCACATCCTGACGGACGAGGCGGAGTACAACATCGAGGTAAAGAGCTAAGAAACTCAATTCCTAGTGAAAAAACGTGGAATCACTTTAAACGTCTCATTGCTCCAGCCTCTGTGGAGGTTCACATCAGCGCCCCCCGATGGCCGCGTCCTGATCTACCGGTCGGAGGACATCAGGAACATCAGCCGGCTGCAGCGGCCCTCAGTCTGCGGATACGTGGCGTCAGAATCCATCCACCTTCTACCGGAGGGCGTCAGCATGGAGGCGAGGCCCGATGAAGAAGGTTGGTAGGAAAAGTTCTTATAGTTATCAATGAAAACCTCAAATTAGCAACAAATCTCTCAGACTTATGTCCTTTCAAAACATCTTTTTGACCCTTCTCAACTAAATTCTGTCTAAAGAACCAAATAAATCTCTGGAAAGACTCCAAAAGTCTGTCAAAACAGTCAAAATTATGTTATTACTATATTTTTTTGTAAAACGACCCACCGTTTGTCCATCTTGTTTCTCAGAGTCGGTGTTCAGAGGGAAACGGCAGGTTACCGATCATAAGAAGAACACGTGTCCAATGCTGCTGGTCGCAGACCATCGCTTCTACCGATACATGGGCCGAAGGGAGGAGAGCACCACCATCAACTACCTGGTCAGCTCACAGCCTCCATGTTGCTTCTTTTCCCCTCTTCTGGGATCTGACCTCTCCATCTCTTTCTATCCAGATCGAGCTCATCGACCGCGTCGACGACATCTACAGAAACACATCGTGGGACGAAGAGTTCAGCGGTTACGGAGTTCAGATCCAGCAGGTGAGGAGGAGACCGCTGCTGCTGGTAGCTGCAGTGAAGATGCTGAAGTGTGAAGAGGTTGTGGTTCTGCTGCCAGATTATCATTCAGAAGTCTCCCACTGAGGTCGGTCCTGGAGAAAGTCACTTCAACATGAGGGGCAGTCCAGTGGCGGGAAAAGACGTCTGGGACGTCAAGAAGCTGCTGGAGGTAAGAAATGCTGAACATCAGCAGGCGAAGGCTGTTTGTCCTCCATGTTGAGAGGAGCTGTAGCTTAGGAAGCTAGCATGGATGGATGGACAAATGAATATTAGCACAGATGGTTGAATGCTAGCATTTATAAATGTTAGCATAGATGGATGGATGCTAGCATTTATAAATGTTAGCATAGATGGATGCTAGCATTTATAAATGTTAGCATAGATGGATGGATGCTAGCATTTATAAATGTTAGCATAGATGGATGGATGCTAGCATTTATAAATGTTAGCATAGATGGATGGATGCTAGCATTTATAAATGTTAGCATAGATGGATGGATGCTAGCATTTATAAACGTTAGCATAGATGGATGGGTGCTAGCATTTATAAACGTTAGCATAGATGGATGGATGCTAGCATTTATAAACGTTAGCATCGATGGATGGATGCTAGCATTTATAAATGTTAGCATCGATGGATGGATGCTAGCATTTATAAATGTTAGCATCGATGGATGGATGCTAGCATTTATAAATGTTAGCATAGATGGATGGATGCTAGCATTTATAAATGTTAGCATAGATGGATGGATGCTAGCATGGATGGAAGTTGGATGTTCCATGTTCTTTTTTTAATGAGTGTCAGTAAATAGAGCATCGTGATCAGAATGACGATTTGTTCGCAGCTCTGAGCCCATTTGCTTGTCTCTGCATTTAAGCCTTCAGCGTCTGACTCTTTTTGGACTTGACTGTTTCCTGTCTGACCTCCTGCAGCAGTTCAGTGTGGACATTGCAGAGAATGCGTCCAATGTCTGCCTGGCTCACCTCTTCACCTATCAGGACTTTGACGAGGGAACCCTGGGCCTGGCCTATGTGGCACCCAACAAACCAGACTTTCCGGGAGGGCTCTGCTCCAAACGTAAGCGGCAAAGTTTCCTCTAGAAGTTGTCACGGTTGCTATCAGCATCGCTGTTGTGTTTATGAACCCTGCTGTTCAGCTTGTGCTTCGACAGCAAACAAACACGGATTCATCTATCTGAACACGGGCCTCACCAGTACCAAGAACTACGGGAAAACAATCCTGACCAAGGTGAAGTCCTGAAGCCCTTTCTGAGGGTTTCTTTTCAGTCTTTATTCTTTGTACTGAGGAATTGTGTGTACAGGAAGCAGATCTGGTGACGACTCATGAGCTGGGCCATAACTTTGGAGCGGAGCATGACCCGGACAATGTGCCGTACTGCGCCCCACGGGAGGACCAGGGAGGGAAGTACGTCATGTACCCCATCGCTGTGAGCGGAGACCACGTCAACAACAAGGTGCTAGCAGAGGATCGTTTGAATATAGATAGAGATGGATGCTAGCGTAGATGGATGGAGCGATCATAGGTTGATGGCAGCATGGATGAATGGATAGGAACCATCCAGCAATGCATGCTGGAATAGATTGATGCTACCATGGATTGATGGATGATATAAGCAACCATCCATCAATTCTATCATGTAACATGGTGCCAGCGTGCGTCGCCATGTTTTTTCCATCGTAAACCAGAAAACGTTTTATGACAGTTTGTTTTCCCTTCAGCTTTTCTCCAACTGCAGCAAGCAGTCCATCGTGAAGCGGCTGCGCTCCAAAGCGGCGACCTGCTTCAAGGAGAGGAACGTCAACGTGTGCGGGAACTCGAGGGTGGAGCAAGGCGAGGAATGCGACCCAGGGTTGCTGCACTTCAACTCGGACCGCTGCTGCACCCACGAGTGCCGGCTGAGGGCCGGAAAAGAGTGCAGGTCCGAGTCGCTCCAGGTTGGGGGTTCAACGCTTCTCAGATCGGCTGATCCGCCATCTTTCTTTGTTCAGTGACAGGAACAGCGCCTGCTGCAAAAACTGCAGGTTCCAGGTGAGAGGCGAGGTCTGCCAGGAGCCCATCGACGCCACCTGTAAGGGCCACTCCTACTGCACAGGTCAGCATCAGGACTGGGGGGGTTTCTCTTCTACAGGAACACAGAAGTTCTGTTGGACAAAACAAGGAAGCTGAAGATTTAATTTAAAGTTCAGTGACAGGAACTATTTTAAAAATACTTCACTTCATATTTCAATATTAAATATTAACTACCGGTATTTAAAAAAACTTTTGCCAACAGGAAACAGCAGTGAGTGTCCTCCGCCGGAGAACGCTCCGGATAAAACTGTGTGTCTGGACAACGGGGAATGTCGGGGTGGAGAGTGTGTTCCCTTCTGCCAGGTGGTCAGGAAGCTGGAGCCCTGCGCCTGCAACGGTAACGCTGCTGCATGGGTTCGTCAGCGGTTCTGATGGGGAGCGTCATGGGTTCGATGCTCTGATTCAAACACTAACTTGTTTTCCTTGTGAACCTTCAGTTCTAACTGAAACTTCTGGTTTCTTCCCAGAAACAAACTCGTCCTGCAAAGTCTGCTGCCGGGGCAGCAATGGAGTCTGCAGCCCCTTCGTTGATGTGAAAGGCGATTTTGTGTATTTGCGGAAAGGCAAACCTTGCACCGTGGGGTTCTGTGATGGAGCGGTGAGTTAAACACTCATGACCCGATCCTCTCTGGTTAGTAGATATCTAGATGAAGACTCCCTCGCTTACGGTCTGGATGGCCTCTATAAGTAGAGCAAGTTAACAAAACCACAGAGGGAACGCTCAGTCTGACTCAGAAGTCTGTAGCTGGTTTAACTGATGTTCCTTTAGGAAGATAAAGAAGGGCCCAGGTGCTTCGGTCCAGAGGCCATTCAGAGACGAAGGGAAGGATGGTCACTGGGTTAGAACCTGGAGTTACAGCCACACATTAAACTGGACTGAATGGAGCCCATGGTTGTTCCTCAGCCTCAACAACCAGAAGCCCAAAAGGGAAAAGGCATCTACTGAATCCCCCTGAACACAAAGCAAAGAGTCGGGGACCCTTAAGGCTTCAGATCAACCGTAAAGGCCATAAAGGCCATAAAGGTCAACCATAAAGAGAACTGAATGAGTCCTTCCTGTGTGTACAGGGGAAATGCATGAAGCAGGTGCAGGATGTGGTGGAACGTCTGTGGGACTTCATCGATAAACTCGACATCAACACATTCAGAAAGTTCCTGGCTGATAACATCGTGGGTTCGGTGGTGGCGTTCTCGCTCCTCTTCTGGGTTCCTTTCAGCATCCTGGTCCACTGTGTGGTCAGTGTCACGCCTCACAGACGCTCCTCTGGGTTTTCTTCTCCCTGAATGCCGTAACTTTGATCTGCTTCTCTGACTTTCAGGACAAGAAGATGGATAGACAGTATGAGGAGACCACCAAGTCTCTATTCTTCTCCAGCGTGAGTATGAGCTTCCTCAGTCATGGCAGAGGTAGCAGATACCTGAGTGAAGGCCTGGGGTACAGCAGCTCATTAGATCAATGAAGAATCTGGTTGATGGTGGCTCTGTTCTTTGGCAAGACATAAACCAATAAAGAGCCTTCCAATCACTGGCGTTTGGTTGACCTTTACCTTAAAAGAACCCAGTCAGCATTAATTGAAGGTACGAAGCTTCTGCTCACCAGCTGCTGTTGCCTGTGTTTGGCACTTCCACCAAATGGTACAAGTCAAATCCAGCTTGAGCCCACGCAGCTTTACAGGCAGCAGACTGCATTTGTTGATTCACCACCATTTTCAACCTTTGTCGTAGTTTGAGGTCTGACCTTTTCATCAGTTGTAGCGGAACGTTCGCCTGAACGGGAACATCAACAACGTGCAAATTCAGCAAGAGATTTCTGAGAAACTGGCCTCATCTGAGTGTCAACCACAGCTTCCCCTACATGTTCCTGCCTTTTTTCACCTTCACATACTGAGGAACATGCTGCTGATAGAGACCAGACCCAAACCAGACACTAAACAACAAGAGTGAACCTTCACAATGGAGAAGAGGCTGAAGGCCAGAGGAAGCGCTTACCAGCTCTGAGCTAAAGTTTGATCAGTTTCAGACCTGGTGATCATGTCAGGGTGAAGGTAACTTTAGTTTGAGGCAGTTCATTGGACACGTCCGATTTGATGGAAGAGCCTGACAGCTACAGAGGAAGGTCAGAGAGAACAACCCAGGAAGAAGTTTATGTTGAGGTGTTGCAGCTTGTCCACGTTACGCTTCAGACTGGGAGGTGTTTGGTGGGACTGCAGGAGTTATTAAGAGATTCTTTACAAATACTTTTGCAGTGGTGGCCACGTTTCTGCTAATCTGCTAATAGCGGAGCTAATTTTCCACTTCGTCTTTAGCCAAGTTGGAAATGTTTAGCATGAACAGCATCAACATGGCTGAATTTAGCGGCTTAGCATTGTTTTCTACTAAATACCGTCAGTGGGACTATTGCTTATGACTTAGCACATCTAACATTTTAGCCAGTGGTGCCGACCACTGTCCTTTGATTTCCTTCTGCTTAGTTTAACTTTAGATGAACAGCAGGTCTACATTGACAGTCCTTTTCTTTCCCAGAATGCCGAGCTCCTCAGCAGCCTTGATTCTGCTTCTGTCCGGATCTTCAAACCTCTAAACTTCCCGGCCGCCCCTGTGCGGCTCCCACCGATCAGCCCGCAGCTTGCCAGCAGCCCGCCCGTCTTCGGCGCCGGCCCCGCCTCGAGCCACACGTCCCCGCCTCTGGATGCCCCACACATGGCCACCATCTTGGAGGACCCCGGCCTGGACTCCCACCTGGACGAGGAGGAGCTGCAGGAGGCGTTCGGGCGCCCAGCTGGAGCAACTCGGCGTTCATTTGAGGACCTGACGGAGAGAAACCCGACGAGACGCAGCGACAAGTCGAAGCTGTTCAGACTTCAGAGACAACATGAGATCGACAGCAGAGAGACGCAGTGCTGAGAGACGCTGCCAGGGGGCGCTGTTGCCCCTCATCTGTTCCTTAAAGCTGGTCCCTGAACTCACCTCCAGAAGCCATTTTCTAACACAGACTGGTGTTCATTTATAACCTGTTTAATTTAATCTATTTCTAAAAATAATTTTATAATTTGTTTGTGTTTCTCTCTCATTTTCCCTCCTAAAAAGGTGCAACTTTTAAATTTGCACTTCAGTGGTTAAAATTTTTTGCGTTTTTTATTATTTGATATAATTTTTTTTTCTGATTTCATCAGAACGCTATCATCATCCCACTCCTCCATATCACCTCAAGGTCCGATATTTTCAGAATTAAAGTGCAAACTCCCATAATTCTTAGAGCTTATCAACTAAAAATAACCAAAAAACTGTTACATTTTGCTGACGATCCAAAATTAATTGGATCCAAAATTAATTTGAACCATAAAATTTGGGATATAAATCAGAAATGTGAAGGTTTCTTCTTTAAACTTTCAAAATCACCTCCAGAAATATTCCTCAAAATAAAAATCCAGCACATTTAATCTTGAACTACTGCAAAATTCACATTTTCTCATTTTTACAAAGAACATGAAAGAAAAAAGAAATCTGCATTTTTATAAAGTTTTGCAAGATATTTTACAGAAAATATTTATTTTTACAAGATTTAAAACAGTTTATGGGAGTAAAGTTTTCTTTAACAGGATGGTGCTTTTTATTCATGTTTTTTAAAGTTTGTATTTCTCTAAAGCAAATACTTTAGAGAAAAAGACAATTAAAAAAGCAGCAAAACAATTTAAAGATAGTTGAAATTTTTACTGCTGTGTTTGAAACACAAAGACTTTTACGAGTCCAAATTAAAACCAAAGAATTAAACCAAACTTCACAGTTTTGGTGTAAAAAAGTGTTGAATTTTGTTTTATCGTATTAAATGGCTGTTAAAGTGTTAAAACCGCCTCTGTCAGTATTTTGGGATGTTGTGTCTTTGTTGTTTTAATATGTTTACCTTTATTTAAATGTTCAAAAACTGCAGCTTTTACATGAAAAATAAAAATGACTGTTCAGAAAGCCGACATGTTTTCATTTTACAATAGAAGTTTGGAAATAAATAAAAACGCTTTAAAATCTGAGTTTATTTGGGTGAAGAATTTGGTTTATCTAAAATTGGAAAACTGAAGTAAATATTCAAAAATATTATTTTCCTTCTACAGTTAAATAATTTTAAATAAAATATAGAGTTAAGATATTTCCTGTTCCAGAACAAACTGAAATAAAAATAGAAATGAGGTTTATTTTCAAACTAAACACTGAATTTCCTGCATGAACAGTAGGACCAGTCAGAGAAATCTCGTGAAATTAGTTTTATTTTGTACAAAAACAATCGTTACAGACATCTGATAACAGCTGCGTTGTAAAAAAATAATCTGCTGGAGTAAAGGGGGCGTGGCCTGTCAGAAGACCGGCGTGAGCGCCTCGAAGAGACGATGGATGGCGACTTCGATCATTTCCCTCAGAGGCTCGTCGTTCGGACACGTCACCGCCTGCATGAGCAAATCCACGCCATTATTTTAAAAATAATACAATAAATGTGACTAAAATGAAATTTGATAACAAAATGTAAAGCCTTCAACTTGGGACTTTTTAAAAACTGACTAACTTCATCCAACATGGCTGCTCTGTTAACCCTTTAAGTTTTTACCAGCGTTGCTCTGAGCAGCAGCTAATAATGAGATCAGCGGTTTGCTAATTGCTGCTGGCTAGTCTGAAGGAGCAGACAGGAAGGAGCTCTGTCCTCGAAGACGAAATGGACATTAAAATGTTTCTCAAACATGCATGAAAGAATAAAGCCAAAACTGCTGGAATATTTTTGATGGGGGAAAAACAACATGATGTAAAGCTCCAGAAAGTAGATTTGACACAATATCGACTTTTAAAGGTAAGAATTATTTTAATGAATGGACTGTAAATGTTAACCAGGAGAAGTAATAAAAAGCAGACATGTTTATTGGTACTTTAGGCATTCCATGTTTTTATTTGTTTTGTATATTTCACATGATACTGCCCCTTTAAAAAAACAGAAATCTTCTCAGCCTGAAGAGGGCGCTGCTGTATTGAAACATTAACTTTCACTCACTCTCGTCTCCGGGTCGATTGTTGCCGTGGCGCCGTCCACCGTCACAAACAAATTCCTGCTGTCTTTGAAATTCACGCAGTCGTCCCCGAACATGTCACTGCAACACACAAAGCGCTCAGGTTGCTGCTCCAGTGGTCAGGCTTTTATTTTGAAAACCGCGGTTTGTGTGGACTCACTGCATCATGAGCTCCAGACGCTCCACAAACACCTCCATGTCCAAGGTCTCCTTCCTGCTGTCCAGGACTGAAAAACAAGCAAAGGTCAGCAGCCGAGCACCAGAGCGCCCCCTGCAGGCGGCCGTGTTGTGTTTACTGACACTTCTGGGCGTTGGGATTGGACTGGACCTCCAGAACCACAGTGGCGACGGCGTCTGCGTACATGTCGTTGAGCGGGTTGGCGACCCACTGAGGAGGAAACGGAGACATAAACAACCGGCTTTCCTGTAACTCCTTACCAGACTTTTTTATTTTATATTTATTTTATTTTTTAAAAATCCAAGTGAAGTTAATCAAAGATAAATAGTAAAAAGCAAATGTATTTTTGTGCTCTGAAATTGATTGCCATTTTTGGCTCTTGTGGCATTCCATATTCTTGTTGCTTTTGTGTATTTTGACTTCGAGGTTATCATTGTGTAAAGTGAAACTCAAATTGTAACATATTTTCTTTATTTCATCAGAATTGCAATCTTAGGTTTTGTATTGCCAAGTATTAAAATTTAAGCCTTTAAAACACAAAGAAATACAAAATATTTACTATTTGTCATAAAATTAGCCACTGACCTCCAGCAGCACCATGCCGGCTTCGTGAACCAGCGTGATGCTTTCGAAGATCTTCACTGTGATTTTCTCCGTTTTCTCCATCTGCTGCACGTCACCTGCACAGAAAACACCCAAACGCCGCAGGTGAGACGTCGCCTCCTCAGTCAGCAGGTTTAAAACATGGACAACATGTTTGTCAGTCAGAAAAGAGTCATTCCCTAAAAGAGGCCAGCATAAAGCGCCTGGAAATAAAAACCAGGTGAGTTTCTGTTTTACCTGCCAGGTTTCTCAGCTGGCTCACCAGCAGGGAGATGGGTCCGGTGAACGGGATGGCCTGAGACTGGGTCACCATGCCAACGGACAGATCCGTGTAGTCTGGACAGAGACGGAACCGAACAACATGGACACACCGCGGCGCGATGCATTCAGGGACACAGAACTGCAGGAAAAACTCAAACTGAAGGAGCAGAAACTACAAACTTACATCTTAAAATCAGCTGTTTCAAGAAGAACGAGGTCAAAGTTCAGTTCACTAAAGGTTAACAGTAACTAACCACCAACTACAAAGCCTGAAAAAGACAAACACTAAAATATTTTTAAATAAATAAAACAATGCTTAGCCTGGTGGGGATGAAAGGAAAGCCTGGTGGGCCGCCAGGCTGATGGTACAGCAGGTGAAACTCCGCCCACATCTCACTGCTGTTGATGTGAGGAGCGGCCATTTTGAAAAGTAAAACCGACCATACAAGATGCAATTGGAGTGGCTCTTAATTTCCAAGAAATCCGACTCCGTAGGGCGTTCCTGTTCACTTTTCCAACTGGGAAGTCTGAAATCCCAGTTTTGAGCAGCAGCTCTGTGATTGGACTGGACAGTTACTTACTGGAAAGGTCAGCTGGGGTCATGATGTGGTAGTTGAAGTTCCTCTTGACCAGGATCCCGGAGACCCTCTGGCCCTGAGCGCACTTCTTGTCTGCGAGCGCACCCATCACCTGCAGCAGGGCATGCTGGGAGTTAAAACGCCGTCGGACTTCATTGGTATTTGCGAAGACGCTGAGACGAACCTTCGCCAGCTTCTCTCCTCTGAAGGTGAGCGTTACGGCCTCGGTGTTCCTCGGGTTGTGGACCTCGATGTGGACCTCATCATTGTCCTCATACTCCCGGATCAGAGCCGCCTTCAGTCGGGCCATCTCGTTCTGCTCTCCATGGACCAGAATCTGCAGAACCAAACCAAGACCAATCAGCTGCTTCCTCTGGACTCGGATGGACGGAGCGGGGAGCCCGGATTACCACGTGGGGAGGTTTGAGAGCTCTGATGAACTCGCTGGTCTGCTGGTAGTCGGTGTGAGCCGAGAAGGAGATGTAGTCCACAGACATCTTCAGAGGAAGCTTCTGACCCGACATGGTGGTGATCTCCTCTGGTTCAGTCATGATGTGCTGCAACACAACAGCACTTTGTCACACATGACTACACATTTCTACCACAAGAGGGAGCTATTGCACCACCAGCTTCTGGTGGTTTGTTGACGTTGATTAGCAGGCCAATTTTTAGAGTTGCACGTTAGCTAGCTTCAAAAGTGCACTGCATATGGCTTCATTTTCCTCCAAATATTATGTTTGCTGTCGCATTAGTGGAACTAATATTTATTAGCGCAGCTATGTTTTCAGTCCAATTAGAATCTAAATCTAGGGTCAGGGTCAGAAGTTCTGGTCTGGATCACCTTGGCCAGCGTTCCCTCCACGCAGTACCCAGCGATGATGACGCCGTTCCTCCTGTCAGTGCACCAGCTCTCAAACAGCTCTCTGGAGAGTCCGCTCTGCATCATACCAGGCGACGCCATCACCACGCTGGGGCCGATGTCGTCAAAATGATCCATGCTCTGAAAACAAAAAACACAAACACAGTCAGCGATCGGTCGAGCCACAGCTGGACGCCACAGCTGGTCGCTGCACTGAGCGCGCTCAGTGACCTTCAGGTTGCTGATGTGCTTGAAGACGAAGGGGTTGTTGACGTTGATGGCCTTGCGGATCTTGTCGTTCATGGCGTTGATGTAGGTCTGGTAGACGGCCATGCACTTCCTGGCCAGAGACGAGGCGTAGTAGATGGGAATGTCGTGCAGCTCCGGGTGGTTCTGCCAGTACTCGTCTGGGTCAGAAGCAGATCTATATCAATCAGACTCATAGAACCGCCGTATGGTAAAAGGATGGAGCTGGACTCACCCAGGATGAGCAGCAGCTCCTGGGCTCGCCCCAAGGCGAACACGGGGATCAGGCAGCGGCCCTCGCGGTTCACGATGTCGTGCACCGTGTTGCAGAACCGGGCCTCTCTCTCCTCCCGTTTCTCATGGATGTGGGTGCCGTACGTCGACTCCTGTCACACAAGAATGTCTCAAATGTTCTGGTACTTTTCCATGATACCTCCAGATATTCTCAGGACAGTTAGTCACTGAAACTACCAGAAGCCTCACATGAATCTGTTTCTTTACCAACAGCCACAGTCTCCTGGCTTCTCAGGTTGGACCTTCAACATTTATTAGTTTTATTCTGTTTAGCATTAGCTTCCACAAAATGCTAGTTGGTATAGTGCTTTAGCATTAACTTCCATCAAGAACCATGTTGGTATAATACTTTAGAGTTAGCAATGCTCTAAAACAAATTGAAATTAATTATAACTCGGAGTAAGTTAGGAAAAATCCACAGATATTTAATAACAGAAAACCTACTGAAGTCCAGAAACTCTCCAATGAGTCTGAATTAACATGATTTATGTAAAGCACAGGGTCAAAACTCCTCCACAAGGAAGTTAAAGGCTCATCACTAGTTATAATGAAGATTAATCATTAACAGAGCTAGGGGCTACATTCAACACTAGGGGGCACTATAGTGAGGCACAAATAAAACAGAAGCTTAACAGAAGCTTCAAAATGGTTTTACACAGTTCGAGTTGGTGATGGGGAGCTGCTTCAGTCTGGTGACTCACTGTGATGAGGATGTCTGGCTTCACGCTGGGAATCTCCGCCGCCATCAGGTGTCTGTCCTCCTGCCGGGAGAAGTCCCCGGTGTACAGCAGCTGCACAAAAACACAAACACTTACAGAAGGAAAATCTCTGTTCCTATTAGTCAGAGGGCTGCATATTCACTCCAACTTTTAATATTTTTATAGGCAGACCTTGACGCCGGCGATCTCAATCATGAACATGGCGGCGCCCAGAACGTGGCCGGCGTGGTAACACCAGAACTTGATGCCCGCCACTTCTTTCACCTCGTGGAAGTTGATGGTTTCGATCTTCTCCATGCTGTCCTCCAGGTCGGTCTCGGTGTACAGCATGTCGTCCGCAGAGATGTTGCTGAGAGAGGAAAAAATCTGATCATTTCCAACCATCAAAGGATGTACAGTTTCTGTTTTAAGAGTTATTTTGATCAGATCAGAAGATCTCCAGGTTACCATCCACCAAGACTTTTTCTTCCATTTCATGCTAAATTTCCATTAGAAGAACCAGAATTCATGTTCGTGACCAGGTTTGTCTATGTGAACAGTGGTGGTCCTAGCAGAAATGATTCCCCGGGCATGACTCCACTTTGTCCCCCCAAACAATTAAAATGAAGAAATGAGATATTCAAGATATTTTTATATATGTTGGCCCCTGAACTCACCTGACTTTGACGTAGTCAGACAGGAGCCAGCGGTAGATGGCCTTGGTGGCGTGCGTCATAAAAGTACGTCCCTTAAAGCTGGTCTTCTGCAGGAACCAGGGAAGCGCTCCACAGTGGTCCAAGTGGAAGCTGAAAGAGGACAGAGCTGTGGCACTGAGCAATCTGGCCAATCTGTCATCCACCTCACCACTACTGCAGGTCTGCAGAGTTTTGATGCTGGTTTCCTGAACTCACTGGCTGATGAGCAGCAGGTCGATCTCAGCCGGGTCAATCAGGTCGATGTAGGGCAGAGCGTCCATCCCCTCCAGACCAGGATGGATCCCACAGTCCAGCTGGAGGTAAACAGATGTTTTACAATTTGGGGTTTTCAGTTTGTCCGGGAAACAACAGGAAAACCAGAGTCACCATGATTTTTCTGCCTTTGAACTCCAGGATGATGCAGGACCGTCCAACTTCCTGACCGGCTCCTCTGCACACAAACGCACCATGAAAGCATCACTTTAATCCAGATTACACATATCGCTTTAAAAAGAAAAATCTAACTTTCTAGTTTTCAGTTTGAATTACATACAATCAAAGAATGTTATTAAACAAGTTAGAGGTAAACTGGGGGCGGGAGGATGATTTTAAAGTATTATGAAAATAAGACTAATTTTAATAAGACACTAAAATTATAATCAATGAACTTTACTTGTCACCGAATTGAAAAGCTTATTCTTATTATTATTTATAAAATCAGAAGGTAATATGTTTGGGGACATGTATGCGATAAAACCCTGAATGTTGTGTTTTGTGAATGGAGTTTGGTGTAGGAGCAACGGGCTCGTGGATGAAAAGGTTTAAACTCACAGCGGGCGGATCAGCAGCTGGTCGCTTTCCTCCGCAGGAACCGCCGCGTCCGCTTTTCGCTTCGCCGCCATGTTTACCGTCATAAACTAAACAACACGTTTAACAAACAAATTCATCACTCCGCTACTTTCACCACAACTTCAGCACGGCGACACTTCCGGTCCCTCTTCAAATCAGTCCGGTCAGAACAACGTCTATCGTCTCCAGTTCCACCAATAAAATCCGACCGTAGATTCGTTTTGTTGTTTTTTTGAGCTGCGACTCTTTATGACCACTAAACCTTAACATTCCCACAGTCTTACCCAGAATACCTAACAGTTATAATAATATATTTACAAAAAGACAATGTCATTTGACGGGCTGTAAACAGCATTTAATCAGCCTCTTTAGAAACCATTTCACAATGAAAATGAAAGCTGATTGGTAGAAGCAGGCATTTCTGAAATGTCCCCAATAACACAGAATGAGTATGTCCTTCTGCCAATATAACCATGAATAAACTGATAAAATGACTTTTTATGTCCACACATTTATTTTCTAAAAATAAATGTTTTAAAAGTGGCTTTAGCGTGCAACTGGAAAAGACAACAGTTGTCTGAAGTTTATCTTTCCCCACACCAAAAATTGACTAATAAACCAAGAAATTCTAATTTTACATCAGTTCAGTCAAAGCTGCAGAAAAGCCAAAAGTGAGGCACTTAGAAACACAGAAATAATTGACTCATATTTGCTCCACGAAATGTGTTTTCATGAGAAGGAAATTCACCAACAATGTAGCAGAATATTATGTAGTAAAAACAAAACAGAACAGAATCTCCAGTTACATCAAAGTGTCTTTATTGAAGAGAGAAAACAACAAAATCTAACAGCCGTTTCCCGTTTTACCCTCTTGACCCTATTGTTGAATCTCACTGCTGGTTTTTCTGTCGAGAAAATGTTGAAATATTTTACATCTTTTCCACTTTTTGACCTGAAGCATTAAGATACGGATCGACTTTGTTGAAGAAGAGTCATTTCGTCGGTCTGTGTGAGATCGTCTTCCAACCATCGAACAGAACCAGCGAATCGTTAACCAATGAATGGCACCTTAATGTTTGCATTATGGAGCAATGAACCAAAACGTTTTACCTGGAGCTGATAAAAATTCTCCAACCCACAGGGAGACTTGTGTTTCTATTGGTATTTAGCTCTAATGAGCATCAACAGTTATATTTTCTGAACTCTTGATTGTTGGATTATCTGCAGATGTGTTGCATATTAGCAGACATAATGCGCCCAAGTCTCCATATTTACAGTGAACATTCGTGTCGACGCAGCGCTCCTGCCGTCTGTCTGCCTCCATGCTGAAGCTCCACAACTTTAAACATTTTCAAAAATATTCCCAGGACTCTTTAAAAATACATTTTTAAATGTAAAAACAAGGCACAAACATAATTTAAAGATGCAAACAATTGTCCTGCAGTGTTCAGCACGTTGGGTAAGGTAAACCTTTCCAGATATTACACATCAGGTCCGACACGAAGCCAGAGGGTCGTTTATGATCCAGTTTGAGTTTTTGACTGGTTTCGTCCAGTTGGACCTCCGGTGGAGAATGTGAACTCTTTACTTGACTGATCACTCAGTGATAAAGTGAACAAAGGTGATAGGAAACGCTCCCTTTCTGTCCGGTTCTCCTTCAATGTGACCGATCTGAAACACAAAGCAAACGCCGGTTACAGAAACATCATTAGGAAATCACAAAAAAAGCAAAACCAGCAAGAGAAAATAGATAATAGAGAGTAGACTTAAAAAACACTGCTTGTAAACCTTAAAATATGTTAAAAGTAGAAAGAAATAGTTCAGAAAAATGAATCATGGCGTACCCCCAGGCTCAGTTCTTAGCAAATCTCTTTTTAGTTTATGCATCAAATATTTGCCATATTCCTGCTCTGGTTGAAACCAAATATTTACATGCACTGAATAAAACGACACAATTCAGACATTTTAAGAGAAAGTTATCTCTGATACTGACCAAATGTATCAGACTTCTGAAATCAAGGAAACATTTCTAAAAAAGGTTCTCAAGTTTTCTGTTATTTAGCTAATCTAAATTATTTTGGTGATTTTAACTAAGCTAAAACAAGAGCATTGCATCTAAAAAGTAATTTCATACATTGAATGTGTTAAGGGATTTACACATTTTACAGGTGACATTAGAGCCATGCAGGATTCTCATTTTATCAACCTGATCCACATTCTTCCTTTCCTGAGGTCACAGACACTCACCCACCACTCGTGGTCCTCCTCCCCCTCCACCACAATCACCTCCCCTTCGTTGAATGTCAGCTCGTCTGGATTGTCAGCAAAGCAGTCATAGATGGCCTTCACCCTCTGTGGCTTTGGCTTCTGCAGAACCACAGAGACAAAGTTCACACTCAGCTTCAAACACCACAAATGATTTCACATCTGGAAGGTCTGAGGACTCACAGAGACGGCGGTTCTGGGTTTCGGTGTAGGAGGAGCCGGACTTGCAGGAGTCCTGATACCTAAAAGGAGAAGGTTGTTGGTGAATTAATAGCTAATAAAGATTAGCTAAATGCCACAGAAACCTCTAACGCTACAGGAGGTACACTGACTGCACAATTTATAGGTTCGCCTGTTTATTAGACCGTCTTATGACACACAATGTGTCCAAAATGAGGAATTGGAGTAGACCCAATGCCTGATTGGTATTGGGTCCAATGCCAATGGGTAGACCCAATGCTTTACCAATGATTCGCCAAAGCAGACCCTTCTGAGTGAATCCATACCCCAGGGGGTCTGGACTCCTGACCTGGTAACTCCAAGGCTGCTGGTCTAAATGAAGAGCAAAGAGGGTTTTCTTTACCTGGTTTGTTCACAGATGCAGTTCTGATTGGAGGTCTTTCAGGAGCCTGCTTCTCTAACCTGAAACCAACAAAAATAAAGTCAAACTTACAACACTTTCAGTCTTTACATTTAAGCCCAATCTGATGAGATTGGGTCAACGTAAGTGGCGTCTCTCCAGTAACGTCTTTCGTCTTTCAGGGAACTTCCAAGGCAACGCTCAGGTGTTTGAGAGACAACTTCAAGGAGCATCTTTCTTCTTTTAGACCAATTCAAGTCTTAAGTCTTTTATTCACATGTTCAAGTCAATTTATTCCCTGATCAATGCCATATCAACTTCCGGTTTGTTTAAACTAGAACCAAATGGTGAATCTTATCTCGTACTTGGGTGTTGCGGTTCCTGGAGGTCTGCTGGGCTGGAGCCTGTCCAGCGGCGGGGTCGGAGGTTGAGGTTTGTAGTGGGGCGGCGATGTGAGCGGTGGTCCCGGCGGACGTCCAGCTGGTGGAGGAGGTATAGGAGGCAGCGGCGTGTTTTTGGCTGACGCGTTTGTTGCATCGAACCTGCTGGATCTCCTAACTGAAGGAGGAGCTGGAGGAGGGACAGCTGGGAGCACTGGGAGAGGAACACGAACAGGTCAAATTTCTCTTCATTTACTTGAATCAAAGAACAAAACCGGCGAGACGCTCACCATACATGGAGGAGTTTGAATCAGAGTTCGGAGGGTTAGACGGGTCAGAGGATGAACGCTGCCTTCCGACTGTTTCTACTGCAGCCGGTTTACCGACGCCCGGTCCTCGGTTCGGACCTCTGGGAGGCAGCGGGGGGGTCGGCCCCGGCGGCGGCAGGGCCCCCTCCATCATGGTGCCGTACGTCTCATTGCTGATCATAGAGCTTGGGATGGGAGGCCTTTGCTTGGCTTTGAAAGCGATGTCGTGCGCCAACGCCGCCAGGTTGGACTGCATGGCGCCGGGAACGATGCAGCTGACCGGACGGTCTTCACGGCGCGGCGCTTTCAGGATGGGCTGCAAACAAATCCCAAAGGGTGTTAACATCCTGAATCCCAGACAGGAGACTCCGTCGGCGTGGTAAAATGGCCGACCTTGTCCTCTAACTCGTCCTCGCTCTCGTCCAGCTCCTCGTGTTGGAGGCGCCACTCGTACTCGACGTGAACATGGACGTTAAACTTCCCGGTCTGAGCCTCAGTCAGCTGGAAGAGGAAGCATGACGAGACGTAGATTACCCAGAATGCTCCAAAAAAATCAGCATAAAAATAAGACAAAGGCAGATCTGATATTTGGAAAATCTGAATAAGTTTCACAGATAAATTTCACAGGAAAAATTTATTAATTTCAGATAATTTTTAACTGAGAAACTTGAAGTTTGAGTTTGTAGGGGATGTGATCTGGTTTTTGATTTGCTGTCATAGCTGTAAACCAGAAACACACCAGGCTGGATTCCCAGCACCAGGCTGGATTCCCAGCACCAGGCTGGATTCCCAGCACCAGGCTGGATTCCCAGTACGGATCCTGAGTCGACCTTTGGGAACCAGAAAAACAATTATTGTAACCTCTAGAAGCTCACCAGCTCTTTGCACTGAGAGTGTCCCAGGCGTTTCGCGATGTCTAGAGGCGTTTCTCCTGCTTCGTTTGCTGCAGAGACAAAATCAGTATTTTGGTTCATTCTGACAGGAAACATCAACAACAAGCAGCTTTGATTCCTCGGTTTAAAAAAAGACATGAACTCCAGTGAAAAACGGTTTTGTGTGACTTTTCAGGGTTTCTGAAATTGTGAAAGATTCGCGCTGGTACTGACTGTCTTGTTGCAGACTTGATTCCTTCTGTCAAAATTAATCAGAAAATGACTTTTCATTTAGATTTTAACACCAGAAAAAGCATTTATGAAACAAAACTTTTAAAATAAACATAGGAATTTAAAGGAATTTTATGCATTTTTTGTGCTTTTTTAAATCCATTTTCCATTATGATTAAAATGATTTTAATAGCAAATGATTATTTTCATGTGCAAAGAAAACATTTGCAGTTTCTCTAATTTGCTGATTATCACATTGTGAGGGAGTTGCTGGTTTTCAGCTTCTTTTTGCTCCTGTTTTCAAGAAAGTTTGGACATTTTGAAGCAAAGTGATGCATTATGTTGGAGCATCTGTCTCTTTATTTAGCCAACTGATTAGAGCAACCAATGATGCCTCTCAGCTCCAAACCTGAAGCTGCAAAGTTTGTGAAACCGAACCGACTCCTAAAGCTGATTCTGCCATATTTCCATAAGCAGAAGTCGTTTTACTGGTTCCCAGTAAAATGAGCCGTTTGAGTCTTACTGATGGAAACTGTAGCTTTCCCCCTCAGCAGCAGCTTCAGACACTCGCTGTTGCCCGTCAGGCAGCAGTAGTGCAGCGCTGTGCTTCCTCTGGCCGTCTGCTTGTCCAGGTTGCCACTGAAACACAGTCAGAGAGGTCAGAGGTCACAGAAGCAGCCGAGAGGGTCCGTTAGGCGGCCAGCCGTTACCTGTTCTGAGCGAGGAAGTCGACGATGTGCAGAGAGTTTCTGTCCACCACTCTGACGGCCAGGTGGAGCACCGTCTCTCCGTTTTCCTGACGGACACAAACGCAGCAGTGAAACACAGAGTCACAATTTTTGAGGACTCTACCAACATCTGTGGAATAAGTTAAATATCACTGGTATTCACTGGTATTTACTGGTATTTACTGCAGTACTTACTGCTGAATTAGCAAAACTAGCTTAGCCAATGTAGCTTCTATCTGCTAGCCAACGCAGAGGAGTATAAGCTCTTCCTGTTCATTAGGTAGTGAACTATCTGGTAGAACAAGGCTGGAGGCAGCTTGTCCACATCGTCTGGCATATTTTCTTTCTCCGCCTCAAACTGCTCAATCCCAACAGCAGCCATTTTGTATCATTCTTTCCCCCATTGGTCTACATAGTTTGTGTTTGTTAGCCTGCTATGCGTTGCCTACTAAGATGGCGCGGATCACTTCCAGTTCAGAGAACAGCTGTGTGTCAGTCTGGCTACACAGTGGCGTGTTGTGAAGACGGCCTGCCCCCTAGTGGTGGTGTGTGTTCGTACGTGTTCGTCGGGCTGCGGGAACGCCTCCATCAGGTCCACGCCCTCGGCGTAGACCTGGATGAGCGACAGGATGTCCCGTTTCCGGACGGCCTCGTACATCGCCTTCAGCCTGGACTCGGCGTCGGCGCTGAACTTCAGGGCGAAGCGTTTCTCCGTGTACTTCGCCGTGATGTAGTCCTTCCTCATTTGCCTGGAAAAACCCGCAGACGGCGTTCAGATCCTGCAGCTTCTCGGCAGAACATCACCAGCAGAACCTACATGTCACTCTTTGGGTCCGGTTTGGTCACGCCCTCCAGATCCGCCTCCATGATGTCGTTGAAGTTGGCATTTCCCACATTCTTTGCCAGCTAAAACAGAGCAGAAGATGATCAGCTGTGACCAGAACCGTCTGCAACTGGATCAGCTGATCATCTGCTGCTGAAAACAGGATTTTCAGGTTCTGTCATTTTCAGCCATGAAACTTCTTCTTTTCTCCAGTTTCCTTTTTTAGAACTAAATGTTCTCTGTGTGCTGTAAATATTTAATTCCTGATACATTTGCCTCTTTTGTTTGACAAACAACCTGGAAACAAACAGCTGGACCATTTTCTCTGTTCATTGAACAGCTGTCACTGTGTTTCAGGTATGTTTAGCTTTGCCTTAAACATACCAAAGACTCTGAAATTATGACAAAACAAAATAAATAATCTAACAAACTTATCAAAACAAGATGGCCGTCTTCGGCCACTCTGAACTACGGAAACCAAAAAAGTAGATTTTCTGAAAATGAAATCTTCAAAAAGCAAAACTTTGCCTTGAATTGAGTTGAAGCAGCAACACTGAGCTGGACTCACCAGCAGCTCAGACGTCCCCAAAACGTCCAGCTCCAGACTCTGGATCCGGGAGTAATGGACGCCCATCTCCCGGTGGATCCCTGAACACTCGATGCAGATCAGGACGCCCAGGTTGGTGGAGAGCCACGTTGGACCTGCAGTCAGGATGAGGAGGGATCATGAAAACATGACGGATCCAGAGTTCAGTTCATCGTTTCATTGCTTTAGTTACTTTACAGGGTTTCTGTGTCAAAGAAAACAACGGAAAAGTTAATTTATTTTAGTAATTCAATTAAAAAAGTTAAACTAATTTGTCTTATGATCCATGCCACACAGAATTACATATGTTAAGTTCATTACAGCGAACCGGGGATAAAAATGATCACATCAGAACAATAGAAAAGTATTTTCTAACAGGAAGCTTTATTTTAATTGAACCCAAACATAATACGTTCCACAGCACATCTACATGTTAAGAATGTCATAGTCAAGCTAGCATAACTGAACGACTTCCCTGTCCCTGGCTTTTTTGTCAGCTAAACCTTTTTCCTGACTTTTTGTCCTAGTTGTCTAGTGTTGACAGTTGGTGGAAAGGCACCGCGTCCATTTTTCTTTCATAGATTTAGACCAGTGCTAGTCATTGTTGGCTAGCAGTTTGTTGCTGCAACATGTAATAAGAGTTTATCCGAGGTAAATATAACCGAATGGTGCAAAGACCCACTAGGAGCGCCGCAGTCGCAGCAGCTGTCGTTCCCGTTCATCCGCTTCACCTCCCCCACGATGGCCTTGGTCAGCTCCTGCACGATGTTGTTCTCCCCTTCGTTCTGGTCGCCTTTGAAGGCCATGTTCAGAGCCTCCTCCTTGCTGTTCTGCAGCACCGACACCCAGCTGAAACACACAGGTTGCCGTCAGAACCAACAGCAACATGGCCGCCGACAACAGACTCTGGAGCGGAAACTTACACCTGACAGTCCGCCTCGTCTTCGGCCTGGAAGTGGTACGTTCTGTCGTCTGCAAGAGAGGAGCAAAGGGATGAAGACATGGAAACCGTGTTGGTCCGATGTGAGGACGGATCGGGTCTGCTGCGTACGGGAGAACAGGTCGAAGCTCTTCTTCTCGTCGGGATTCATCTTCACCTGGCAGGTGAGCAGGTTGAGTTTGGCTGGAGATTTGTTGGGCTTTTGAACACAGAGAGAAGAAACAAACTGAATATGGTGGAGCATTTACTAAACTATCAAAATCAGTGCAAACGTTTTTATAAAGACACTTGGAATGTTCAGTTTCAATGACCTTCAGCTTTACACACTGAAGCTGTAATAAACGCTGGGAGCAGCCGCCACTGAACGCAGCGCAGCCGCCACTGAACGCAGTGAAATATATACTGAAAAATAAAAAGCTGTTTTCCTTTTTCTGATCAGCCTTTTCTTTATTGAAAAGGATAAAATACCAGGATAAACTGCAGCGCAGAGACCCAGACTCAGTCCTCCCCCCAAACGCCTCTAATTTGTGTTGGATTTAAGTCCAAAGCTTTCCCACCCTGCTCTCTTTTATCCATTTCTTTATGCTTTTTCTTCTGCTCCTTTTTCGCCTCCTTTTCCGCTTGCTCTGTCCTGATTGGCCCCTTGACTCCTCATGTAAACACTTCAAAATAAAAGGAGGAAGACGAAAAAGGAATAATAAATATAAACCCAAATAAAAAATGTTGATATTGATAACCCAGGGGGAGCCTTCTGATTGGACATGCAGGCTGAGGGCGGGAGCTTTTCATGCAGGACAACCAATGAGAGGAGAGGATTCGGAGGTCTCACCGTGCCGTGGGAGATGGTCAGTAAGCCTTTATCAACGGAGCATTTTCTCTTCTGCCACACCTTTCTCAACCTGAGGAGGCAAAACCAACCTTCAGACCAAACATTAGAGAGTTTCAGCTGCTATTTAGATGCTAAATGCAAATAAAAATCAGATCAATCTTCCTGAGATCAGAACATTCAGAACTCCAAAAGCAACAAAAGTGACACGTTGCAGGGAAACAAACCCTCAATTTTTGGAGATGAAGTGGAAGTGATTGATAAATATATTTAAAAGAAAAACGGAACTCCCTTTTACTTTTTTCAGTTTTAATTATAAAATGTTTTAAATAAATTTTCTTCCCTCAATAATGCTCTGCTATATGTTCAGAAAATCCTAAAACAAACAACTAAAATATTCTGGTTGCAAGGTGACAAAATGTGGAATCACTTCTGCCTGAAACAAAGAAAAATGTAAAATGTGAAAGATGCAGCCAGGTCCTAGTAAGCTGCTCCAGCCGCCATTGTTTCCTGTTGGATTCTGGGAGTTGAAGTTCACTCACCCCTCACTTTTCTTGTAGAGGAATCCAGAGTATTTGGTGCCGTGAGCTTTGTTTCCTTGAAGCTGATGGAGGTTGTAACCGACGCTCTGCTTCGCCTGAAGATCCTGAGGTTCAAGCACAACTTCATCATCATCATCATCATCATCATCATCATCATCATCATCATCATCATCATCATCATCATCAACTACTCCTTAAAACAAAAACTGCCTGAAAATGTCTTCTGTTTTTGCTTTTCTGTCTCACTGAAATCATTCGGGGCACCAAAAAAAGTTTAACACAAGAAAAATAACACAAATGTTTGGGCAAATTCAACCAAAACAAATGCATTAGCCTAGCATTATCCTAACGTTAGCCTAGCATTATCCTAACGTTAGCATAGCATTATTCTAACGTTAGCGTAGCATTAGCCTAACGTTAGCGTATCATTAGCCTAACGTTAGCATGGCATTAGTCTAACATTAGCCTAGCAAAGTAAGTGAGACAAAAGAGAAATCCACTAAAATCTGACGCCAATATATTCTGTTTGCATGTTGTGTTGAGAGAAGTTGCGCTCAGTGTCTTCTTCAGAGGTTTTTGTGTCGTTCTGGGTGCAGCGCCCCTACAGGTGAGGAGAGGAAGAGATTTTTTCATTTGTCTGGATTATTTCAGTGCAGTGAGAAAGAACCACAGCAAATGTTACAATTTAGTTTCCATTGAAACTGAATCCAGTGAATTAGCAGGTGGAAAATAATCTGTTTGTTCTTGAACTTGTTTAGATCAGGTCACGATGAGTCGCTTTTTGAGATCTTCTAGCCACTTCATGGTGTCAGAAAAGATCTGTTAAGTTTTTCTTGCTTCTACGGGTCTAACAGTAATGAATGTTAATCACTATTTACTTTGTTTAGGGTTCTTGTCACTGTTTTGTGATCTCAATCAATGTGAGATAAAAAAGCAAAAAACAGAGAAAATTGTAATAATGCAATAAAGATGTTTCCACCTCCTTTTGCTCGGAGTGCAGCGACGCCTTCAGGACGTCTCGGAGCTGACTCAGCTGCTTCCTCTCTCCATCCTGAGTCTGTTTGATCTGAAATGAACAGAAACCGTTTAACTGAAGTCACAGAAAGCTTCAACACGCATCAGAAGCCGTGATTCCTCACCGTGGTCAGCTCTGTGCCTATCTTCTCCACGGCTGGTTTCAGATTCTCCACAGTTTTCAGTCCGTCCTGAAAAAAACTGCAAAATGTGCATATTGAAGTTATTATAGTTAAATAAAACTAACAAAATGACATCGAAACGGAGAAACCATTTTTGTTAACTGAAATAATAAAAATGATAATTAATGGGTTGTTGGAAAATTAAAGCATTTTCCTTCTGGCGACACTTACGCTTGTCCACAAATTGACGACAGCAAAAGTTGGGAGAAAACAGCAGAGTCAGCAGATTGTTCAACAACTGGAGACACTTTTTATTTTTCTGTTAACCAACTGATGTAAATTATAATAATTAGACCTTTGATTTCTGCACCAAGTAATTAACAACCACTATAACTAATAAAAAGCCAAAAAATATTATACAAATAACTAAAAAATTAGTAAACATATTTTAAAAGCTAAGGCTAAACAACCCTGGTAAACATGATTTTGTTCATGAGAAGCAGAGGAAAATTTATTTTAAGATAAATTTATCTCTTTGACTTTTGCAAAGAAACTAAAAGGTTTTAAACTATTACGTTATTTTTTTTGTCATTTTTCAGGTTTTCTTACTTGCACTGAGCGTGGAAGTACTTGATGAGGTTCTGGAGGAAGTCGACGCCTTTCTTCTGCTTGATCTCGTTGACCTTCAGCAGGTACTGCAGCGACAGAGCAGAGATCAGGAAACGTCATAAACGAGCTGGCTGCACATTACTGATATCATGGAATAAAATACTTTTAAAAACCCGACTTCCTCCTTTCAGCGAGCCGGTTTAGACGTGAAAAGAGCTGATCTCTGAAGTGGTTAGACAAACCGAGCTCAGAATGACTCGTAGTTCTGCTACAGGAAAACCGTCCACTTGGTTCTGCTCAGTAGAAAATGTCTGACAGGCTCTAAATGCTCTGAGAAGTTAAATTTAATATCCATAAAAGCACTAAGTGAACAAAAGGCACCTTTAAAATAATATTTCATACAACAGAAGACAATGGGAGCTCATTGTGTTGTTTCATATATGACCTATAGGGGGCAGTGCTGGGTACAAACTTGATAAATAACATTAAAATGTTTTTTATTTTAGTTTGAAGAAGAAGAAACCAACGAGGATGGTTTAGTTTTTCTGTTTAAAGACCAGAGAAACGTTTTTTCTTGCTTCAGAGAACAGCGACCAGAAAACCGAGGCGAATGCGGAAAGAGGATGTGAAGCGTCACAAACCTGGTGACCAAAGACACCAAACAGAAAAGTCTCTGAAACTAGAAAGTCCAGCAGGAGTCTAACAGGACCTGATCACTGGACCCTGAACTTCGGGTCTCAGTTAAATGTTCTTCAATAATCTCCTTTCTGGAAATAAACATTACATTAAAATAGCCATTTTCAGTTTTCTGTTATGTATGGACAGAATGGTGTTCCATACTTCTTTTAAAAACAAAGCATTAAATTTTAAGAAATCACTGCAAGTCATTCGGAAAGCGTGAAAAACTATAGATAAAGATCATTTTACTGCAATAAATAACCAAGAAATTAGGGATGATTTGGACCGGTGAGTAGCTCCGTATGTCCAGTTGGTTCGTCATAAGAACCGCCCAGCAGCTCATCACCGGCGGATCAGAGGATCCTGAAGGTTCAGCTCAGCAGTGAAGACTCTCACCTCACACATCTGCAGCTGGAAAATCCGTCTTTCTTTCTCCATTTCTTCTGCAATTTCTCCTCCACTGATCTCGGCCCGGATCATGCCATGCTGCTTGGCGTGTTCCCGCTTCTCCTTCTCAATCTTTGCTCTGCAACGGGTTACAGTGAGACGTTAGAAAGAATAATTAAATAGAACTAATCTGGACGATCTGACGGTAATGTTTATATTCTTACAGTTTTGTTTCGTAATCCTTCCAGGATTTATCAAATGACTTTTTCAGGTCCTGAAAGGAACCAAACAGAGACGTCATAAATTCTCAGCAGATGACGCTTAAAGCAGCAAACAGCTCCAGGTTGAACCTTGACCATCGAGTCACTCTGGAAATATTTCCTTATCATCACATGAGTTCATGTTTAGTGAAGAAAGACTCGTCCACAGGCTGCACTGAAGGGTTACAGAGACTTTAGATTCATTAGATCAGAGGCAAAATACAAAGAAAGTTTACTGCCAAGAATAATTTTGATTAAACTAGGAGTGGAAACACAAGATAAGGGGAATTTAGTGCTATAAATCATGGTTTTATGTAAAAGTACAATTCACAGAAGACAAGTTGAGACCAAATGTGGAAAAAAACATCATTTAACAAATATAATGGAAAACTGAACTGGATTTAGAGGAGACTGCAGCAGAACTTAAAAACCAGAGATGGAGAACTTTTAATTTCTAAAATAAATTAGCAAAAAATGTGAGGAAATAACACCTGAAACTCTTCTTAGTTTTTTAACATCAATCAAGGATCAGGAATCTGGCCAGTGGATGCAAAGGCACAGAAAACACATGAATAATGCAAACTCCAAAAACAAATGTAAAAAAAATTCTGCAACCACAACAAACACAAAAAATGTTAAAAAGAAATTTAAAAAGCCACAAACTTTTCTTCCTGAAAAAACCACATGCAGATTGTTTTGCACAAGAACATTAAGTAATGCAATGAAAATAAGAAAACCGTCAAGTGTCTGTGTGGAAACACGAAGCAGTTCAGATTTAGTGAGCCGGTGTGAAACTGAAACACAAACCCCTTTCACTCCTTTCAGGTCTCCTTTCAGCAGACTGTCCAGAGGAAATGTGATGATGTTGTTCATGTTCTGCAGCTGCAAAAACACAAACTCGTCAAAAACCTTTTCAAGTTGTAAAACTAGAGACCAAATTTATCCTCTGGAGAAAACAAGCATCCTCACCAGGTTCTTTAGCAGAGCCGCCAACTCTTTGGTGAACACGGCGAACTTCAGGAAGGCGGCGCCGAGTTCGCCTTCCATGTCGTTCAGGAAGTTTCCTGCGAACTTCTCCAGGGATTGGACGTACTGCTCCTCGTTCTCTACATGACCTGTGACCCAGGAACGTCAGGAATATCAGCTTACAGCGGCAAAATACAGAAACAGAAATGTTCTGAGGATGCAGAGCAGAACCAGAACCAGAACCTGAGGGTCTGGCAGGTTGATACAACAGCAGCAGATCTTTAATGTGGTGCTAAAACATTCAGTGGTTTATAAAAACTCACTGAAATATCTTTTAAGTTTATTCTCTGACCTGCAGCTGCAGTGAAGAATGTGACTAAAGATAAAAGTGTTGACCAGTTTCTCTAGACGTGAGTCTTCAGGTGATGGAAGGCCGGCTTTGTATCCGTCTTTATGTGTTACTGAATGTCCAGGTCAGAGTTCATCACCACACCCAGATTTCAGGCCTGACCTTCAGTTTCCAGTTCTAATAACAGAAGCTGAAGTAGAATAACTCCACCTTCTAACGTACTTTAGACAAACATGTTACTTTCATAAACATGAGCAAAGGAACAGATTCAACCCTGGTTTAATAACATCGAGAACACGATACGATAAAACATCGTCCCCACGTTTCGCTTCTGGACAACCACAGTTCTCCGGCACACATTTAAAATATAATTTAAAAAAATCACAAAATATGTTGTGAAGTTTTTTAACAAGCTCAAAAATAAACAAAACATTAAATATTTCAGTTAGTCATCAAGTCTGAGCTAAAAATTAAAACGTCTATTCTCAGCAATAAGAACAACTTCAGTTTATTCAATTAATCAAACATTAGATTAGCTGCATTAAATCCACTTTTGAGTAAATATCAGTGGATTCATGTGGTTTGATTTACTAAAATTAAAGAAAAAACAAAAAGACAAGTTATTTTATCTGGAATAAAAACGCCCTTATGGAAAATAAAAGTTAGTTATTTTGGTGCTTTGACCAACAAATGTTTACTGTTCTTGAATTTGGACTAAAGCAGCGTTCTGGCCGTGCATGAACCCAGAGCCAAACATCAACACAAAAACCTAAAAATAAACTTCAGACATCCGAACAGATCATGAAAGACCTGAAGCTGCTGCCGTTTCTCCGACAGAAACATGTTGAGGCAGCGAGTTTGGTGCTGCGCTGGACTCCCGCTGTGTGTGTGTGTGTGTGTGTGTGTGTGTGTGTGTGTGTGTGTGTGTGTGTGTGTGTATGGGATTCCTTCCTCCCTGCATCAGAGGGTCTGCGTGCTGCAACAGGAACCAGTATGACAGGAATGCTGGGAGCTGAGACTCCACCTGCCTGAAGTCAGACCCACCCGCCCAGCATCCGGCTGCAGACGAACCAAACGCACCCCAAGCTCAAACAGCAGCCAGAAAACTCAGAGGCTTCAACTGATGCAAAATGCCAATAAATAGATCAATAATCCATAACATGGATTTTCAAATATTTTGTCACAAATAAATAATGTCAGTCCAAGAGGCGAATAAATAAATAAACATAAATTAAATAATTTTTATAAATGATAAAAACTATTGATTTAAAAACATTCCTGGCACAAAGAAACAATATTTCTAAAGGGAAATAAATCAATAAAATAAATGCAGAAATCCTGATAGTAATAATAATAAGTTTATTTCAATGAAACATTTTTATATTAATTATTAAATTTAACAAGAAAAACAATTCCAAATGAAAATTTAACAAAGTCAAGGCTTTAAGTTTTAATTGAAAAATAAAAAAAGCCTCAATGGCATCAAATTGACATATTTAGGTTTTTAATGAAGCCGTTTCATTTCCTGCTGAGTCAATAAAATGGAAACCAGAAGAAATTTTATCTTTCAGAAAACAGAACTTCCTCAGAAGAATAAAAATAAAGGAAACGCCTCTAAATGCAGATGATTAGCGTCTTGATGGCTCAAATAAAACCTGACCTTTCACCCTAAATACCTGAAGAGGGGAGAAGGATGAAGTTCAACCATCTTTCATCCATGTTAATGTGCTAAAAGAGGAAAGTTGACTCACCGAGGCCGGAGTGGTTGATGGCCTTCACCGACTTCTTGATCTTAGACAGGAAGGATCTGTCCAGGTCCAGAGCCTGCAGAAAACACAACGGGTCAAAGGTCAACGTGGGTCAGACCGAATGACACAAACAAACAAGATCACAGCAAAAAACCCGGCGGCGCTGAAGTCTCATACAAAAAGAGCCCAATAAAATTCTCATGGTCTGGTTTTGGTCCAAAGTGAAGTTACACAGTTAAATCTTTACAACAGATTTGGGTTATTTAGCCTGAGAGAAAAAAGCAGGTTCATTTTTCAGTCCTGTGTTATATATTCATTTATAAATGTCACAGTTTACAAACTAAATATTTAGTTAGCTTTAAATATTTAGCTGATATGCAACTTAACTTCCGGTTGGCTTGTTACAAAATATTTAGTTTGAAGATAAATATTTAGATTCTAACTAAATGTTTAGCTTAAGATCTAAACTAAATGTTACAAGCTAAATATTTAGCGTAGAAGTTAAAATATGACTAAAAATGAACCCCGATTTTTCTCTCTTAATTTGGCCAAATAACCGAAATTGCTGTTAATTTTTTACAGTGTAGCTTCAAACACAGTGACAAACGGTTCTGCTACGTTGCAAAAGTCCAACAGGCCAAAACAGCAGAGATAGAAAAATATCAATGCAAGGTGGAGAAAACTGATGAACACAAGACACAAAATGGTGAAAATCCAGGAAAATAAAAAAAAAGCTAAAAAATTAAAAAATACTGAAAGATCAGCAGAAAATTTCAGCAAATTCACCACAAATGTCAAAGCAGCGAAGCTAAATCTGTAATTCCTGCTTCTAGTTTTGATGCTGTGGGTCTTAATTAGTTTGTCTGTCAGCAAAGACGAGCCGACTTGATGCTATAGAAGGAAAGAGGAAGTTCAAGATAAAACTGACAAGTAAAGACAACGACACTTTGACCACGAAGCTTTTTCAGTTCACTTTGTCTGCAGCTCCAGAGACTCAGTCAGTCAAACTCATATCTGCAACATGCAGGTTTTAATTCAACAGATTTCTTCTGATGACACAAACTTTTTCTCAACAGGAAGCCGTTGAGCTGCTGCCGGTCAAAAATAGACGTTCTTTCACATGTTACTCAACAGGAAAATTGCACAACAAACCAAACCTTTATTAGGTCCAGTCATACGAACACTTGTCACCACAAAGGGCAAACCAGACAAACGTGACAGCAGCTTCATGCATTTAGACCTCAAGAGGCATTAATGACTTACTGGACATCAGAATAGAGGAAAGGAGGATTTTAACAAGAGGTCAGAGGTCAGAGGAGAATGGGCCCAAAGCAACAATAGCTCAATGTAACCTGTAGATATGCAAAACTCACATGCTGAATGTTTTGGTTCTTCCATTTGTGTCTCTACTGCTTCTAAAAGGAGCTCAACTGCTTAACAAACTCCCTCCTGTTGGGCAATAAGTTCATATTTTTGGTGCCTGGAAAATGACCCATTTCAAAAACCTCATAGCCTGTTACCTAGTAACCCCAGCCGAGCTCCAGCGTGTTCGGTCAGCTCGTTTAACCGCTGTACTATGGCTGCTTTGTTACTGACTCACTATCCAGAAACCACTTGCTGCTTTTATTGGTTTTGCATGAGGCTCCACTTCTGCTTTTCAAAGACATAAGGCTGCATAGCCACGTTCACATTGAGTTTGGGGAGGCATGGCCGCCAGCCGCTTACTCGGATTTAAAGCTGCAGAATGTAACAAATTAACAAAATCAAACAGAAGATGAAGTTTTCTTTCAGAATAAACTAACAAAAACAAGCTTGATCTTCTTTCGGTGAAGTTACTCAAACGTTTTACTCAAGAGTAACGATACTTCATAATAAAATTACTCAAGTGAAAGTTAGAAAAGTACATTTTTTCCAAAAAGTTACACAAATACATGTAACTGCGACCCAACTCTGGAAACCTTTTCTGTTTTTACACAAATTCTGACCCTCCATGTTCAAAGTCTGTATTTTAAAATCCACCTGGTTGTTTTCACAAAGTGTTTCATGACATCAAGCTGCTGCCAAGTGACAAAATTACTATTTGAAGAAGAAGTATAAGAATGAAGCAGAAATCAGTTCTGCTGGTTTTACTGCATTAGTCACATGACTCGGCCCGACTGCACACCTTTCGTCTGGAGTTTGGTCGGGTTTCCAGCTGTGAGTCACAGCTCAGTGACTCACAGCCTGAAACATGCAGAAAGTCCAGAAGCTCCATGTTTATCTGGAAAACTGAAGCTTTGAAACCCAGAACCCTGAACAGAAAGACGACCAGAAAATGCTCCAGCTTATGCAATAAAATGCAACAGACTAAGGAATTCAGCTCTAGTATTTAATTTCTATATATCCCTCCAGATCAATTTGTTTAAGATCAATAAGTTAAAAGGTATTTTATTTTAAAAGCAAAAGATACAAGGAAAACCCACAGAAACTTATCGCAGTGATATCTTATCAAACTAGGCTGGATGATGTGGCCAAAAGATTTATCACGCTAACGTGGTTTTGTGTCCGTTCATATTGATTATTATTGATCGATTTGTGTTTTAAACATCTAAAATATCACCAAACTGGTGATGTTTTCTTTTTTAAATGGCTTCTTCTCAAGCTGTTCTGAGGAATGGCGACAAAACCTGAAACTGCTGCTGCGCAGCAGGCTGTTGCTAGGTAACCGAAGAATGAGTGATAGTTGGCGCTACCAGCCTAGCTTAGCTAGCTGTGAGAGGCTGAGAGGCTGAAGTCCTTCCTTTGCCTACATTGCCCAGAATGCTGTGCGGTTCTGGATTGGAGTTCATTGAAATGATTGAATATTCTCTCAGACGCATCATCTATTGATATTGATCATGTTTCTATCACAATATATAACATCTTTGATCTAAGCTAAACTAAGACCTACAAACATTTTCAATCAGGACATCAACACTGATTTGACTAAACTAATGCAAATAAAAGATGCAAATTCTTCATAAGTTACCAGTAACAGACGAGGAGTTCACTTAACATTTAAAAAGAGAAAAGATCTTGTTCTGTTGAAAGAGATGTAAAAACTACTTTAACTTTCAGTCTCTTCCGTTGTGTCGTGATGAACAGGGACTGATGGATAAAACGCTGATTATTGTGCTTTTATTTCCTAATCCTCTCATTTGTTTTCCAGTCCAGATTCTTCACCAGCCTGTTGGAGCAAAACGGTGACATAAGCACAACCGCAAACACCACAGAGGAAAATCCATGCGTCTGCTGTCGTCTGAAAATGAATGAGTCGTGGATGAGTTGGAGTTACTCAGATCAGAGAATGGATGGAAGAGAAGAAAGACAATTAAAACAAGGGAGGTTCAGCAGAGAGACGTATAATCTGGAGAAAGGGAGGAACAAAGTGAGACTCATCATGTTGGGACTTGATCTGCCTTCAGTGGAGATATCCCAGCATGCAACAGGAGAAAACAAAGCCTGATCCTATGGTTTTTACTCACTCATATTTGCCTGTTGACTGATGAAAACATTGGAAATATTTGATGAATCAAATATAAAGTTACTGCACCTCCCATCACAGAACAGCTTTCTGTCTGAATCCCACATCTGACCGACCCAAGACTTCCTGCCGTTTGTTTTGGTGAAAGTCGAGTCCTTCAGTTCCTAAACGCTTCACGAAGGTGAAACTGTGTCACATCTCGAAGGCTTTTTGGAACAGTCAGGCAAGAATACATAAATCACAAACTGGGAACAGGTCCAGGCACTCTTTCAGGGCCTGGGGATGTGGATTTCTTCATAATTAATAATTGATTTTCTTTACGCGTCCAAGGACTTTCTGTGACGGGAATTTTGCAAACATTCATATTATGAACAGAGCTTTGATTTGAACAGTTGTGTTGATCTGCAAACACCAAAACACACCCAGAGCAGAGTAAACAGAAAGAAACCAAAGTGACTCCACTGTCAGCCTGACTGCCAACTCACTATTTTCATTCTTTTAAATATGTAAAATAGGGCTGTAATCTAAATTTTATCTCCTTTCCTAAAGATTTTATTAAACATTTTATGTGCAACAAATCATCTGTTATTATACCATATGCAGATGATGCGCTGCTTTACTTTGCTTTGTCTCTCCACAGAACCACAGGCATCTCCTCTTCTTTTACGAATGGCAGGTTTTCTAAAACAGGTTTTAAAACTTTGTTTTTGATCTTTAAGGTAATTGGGCCTGGTTTCACCAACTGGGCCTGTGTGTCATTAAATATACTGTGATCTTCAGCATTTTGGGAAACACCATGAGTGTTTGGTCTGAGACTGTAGAGTATTACACCAGCATGAAAAATTATTAACATTTGAAATATTAGCTAACATGCTGGCAGCACCAAAACTGAAAACATTAGCATTTACTGCATCTTCTCCATGAAGGTTAAAGGTCATTTTATCTATTTATGTTGACCATACAGTTGCTCTTTATTTGTTTAAAATTTGCATTTTACAGTTTCTTTCTGTACAGAGGGTTTCTCTTCATTCATGCTGCCTCCATCATTGTTGTAGCTCTTTTTAGACAAATGAGGAAACTGAAGAAACCTCCTTTTAAGACACATATTTTACTCGGCTGACTGAGAGTAAACTCTGAGAAATAAAACACACCGAGCAGCAGGTGACGAGTTTCACCCAAATCTGATCCAAAGAAACAGAACTGCAAGCAAGAAGCAACATAACATTAAAGAAAATGCTGCTAGTGAATTTTCTTATAGATTTTAAACAAAGTAAAAACACACAACACAAAATCAAGATGAAAACTACAAAACATAAAACACCTTGTCAAACTGGCCAGGGGAGAAAAGGTAAAAATGAGTCATGGCTGAGGTGTTTTTGTCTCTCTGGAGGAGAAAGTGTCTGCAAGCAGAAGTAGACAACGTTAAAGGTTTGCTCAGATTCGACACGTTGCCTAAAATGGCTACAGCAAAGATACACACAAAGAGTCTGAAAATGATTCAGGGAAATGGACTGCAGCGCTGCAACAGACAAACAAAAGAAGTACTAAAGGCTTAAAATCCAAAAGCAAACCAAGACAGTTAAAATTAGCTTTAGAGATTCTCCTAAAGGAAGCGAAAAACAAGCAAAGTGACCGTCCCAGTCCATGTCATCCTGCTGCAGACCGAAGCAGAAAAATACCTACAAGCTGCAGAAACCGGCTGCAGGGAGCAACAAAGAGCTCAAAATACAAAAACTTCACAACATTTCTCTGCCTCCTCATGAGCTTCAGCCAGTTGTCAACATGAGGACTGGTGACGCCACAACTACTCTTAAATAATTGGTTTGAAGCATTTCGGCTTCTGATAGAAACAATAAACAGACAGTAAATGTTAAACTTTACAACATTTACCGTTTGTTTACCTGTAGTTTTCTTGAATGTCATATTAAAATCTCATCCCGTCCCAATATTGAGTCTCATCTTGAGTTTTTCTCCTTCTAATAGTCCAATAAACTTGGTTAAATCGGCGATCAAAGTTTCAACATTTGTTGCCTTTTCAAGAGTTTCCAGATTTCTCTTTTGTCCTTGGTGAAAGACAGCAAAGCATTTCTCCTTTCAGCACTCGGCTAGTGGGTTTGCTTTGGCCGTATTTACCCAAAATGCCTTGCTCTGTGCTCCAGTCCGCTAGGCGTTCACATATGCATTCAAACTGAACCAGAGTTCACTTCAAACGAACCCAGACTGAGGTTTGCAAGTGGACCAGAATTCACTATGTTGGTTCGACTGCACATTCACACCTCCATAACCGAACTGGGCTTTCTAAACGAACCAGAGTCTGATGAAAGTGAACCCGCATGTCAACACGAAGCAGGTCAAAAGATCTGAGGAAACAGAACATGATGGCTTCGACTGAACAAATGAGAAACAAAGTGACCTGCAGACTGGAAAGAGTCACAACGTCGTTTCTGAGATTCATGGACTTCAGAGGAACAAAAGGTGACAAACATTTCAGACGTTGTTCCTGCAGTCAGGAACACACAAGGTGATGTCAAAGTGGACCTCCGTTCTGGTTCTGGTTCCGAAAACAGAGAAAACGAATCTCTGGCGAGCCGAGCGCCAAGCAGAGCTCAATATCTGGCTACTAATTTAATCTGAATAATCTGGAATCACAACCAAAATGTTTTCAGATAATCCAAGTGCAGAGTTGAGTAGTAACCATTTACTCAGTTAGTTTTTAAAATTACTTTTAGTTTTATTTGAGTATTTTTATTATTCAGGATCTAAACTCTCATTGGATTAAATTTTCTGGATTTTCAACCCACTGAATGAAAAACAAACATGTTTTAATCAGAATCACCTGCAGTTAAAGTTTCATAAGTTTTCTATTGATATTATTTTGCTTCATTTATTTTGCTGTTTTCTGATATGAATTATTGTCATTTTTGTCTTTAATAAAACAAAATTTGCATTTAACTTTATATTTCATCTGTTGATGTAATTTTTAAATCATTTACTTTTTACCAAACTCTTTTTTAATTTCTTGGAAGATTAATTTTTACTTTACGTAGTAAAAACACAAACTGTGTGAAAGAGTCTAAATGAGAGAACATGACATCCCAGCAGGAAAACAAAGATCTGGACCAGCATCCTGTGACCTTCCTCACCAGAACCAGCATCATCATCATCGGTTGCTAAACTTCACTGACAGGCTGTTGCAAAATGCTGAGAATCAACTGCAGCCTCATCAGGAGGAAGTTCTGCTTTCTGTTCCCCTTTTCAGACATGAAAACACGAGTGGAACCATGCAGAGCAGAGGGTCACCAAACTGACCCCCTGCAGGGCCAGCAGCCTGCAGGGCCAACCAGCTGCTTCCAGAGCAGGAAACGGACCAGCACCACTAAACCTGGAGCTGGTTCAATGAGAGCTGCTGAGTGTTCCCACCTCCTCCAGAGCTCCCACCGTGTTCCTGCACTGGGACATCCGGGTGGTGAAGCTGGACGTGGTGGGAGCTTTGTAGTCCTCATTGGTCTCCGCAACAAAGTCCGTCACGCTGATCTGGTCCGCCGGCATCTTGAGGAGAGAGAGAGTCCACAGCAGAACCGAACCGAGCCGAACCGAGCCGAGCTGAGCCGAGCCGCAGGTCCTGCGGGTGGAGCCGCTCCACCTGGCCGGATGAGTGAGAGTCCGCCGGGCTGTCAGAGAATCAAACCTCGGCCAGCTGCTGCGCGCGTCACTCAGTCCATGTTCTGGGTTGGTCGCATTCCTGAGTCCGTCCAGCAGCCGCCTCACCTGGAGCACCGAGCAGGGCGGGACGCGGACAGAGCTCTCACTCTGCTACGATTTCCTGGAACCAAAGTCTCCCGCTGGCCACGCCCCCTGGGTGGGCTCCCACTGCCTTCACCTTTGAACTGTGAATGAACAGACCCAAAACTCCGCAGAGAGCAGCAGGACTTCAACTTATTGTCACTCGAGCAAAAAATGGCCGACCAAGAAAGAGCAGAGTGAAGAACTTGATCAAACTGAAGATTTAAAAATGACATGATCAGACTGACTAAAAATATTAAAACAAGTGGAAATTTCGGTATTTTAAGGACAAAAATTACAATAATTCATAGGAATAATAAAAAATAAAATCAGATTCTTTCAATAAAAACTTAAGCAGCTTCAACAAAAACTGCAGCTTTTGGTGAATTTTTGGTTATTTTTGTTTGTTTTTTATTCAGCTGGTAGAGAAACCAGAAATTCACCCAAAGAAACTTCATAACAAAATTATTCAAGGAAAAGCAAAAAGTAATGTCGTAAAAATACCCCTAAAAGTAAATTTTTTTTGGAAAAATGCAATTAAATAAATGTAATTATTTTCTACAGAAGTCTGATCAAGCCCGCCTCCTAGCGGTGTGAGCATGTACTGCTCCTGGAATCACGTCTCTGATTGGCTGTTATTGTTGCACAATTCAGTACGGAAAGAGAAAAGGACAAACATCCTGAGTAACGTGTACAATTAGAAAACAGTTTTAATGTTTTTATAGTTTCCTTTCTTGTCGATTTGATGATTCCAGAGAATAAAAATCCAAAATTCAATGTCTGACAAAAATTATAGTTTTATATAAAATCAATAAAAACTGATATTTCAAACTAAAAGGTGAGGTTTATGAAAAGTTTCTAAATGTTCTTCATTCAGCACCTGGATGTGCTGCTCAGGTAGAGACATGTTGAGTCCTGACCCCTAGCGGACAGAAGGTATAACTACATCTTGTATTTTAGAGCTAAAGTACAAAAGAACAAATAATAAAAGGTGAAAATATAATTTAGGTTTTTTTATACAAAAAAGAAAAAGGGAATTTAAAATTAGATAATTTTAAACAACCTGACACAATTTTTCCCACCGAATTTTACAATTTTACAAAATCTCCCAAAAACAGGTTGAAATCTGTGATGAAACAAACTGTGGAGAAGTTGGAGTGAAAGCTTTGTAAAATATTTTGACAGTATTTAATGCTACTGATGTGACCATATTCTCCTGTATTAGAACTACAGCTGCAGGTCCAGCTGTATGTTTCTGTTCCCTCATGATATGAGATAAAATCCTGTTTCTCGTGTCGAGGGACAAAGAGCTGCTCGCTCTGATTCAGTGTTTTAAACTCCTGAAGATCCAAACTGCCTGTTGAACTAAAGGTAATTAATAATTCAATATCCGTCACTTTCTGACCATCTGATTAAAATGTAAAATCCTAATAACTATGGACTCATCTACATGTTTTAACCTTTGTAAATTAAAACAGTTTGGAATGTCGAACCGGTTCTGACAGAAGCAGACAGACGAGATCAGGAGTTTATTTTGAAACAATGAAGCCTTCAGTCGTCTGCATATTTTCATTTTCACCAGTTTCACCAGTTACGGAAGAGGAGCTTCCAGTAGCTTTTCTTGATTGTTGAAGCAGCTTCATAATCTTTCCATGGAGAAGTTAGTTGGTTTGGACAGATAGAAATATTATTAGTGTTGGACTCAGCAGGTTCTTGTTCTCTGAAGAAGCTGTGAACTATGGATCCGTGTGGGAAACATGAGAGCCAGATCAAAAGGTAAGATGTTTAAATCCACATTTTGCACATTAACCACTTTGTTCAAACATCATTTTTCCTCCTCACAGCTCTGAACTCAGCCAGGTGTCAGTCAAACGTCTTCGATTTTTATTTGAAGCCTCCGCTGACGCAAGGTGATTATTTTATATTTTTATGTCAAGTTATGTAGTGAAGACACAGATTTAATTAACTTGTAATTTGACTGAAATTCATCCGTCTGAGACACTTTATATAAGAAAAGGTCATTTAATTTAATCATAAATACATTCCTGTTAATCCTGGTCATCAGTCAGTTCATTGAACTCAGTTCTTTATTCCAATTTGTCCAAACTGTTTCTGTTTTTGCTAAAATCATCAAAAGTGATCCGAGTCCGGTCCGGTCCCCGGTCCGGTCCCCGCCCAGCGCCGTGTCCATGAAGAGCGACCGATCAATGGATCCGATCATCGTGTTCAAAGACACTAACCAGCCTGAACATCAGGGGTGAGAATCTCATTCTATTCTATTGATTTTCTTAAATCAAGATGCATTGTGGGAGTTTTATTAATGTGGCTCAAAGATTCCATAATTAAAACATTTTTGGTTTTAATCAGGATCCAGCAGCTTTAGAGGTATAAAAATAATAAAAACAAGAGCAACTATTTATTTTTTTAACATTAAATCAAAGTTTATTCATGTTTTCTTTATTACATAAGAGGATTTCCTCTGGGACTGAAGTTAAAGTTTAAATCAGTTTAGGAAAGACGGTGATTGTCAGACTCCATGTTTCTGCTCAGCTGTTTTCCATCCGTCTGCAGCAGTTTTCACACAGAAAGTGTGAGTTTCTACTTCCTTCTGTCTGTCTGGACACCAACGTGTTTCTGGAAACACGAATCGTCACACGTCAGTTTTAACAGTCAGTGAACTTGTGGTTGTTTGTTTGTGCAGGAGCCAGCAGCAGACGGCCTTACCGTCATCCAGCTGCTTGTCCATGAGGAGCGACCGCTCCATGGACCCGATTACCGTATTTAAGGACCAACACCAGTCTGTTCACAACGGGTGAGAACAGAAACTTTCAACTCTTTCCTTTTACAAATCATCATATTCATCATTTAAAGCAGCTGTTTATGGAAATAAAACTCCTCATATCCACTTCTCTTCATATTGAGGCAGTTAAACTTGTCCTCAAGCATTTTGGTATTTTACTGATGCAAATCCAAAATGAAGTTTAGAAGTTTAAAATGTGATTTTCTGCAGAGAGGAGCTGCAGGACTCGACGGTTCATCATCAAACTGACCTGCACTCCATTTTTAAGGCAAGAACCATTTTAGATGAAATACTTTATGGTTACAATAAATTACAGGAATAAATAATGTTTGAATTTTTAGTCCTTAAATATGAAATAATTTAATGGTTGCTGCAATGATCACAGTTATGTGATCCTCAACATAAATATGATTTCTAATGAATTTTTTCATTTTGTTTCAGGCTCTGGAGGAAAACATTGCAGGTTTTGTGAAGTCAGAGCTGAAGAAACTCCTGAACGTTGTTGGACCGGATTACCAGGAATACTTAAAGAACCAGAGAGACGATGAAGAGGAGCTGGATGGAGGTGAGGAAGAGCAGGAAAATCCCAGCGGAGAATCATTTCTGAGGCTGACGCTCCACTTCCTGAGGACGATGAGGCAGAAGAGGCTGGCCGATTATCTGCATCGCAGTGAGATTCTTTATTTAAAACATGTTCAACTTTACAAAACCACCAACTCAATTACTGCTTTTGAATTTATGCTTAAGCTTTAATTCACGGGAAGCTTTAAAACATTTTTAAAGTTATCGAAATGCTAAAGCATTTTCTCACTATCAGCTCATTAGTGGTTGTTTGTCCAACACTGCAAACCTCAGTGAGACATGAGGACATTTCCTGTATTCAGTGCTTGTTGTTTGCATTAAATTATATAAAAACTTTAAAACGTTGGGATACTTCAGCTGTTCCAGGTGTGTGACATGAAAAATGTCACATTTTACAGGATAAAGTGGATTTATTTGCTGTTGCAGAGACGAATTCAACGAGGTACCAGCAGAGACACAAGTCCAGCCTGAGGAGGAGGTTCCAGTGTGTGTTTGAAGGGATCGCTAGAGGCGGAAACCCAACCCTGTTAAACCAGATCTACACGGAGCTTCACATGACGGAGGGAGGAGCCGGAGAGGTCAACGCCGAGCACGAGGTCAGGCAGATTGAAATGACCCCCAGAAAACAGGGCGGTCCTGAAACAGTCAGAGTGGAAGACATCTTTAAGGTTCACAGCGACAAAGCTCAGCCCATCAGAACGATGCTCACTAAAGGAGTCGCTGGCATCGGGAAAACCATCCTGACGCAGAAGTTCACTCTGGATTGGGCCGAAGACAAATCCAATCAGGATATTCACTTTACCTTCCCGTTTGCCTTCAGAGAGCTGAATGTGCTGAAAGACAAAAGGTTCAGTTTGGTGGAACTCGTTCACCGCTTCTTTCCAGAAAGCAAAGAAATCTGCAACTTTGAACAGTTCAGTGTTTTGTTCATTTTTGATGGTCTGGATGAATATTGAAGCTCTCTGGACTTCCACAGCAGTCCGATCCTGACCGACGGTACCGAGGCCTCCTCCGTGGACGTCCTGCTGGTGAACCTCATCAGGGGGACGCTGCTGCCCTCCGCTCGCCTCTGGGTGACCATGAGACCTTCGGCCGTCAGCCTCGTCCCTCCTCAGTGTGTGGATGTGCTGACAGAAGTCAGAGGGTTTTCAGACTCCAAAAAGGAGGAGTACTTTAGGAAGAGGTTTAAAGATAAGAAGCAAGCCAACAGGATCGTCTCCCACATCAAATCTTCGCGAAGCCTCCACATCATGTGCCACATCCCCATCTTCTGCTGGATCAATGCTACGGTACTGGAGGACATGCTGAGCAGCAGAGAGGAGGGGGAGCTGCCAAAGACCCTCACTGAGATGTACATCCACTTCCTGGTGGTCCAGACCAAAGTAAAGAAAGTTAAATATGATAAAGGAAAGGAGACAGATCCTCACTGGAGTCCAGAGAGCAGGACGATGATTGAGTCTCTGGGGAAACTGGCTCTCGATCAGCTGCAGAAAGGAAACCTGATCTTCTATGAATCAGACCTGGCAGAGTGTGGCCTCGACCTCGGAGCAGCGTCTGTGACCTCAGGCGTACCTCAGCGTATTCACAGAGAGGGCTCTACCAGGACAAGATGTTCTGCTTCATCCATCTGAGTGTTCAGGAGTTTCTGGCTGCTCTTCATGTCCATCTGACCTTCATGAACTCTGGAACCAACCTGCTGCTGGCAGAACCAGAACCAGCAGGACCAGGAGAGCGAGATCCTGCAGTGATCCGCCTCCATCGGCTCGCTGTGGACAAGGCCCTGCAGAGTCCCAACGGACACTGGGACATGTTCCTCCGCTTTCTGCTGGGACTGTCCCAGCCAGTGAACCAGGCATTGCTGCGAGGCCTCCAGGCACAGAGCAGCTCACAGAGCAACCGAGAGACAATCCAGTACATCAAGAAGAAAATCAGCGACGACGTGTCAGTGGAGAAAAGCATCAACCTGTTCCACTGCCTGAATGAGCTGAACGACCGCTCTCTGGTGGAGGAGATCCAGCAGTTCCTGAAATCAGGACGTCTGTCCACAGACAGCCTGTCTCCGGCTCTGTGGTCGGCTCTGGTCTTCATCCTGCTGTCATCAGATGAAGACCTGGAAGTGTTTGACCTGAAGAGATACTCTGCGTCAGAAGATGCCCTGCTCAGGCTGCTTCCAGTGGTCAGAGCCTCCAACAGAGCTCTGTAGGTTCACAGAGGGTTTCACATGTTTAGCCTCTGGTTTCCAGCAGGCCTCAGTTTCTGATGCTGGTTCTGATCCGCAGACTGAGCGGCTGCAACCTCTCTGGGAGAAGCTGCGAGGCTTTGTCTTCGGTCCTAAGCTGCCAGTCTTCCAGTCTGAGACGACTGGACCTGAGTAACAACAAGCTGCAGGACGAAGGAGTGAAGCTGCTTGCAGTGGGACTGGAGAGTCCAAACTGCAAACTGGAGTCCCTCAGGTCAGAACATACTGGTTTCAACTGGTTTCAGCTGGTTTCAACTGGTTTCAACTGGTTTCAGCTGGTTTCAACTGGTTTCAACTGGTTCAACTGGTTTCAGCTGGTTTCAACTGGTTTCAACTGGTTTCAGCTGGTTTCAGCTGGTTTCAACTGGTTTCAGCTGGTTTCAACTGGTTTCAACTGGTTTCAACTGGTTTCAGCTGGTTTCAACTGGTTTCAACTGGTTTCAGCTGGTTTCAACTGGTTTCAACTGGTTTCACTGTTTCAACTGGTTTCAGCTGGTTTTAGCTGGTTTCAACTGGTTTAGACTGGTTTCAACTGGTTTTAGCTGGTTTCAACTGGTTTCAACTGGTTTCAACTGGTTTCACTTGTTTCAACTGGTTTCAACTGGTTTCAGCTGGTTTCACTTGTTTCAACTGGTTTCAACTGGTTTCAACTGGTTTCAACTGGTTTCAAACTGGTTTCAACTGGTTTCACTTGTTTCAACTGGTTTCAGCTGGTTTTAGCTGGTTTCAACTGGTTTCAACTGGTTTCAAATCTTTGGTGGAACCAAACCTGTAAAGTTTTCACCCTCCTCCCAATTTCAGTCTTACCGGATGTCTGATCACGGAGGACGGCTGCACTTCCCTGGCCAGAGCTCTCAGCTCCAACCCGTCCCACCTGGAAGAACTGGACCTCAGTTACAATCATCCTGGAGACTCAGGGCTGAAGCTGCTGTCGTCCAGGCTGACAGATCCTCACTGCAAACTGGAAACGCTCAGGTCTGTAGCTCTCCATCAGATTATTGATCAGATTATTGATCAGATTCCTGATCAGATATCTGGAACATAACCGAAGTTGAGAAAACGCGGGTCCAGTTTTGTCTGAGTGGATAGATGTTCATCTGATCAATAAATGATCATCTGATCAATAAATGATCTGATAAAGGAAAAGCCAGCTGTTTGGTGGTGATGCTGCAGCAGGTCTTTCCTGTCAGCAGAGACAGGAAGTTCTGCACGGACCTGGACTGGGTCAGTCAGTGGGAACCAGCAGATCATTTGATCTCTGAATCAGTAACATGTGGAGACGTTTGAATCCAGCTGTTTTCTTCCTGCAGAGTGGATCACTGTGGGAAGCAGTGGCTGACGCCTGGACTCAACAAATGTAAGTTTCTGTAATAATGAAGAAGAAAATCTATTCATTTTCAGGAATATTTCAAAGTAACATTTGATCATCTTTATTTATTTCTTAGCTTTGCAGCGGCTTGTTGACGTTTCTAAGCTCTTTCTCTGTTTATCCGTTTACTGGGTTCATTTCCTCGTTCACATTCTTTCCATCATCATTCCAGTAAAACCGGATTCTGGGGTTTTGAGCTCGACTTCCTTCTTCTAAAATCCCTTATTATCAAACTTAACTTGTCTTTTCTTTCTGTTTTTTATGCTTTTCATGATCTGATGCCTCATCAGTGAAGATTCCTTTATTTTCTGCAGCTTTGATTCTCTGAAATGTGACTTTGGACATTATTTGATCCCAACAGAAACATGACTCAGCACTTTCTAAAGCAGCTGCTGTAATGGCGGCCCACGCCTGTTTTGTCCTCCTCAGATTTCTGTGAACTTGAACTGGATCCAAACACAGCTGGCCGAAAGCTGCTTCTGTCTGACAACAACAGGAGCGTAAAAATCGTAAGCGCAGAGCAGCCGTACCCGGATCACCCCGACAGATTCCAGTGGAATCAGCTTCTGTGCAGAAACGGCCTGACTGGCCGCTGCTACTGGGAGGTGGAGTGGAGTGGGAGGGTCCTGGTGGCGGTCAGCTACAGGCGGATCACGCGCAGAGGCCTGAGCAGCGACTGCTGGTTTGGCGGGAACGACGTGTCGTGGGGTCTGAGGTGCTGCGACGACGTTGGTTACGCCATCTGTCATGAGAACAACATGGCCATCGTCCCGCTGCCGCAGTCCTGCCTCTCCCACAGGATAGCGGTGTACTTGGACTGTCCTGCTGGGACGCTGTCTTACTACCGAGTGTCTGCTGACACCCTGACGCACCTTCACACCTTCAACGCCACGTTCACCGAGCCGCTGTTCCCCGGCTTCGGGTTCTGGTTCGACTCCTCGGCGTCTCTGTGCTCTGTGTAAGGAAGTCAGGAAGGAATCAGTCACTATTATGTCATTATGATGTAAAACAGCAGAAATAATATTGATAAACGTTTTTCTGATGATTTTTGTACAACGTGTCATTCTTCTTACCTTCTGAATGTTTTATTGTTTTTGTTAATCTGTGATTTTCGGCCAACTTGTAATTAAATATTAAACTGGTTTTCTGAGTTTCCATTAAAACACTTTTCATGTGTCTATTGACTCTGTGACGTGTTTATTATTATTGTTAGTAACGACTTTGTTTTCTGTTTTATTATCATTATTATTTATCATTTGATCTGTTTCCAGAGTAATTTTGTTTAAACTAATCTTTCTAAAGATGTGATTTATTGACCTGAGTTTATACCAGTTTACTAACAACCCAACAAAAATAATAGAAATATTTAAAACATTCCTCAGAAGTTTATTTTATTTTAACTTAAATACCTTAGATATGTAAATTTTAGTCATGAAAAGTTTTAACTCAACTAATCACTCTTAAATTTTTACATATTTTTTGGATTTCTTACATCATATTTAGTCTGAAATGAATCTCAAAAGCAACAATAATTTACATGTTCATGGAGAAAAACACTGATGAAGTAAAAGTATAATTTTCAAGCTATTTGTGTTTATTTGAAAGACATTTTGATGATTTTCTTAAACTAATAATTATACTAAAAACATCCAAATATACAGAAACAATAAATGCAAGATGTTGCATGCAAACGGACCTTCAGTACTGACCAAACATCTTTATAAATGTTTCTTGACTAAACTTTACAAATGAGGAAATAACTGCAGCTGGAACTGATGGAGAAATGTTTTATTTTCTGCTGTAATAAAACTCCTCCATATTTTCCTGTAATGTGTTTCTGTCTGCAGCAGGTTGAATGTGAGCAGATTCTACTGAAGGGCGGCGTTTCCACTCTGCTTTGGACCAAACAGGAACTGGTTGTGTTTTCCGTCAGGCTCCTCCTGGGCTCATGACGGGACAGACTGGTTTCAGAACCGTCATTCTGGTTCTGAGTTATGAGGCTGAGAGCATCGATCAGCCAAACGCTCGCCGTCTGACGACGAACAACCGGCTCTCCACTCCATTTACAGACATTTCCACTGAACGTTAAATCAGAAGGTAAGAAAACCTGTTAAATTAAATCTGGTTAACTGGTCAACTGGTTAACTGGTTAACTGGTTAACTGGTTAACTGGTCAACTGGTTAACTGTGCTCACATTGCAGTTTGAAGCTGGTTTTTGGTATGTTTGTAAATTTGTGTTTTTGGTAAAGTACAATAATGATAAAGTATTGAACATATGGATCTAATAACATCAACACTGTGACGTAATCAGTGCAAAAAATGCAGGAAGTGTCAAAACTACCCAGACAACTTTGGCTTAAGATGAGTGTTAATAATTAATGCTGATAGTGTGAGAATTTTAAAGCATTTTGAAACATAAATGATTCATTTTGCATCTTACTAATGGAAATAAAACGGTTAATAATACATAATCTGACCAGAAACACTGTGGATGTGCCATGTTGAAGGGAATAATTTAGTGATGACTCAGCATGTTATTCTTTATGATAAGGTGTGAAAAATGAATGCTGGACATTTTTCACCTGAAACAAGAAATGGTGTGGAAGCTGAGCGTCAGGGTGAAGCTCAGAGGTGAGATTATAATCTGTTATAAGCTGCTCATTTCGCTGACGCTGCATTTCAACGCTCCGCTCTGTGATTCGTTTGTTAAAGAAAAAACCTGCAAATGGCAGAACCCAGCGGATCAGAACCCAGCGGATCAGAACCCAGCGGATCAGAACCCAGAAAGCAGCTCCGGATGAATAAACGCTCCAAAGATTTTGATCTGGATTTTAAAGTCTCGCCTCGTGAGACGCAGTGAGTAAAGTTTTATTCTCTAACTTTCTGTGACTCATCAGGAAAACCAACACTGACCCGTTTGTTGCTTTAAAGCTTTGAGCAGAAAAACGAAAGCAAATGTTCTGGAACTGGACCAGAACCAAGACCAGAACCAAGACCAGAACCAAGACCTGAACCAAGACCAGAACCAAGACCAGAACCAAGACCAGAACCAAGACCAGAACCAAGACCAGAACCAAGACCAGAACCAAGACCAGAACCAAGACCTGAACCAAGACCTGAACCAAGACCAGAACCAAGACCTGAACCAAGACCAGAACCAAGACCAGAACCAAGACCTGAACCAAGACCTGAACCAAGACCAGAACCAAGACCTGAACCAAGACCAGAACCAAGACCTGAACCAAGACCAGAACCAAGACCAGAACCAAGACCAGAACCAAGACCTGAACCAAGACCAGAACCAAGACCAGAACCAAGACCTGAACCAAGACCAGAACCAAGACCAGAACCAAGACCAGAACCAAGACCAGAACCAAGACCAGAACCAAGACCAGAACTGCACGGTGTGTCTTTGAAAAGAGACAAATTTCTCCACATAGTGAAGGATTTCAAACCTTCTCCAGAAACCCGATATGTTTGTGTTTCATGTGATTTGGACCTGATCGGTTCAGTTTCCTTTATTTTGTTTTAATGTCTACATATTGTCAGGCTTTGAGAAAATGATCCATATTTGTTGATAATAATAATAAGAGGTAATTTCTGACTATTTTTACAAGAAATAAACATGTTTGTGTCACATTCTCAATGTCATGGATGATGTTTGAGTTTCAAACTATGAATGAGGGAAAGTGATGATCTCTGAATCAGCACAGAGAACCACCAGCTACTGTTTTAATCATAGTGTCACTTTTACTGATTTCACTGAATCTGCTGGGATTCCAGTAAGTTTGATAACCAGCAGCATTTATTATTGGCTCGAAATCATTTTTTCCAAAAGTTTCTCCAGACGACATGTTGGGAATAAATGGAGTTATTGGATTAGAAAGAGCAGCTTGAAAAGGAAACAGCTAACTACAGAACATCAGTGAATGACTGAAGCTTTTGGAGAGAATATTAAACTTTGTAAAAATAGTTTTGGCCGATTTGTAAATAAAACGTTGTTTGTATTTAAATGTAGGAAACGTTGTTCTGAGTTTGCAGTAGAAAAGCTGCGTCTCAGATTAGATCAGAACAGAAATAGAAACAAATGCAGCAGTTTATGTTCGTCACGTTTCCATTCTAATTCGATTGATGTGATTTTGCTCAGTAAAGCTCCAGGCTCTCCGGTTCCCAGCCTGTCGGTGAGGAGCGACTCTTCCATGCAGATCGCATCACGGTTTAAAAACAGACGTCAAACTTTTCACCACAGGTAAATCAGTTCTGCTAAACGCTGATTACAGTTGGATCAACTCGTGTGGCTTTAGTTTAAATCTACATTTTTGCGTTTCCAGCGTCAGCCAAGAGTTTCCAGGTGAATCTGATGAACCTGCTGCAGTCCAGCATCAAAAAGAGCTCAACTCTGTATTTAAGGTAAAATGATAACAACCTTAAGAGATAAAGAAAAAACTATTAAATCTGAAGTTGTAACGCACAACCAGTCTGATTGCTTACATTATCTTTCTGCATTATTGATTTATTGATGCCACAGGAAGTGATCAGAAGTGGCCGACGCTGTTATCACTTCAGGGTCAATGAGTTTGAGTTTCTGCATCGTCTGTGAAATGAAAGTGAATGTTTCTGTTCCAGACGCTCGAGGAAAACCTCATGACTTTCATGAGAACTGAGCTGCAGAAGTTTCAGACGATTCTGACTTCTGGTCATTCAGAAGCTCTAGAAAAGCAGCAGCAGGAAGAAGAGGAGAGAAACTCTGCAGACGGGAAACAGGCGAAGGGCAGCAGGGAGACGTTTCTGAAACTGTCGCTGCAGTTCCTGAGGAGAATGAGGAGAGACGATCTGGCCGACTGTTTGTGGAACAGTAAGAGGATTTCAACTGATTCAGTTTCACTGTTTTTCTTTTCATATCATGCAGACATCTAAACCACATCCATAAATGTGAAATGAAAAATAACTATTGATTGTTGCATTTAGATGTTTTGACCTCATTGACTGTTTCAGGAACTTGTGCAACAGATTGCACTCAAAACCTGAAGTCCAGCTTGAGGAAAAGATTCTGCTGCGTGTTTGAGGGTCTGGCTAAAGCAGGAAATCCAACACTTCTCCATCAGATCTACACAGAGCTGTACATCACAGAGGGAGGGGATGCAGAGATCAGCGGAGAGCACGAGGTCAGGCAGATCGAAGACGCGTCCAGGAAGCAGCGTGTTCAGGAAAAAACCATCACACAGGAAAACATCTTTAAAGCTTCATCTGGCAAAGACAAACCAATCAGAACAGTGATCACTAAGGGAGTCGCTGGCATTGGGAAGACAGTCCTGACGCAGAAGTTCGCTCTGGACTGGGCAGAAAGCAGAAGCAACCAGGACATCCAGTTCATTTTCCCCTTCACTTTCAGAGAACTCAATGTTCTTAAAGACAAACGCTTCAGTTTGGTTGAACTTGTTCATCATTTCTTTAATGAAACCAAAGAAGCACAACTCTGCAGATTTAACGACTTCCGAATCGTGTTCATCTTCGACGGACTGGATGAGTGTCGACTTCCTCTGGACTTCCACAGAAATGAGATCCTGACCGACGTGACCGAGCCCAGCTCTCTGGACGTTCTGCTGACAAACCTGATCCGGGGGAAGCTGCTTCCCTCCGCTCGCCTCTGGATAACCACACGACCCGCGGCAGCCAATCAGATCCCTGCTGAATGTGTCGACATAGTTACGGATGTGAAGGGGTTCACTGACGTGCAGATGGAGGAATATTTCAGAAAGAGGTTTGCAGACCAGAAGGAGGCCAACATGATCATCTCCCACGTCAAGATGTCACAAAGCCTCCGCATCATGTGCCACATCCCGGTCTTCTGTTGGATCAGCGCCACCGTTCTGGAAAACGTTCTGAAAAACAGACAAGGACGAGAGCTACCCAAGACCCTGACTGAGTTATACATCTACTTCCTGCTGGTTCAGAGCAAAGTGAAGCAACTGAAATATGAAGGAGGAGCAAATACAGATTTAACCTGGAGTCCAGAGAGCAGGAAGATGATCAAGGCTCTGGGGAAACTGGCTTTTAAGCAGCTGCAGAAAGGAAATCTGATCTTCTGTGAAACCGATCTGACAGGATCTGGCATTGATATCAAGGCGGCTTCAATTTATTCAGGCGTGTTCACACAGATCTTTAAGGAGGAGAGCGGGATTTACCAGGAGAAGTTGTTCTGCTTCATCCATCTGAGTGTTCAGGAGTTTCTGGCGGCTCTTCATGTCCATCTGACCTTCATGAACTCTGGAACCAACCTGCTGGACGACACGCATCCAAAACAAAGGCTATCTAAGGGCTTGAAGACGCAGCCTAACGTACGAAAGCTGCACCAAACCGCTGTAGACAAAGCTTTACAAAGTCCAAATGGTCACCTGGATCTAGTCCTTCGCATTCTCGTCGGTCTGTCACTGCCAGCCAATCAAACTCTCCTCCGAGGCCTGCAGACTCAAACCGCAAACATCTCACAATCAAATCAGGAAACAGCCGAATACATCAAGAAGAAGATCAGTGACAGCCTGTCTGCAGAGAAAAGCATCAACCTGTTCCACTGTCTGAATGAGCTGAACGACCGATCCCTGGTGGACGAGATCCAGCTGTATCTGAGGTCAGGAAGTCTGAGCACACGGAACCTGTCTCTGGGTCAGTGGTCGGCTCTGGTCTTCATCTTACTGTCATCAGAAAAAGATCTGGACGAGTTTGACCTGAGAAAATATTCAGCCTCAGAGGACGCGCTTCTGATGCTGCTGCCAGTGGTGAAAGCGTCCAGCAAAGCTCTGTAGGTGTTTGGATTCACACAAAAATAACTCACAATGCAAATCAAGAGTCATTTTCAGTTTCCTGTCAATTGTTTTTCAGGCTGAGGAACTGCACCCTCACTGAGAAAACCTGTGAAGCCATGTCGTCAGTCCTGAGCTCCCCGGGTTGCTGCTTGAGAGACGTGGACCTGAGTCACAACGACCTGGAGGACGCAGGCATGAAAACGTTGTCTTCTGGGATGTTGGCTCAACAATGTAGCCTGGAATCACTGAGGTACGAAGTCATAGAAACATCAGTGATGGACGAACTTCCTCCAGTCTGTGGCTTCAGGTGAGCAGTAACAACCACTTTTCACAATCTGTGTCATATTTTCCCTTTGCGTGTTTTTCAGGGTAGCCGACTGCAACCTGTCACAGAAGAGCTGTGAGACTCTGACCTTGTGCCTCCGAGCAAAGAGCCTGAGGCTGAAGAGTCTGGATTTGAACCACAACAGCCTGCAGGACGTCGGACTGAAGCAACTTTCTGACGGCTTGAAGAGTCCATACTGCAAATTAGAAAGCATCAGGTAAGAGAAAACATGCAAACCAAACAGTTTTCATTCAAAAAGTCGACCAACATTTTAAAGGAAGTTTTTTAAAGTGAGGTTCATCCAATCTGTGTTAAAATGAAAATGATTCTAACCGTTTGCAGTTTGACGGCGTGCGGCCTCTCGGAGCAGAGCTGTGAATCTCTGGCCGCGGCGCTCAGCTCTCCCTCCTGCAGCCTCCGATCTCTGAACATGAGCAGCAACAACCTGGGAGATTCGGGCCTGAAGCGTCTCTGTGCCGAACTGCAGAGCAAACACTGTCAGATGGAGACCGTCATGTTCGTTGGCTTAATCAATAACGCTTCCAGCACTGACCTCTGGAACTCGGTCATCAAGATCCAGACAATTAACGGAGTGACTGACATGAAATTCACAGCCTTCAGTTCATTCCTGCCTTCACCAACGTGAAAGTAGAATCCAGATTTCAGATCCATTCCGATCTGATCAAATGGGACGAATCAATAATCAATCAAATCCTGACATCAATGTCTCTTTTTGTCTCTCTGACAGTTTGAAGCTGCCTCCACCTGAATGTTTTCTCATTTGCATTTTAAGTTGTTTTCACCATAAAACAACTTTCTAATGACATATTTTCTTGAATAATATAAATTTTTTACTATTTTTCAAATGTAACAGCTGCAGGTTGTCACCAGCATTTGGTGTGAATTTCATGTCAGTGGATTCATTACATTTACTGTGTGAAATGGTGATGCATTTAGTAATTAACTCCCCCATTGTTATTATTACAGTTATTGGCTAAATGCCATTCAAAATAAGACTTCAGAAAATAACCATGAAATTGACTGAACATTAATCCTTTTTCATGTTTTTATTTTTCTAGACTCTGTGGATGCCAGCTCTCAGAAAGATGCTGTAAATATGTATCTGCAGTTCTCAGCACTCAGCCGTCCAAACTGAGACATCTGGACCTGAGTAACAACAACCTGAGAGACGCAGGAGTGCAGCAGCTGTCCACTGGGCTGGGCAGTCCTCACTGCAAGCTGGAGACGCTCAGGTCTGACCGCTCTGATGCCTTTTCATCATTCTTCAGACCCAAACGTAACTCAGGATGTTCCTCAAACACCAGGCTGTCAGGCTGTCTGGTCACAGGAAAAGGCTGCGGCTTCCTGGCGTCGGCGCTGAGCTGCAACCCGTCGCATCTGAGCGAACTGGACCTGAGCTGCAACCACCCAGGAGCCGTCGGCAAGCAGATGCTGTCTTCTGAGGGTCCAAAGTGGAAACTGGCTGCTTTGAGGTACGACCACAAGAAAAGACCCGCGTTCACAATCTGCTCTTCTGATTATCAGAAAATACATCATATTTTATATGAGTCACATTAAAGTTCATTTAATTCCCAGTTTTTTGCTCTTCTTCCTGCTGGATTTGTTTCCAAGCTGTTTTAACTCGAGGAGCAAAAACAGATTGATGAATTTTACTGGCAGCCAATCAGAAAATGAGCATCTGAAAAATATTGGAAATCAATTATTTTAACTTTTATTTATGTATTTTATAAATGACATAATGACAGAAAGATAAAAACATTCATGGAATTTGCTTTTTTTATTTTTTCCCCTCAAGTTTTATTTGAGGCCCCAAAGTTTAAACGCTGGTTTAGAAATATTGGTTATAATAACAATTTATTATAGGAAAAGGAGAAAATGAAAAGCCCTCATCATAAATGTCTCTACATATGAGACACATAAAAAACAAACGTGTGTAAAGTTTGTTGTTGCTCTGCAGTTTGGACCGAGGCGGAGAACACAGGCTGAGACCTGATGTCAGGAAGTGTAAGTTTCATAAACAATTAGATATAAATGATTCTCTTATGGCATCATTTAAGATTTAATTTTCCCTCTGCATCAGATTTCTGTGAACTTGAGGTGGACATGAACTCAGTGAACAGACATCTCCGCCTGTCTGACAGCAACACAACGATCACACAGGTGAAGGAGGAGCAGCCGTACCCGGATCACCCCAACAGATTCCAGGCCTGCTGGCAGCTCATGTGCAGAAACGGCCTGACTGGTCGCTGTTACTGGGAGGTGGAGTGGAAGGAAGCAGTTCTCATCTCTGTCAGCTGCAAAGGAATCAAACGAAGTGGAAAAAGTGAGGCCTGCAGGTTTGGAAGGAACGATCAGTCCTGGACGCTGGAGTGCTCTGATGTGTTTGGCTTCACTGCCTGGCATGTGAACAGAGAAACCACCATCCCTGGTTCTCCTGCCGGCCACAGAGTGGGAGTTTATCTGGACCATCCTGCAGGAACGCTCTCCTTCTACGACGTCTCCTCCAACTCGTTGAAGCATCTCTACACCTTCTGCGCCACATTCACTGAACCCGTTTATCCCAGTTTTGGTTTGTGGTCTGGAGCCTTCGTGTCACTGAGTTCAGCAGCTTCACAGAAACCGACAGCTTGAAGCTGTTTGAGTAGAAATAGAAAAGCTTCACATAATTATAGCTGTGCTACACTTCTAGAAGTAAAATGTAAATATCTGTCATGTTTTCTACAAAACCCAATGATAAACCCAGTTTATGATGGAGAGGAACAGAACCATTAACAGAACCATTAACAGAACCATTAACAGAACCGTTAACAGAACCGCATCTCTGTTGGCCCTTTAATCCATTGTTACATGCAGTAATGTGCTTTTCCGAGCCGTCTTTAAACGCATCATGACCAGCATGTTGTGACTGTAGGAGGCGCTGTTGCACTTTAACACTTTGCTGTAAAATATCAGTTTTAAAAGAGAAACAAACACAAAAATAAAGAAAAAGCAGAAAAACAAATAAAAACTAATATTTAATGGTTCAGTGGTTTCTGATATATTTCCATAATAAACATAATAATGGTGTCAAATTTTAGGGAGCAGCTTTAAATTATGATGTACTTTATGATATTTAATGCCTGTTATAGAAAATAAATTTCTGTACATTTGTCTCTGTTTATTAGTAATATTGTAAATTCATTATTGATTTGATTCTGTGGATCATTTCTGTAAGTTCTGAGGAATTTGGTTCATAGCAAATAAAAAACATAAACTCACTTTGTCAATAAATGACAGGAATAATGAGTGTCACTGTGTGCTGCAGAAACGTTGGCTTTGTGCTGCAGAAACGTTGACTTTGTGCTGCAGAAACGTTGGCTTTGTGCTGCAGAAACGTTGGCTTTGTGCTGCAGAAACGTTGGCTTTGTGCTGCAGAAACGTTGACTTTGTGCTGCAGAAACGTTGGCTTTGTGCTGCAGAAACGTTGACTTTGTGCTGCAGAAACGTTGGCTTTGTGCTGCAGAAACGTTGGCTTTGTGCTGCAGAAATGTGCTCAGCCGGAACAGTTTTATCTTTTATCAGCTTGAATGAAACTCATGTAACTGTGACGTGAAAACCAGCAGAACCTGTGGAGAGATGGAGACAAACAAATCAACGTCTTCTTCCTTCTTCCTTCCTCTCTCAGGTTTGGGGGATTTTTTTAGTTTTGTTTTCTGGACATTAAGTTTATTAGACATCATTGTTGTCTCTAATAACAGGATATTTTCACTGGGACAATAAAATGGAAATAAAACTCTTTTCTCTTCAAAACGATCCTGAAGATGAATATATTGTGTTTCTGAATTATTTTCCAGGAATTAGTCAGTCCTTTGAATCAGATAATATAAGTTTATATATGAATTATAACCAATAACAGACTAAAATGTGGGGATGGATCCATCAAAATGTTGCGTCTTAAACTTTAAATCCTCTGACCTTCGAGGCTCAACTCCACAACCTGAATCCATTTCCTCATTTAATGGGAGAAATATTCAGCAGTTCTGAAGAACATAGATCACACATTTATCCTGCAGACTGGAGCAGCGAAATGTTAGTAAATTAAAGCACATTAAATACTTTAAACATAAATGCATGTTTTTAAATTGGATGACATTTCACTCTCTCTGTTTGTAGGAGTTATTGCTGCAGAAATCATTGACTCAATGCAGAGTTGGCAGAAAATGTGTTTTTATGTAACCTGATTATGTGCTTAAAATGACTCAATTTAATGAATAAATTAAATCAGTTCATCTTGTAAAGTTGCAGGAATGATGGTGTAATTACCGGTTATCTCCACTAGGTGGTGGAAACTGATCAAAATCAGTTATTTGTCCTTCAGATCAAAACATTTAATCTGAACACATTAATACTCAGGCTGAGTTTTACTGGATTCACCTCTAAAATACTAATTAGACAGAAGTTTTTTCCAGGTGTTTCTCAGTAAATCTGAATATTAATTGACTGTAAAGTTCATCCACTCAGTCGCTGGCAGAGGCTCCTATTGCATTAATTATTGCATTAACAGGTTATGGAAAACATCAGGATTCCCCTTTAGCAAAGTTTTCCTGAACTTGAACCTGGAGTCAGTTTGTCAGAACAAACAGCCGGTGAACTTTGACCCTCTGGTCTGAAGCAACATGTGAGTTTTAGTTGGAGGTTCAACAGGAGAAGCAGCTGCTCTGAACTTTCTGCTCTCCTCTGAGGAAACTGAGGAAAACCTTCAGGATGGCTGAGAGACGGACGCCGGCCAATCCTGCAGCGGCGCCGGACTTCTTGGAGTTTAACGACCTGGCCTGCGAGTCGGTGGGAGGGAAGGTGAATAATGTGGAACCGGAAAGAAAATTACACATTAACTAGTAAACTGTCACAGATTCATGTTGTTTCCAAATGGAGGACGAAATATTAGCGTGACATAAAGTGAAAATGTCAAACTTTGGAGCATTTTGAACCTTTTGGAGGAAAATACATAGGAATGATTAATTCCTCCCTGTACCTATTATTACGGCCTCTTCAGGGTTTTTCTGATATTGCAAAACATGACTGTGTTTGAACTGAAGTTGATCTGAAATAATCATATTTACCAAATTTACAATCTGCTAAATGTATGTCCAATTTGCTCAATCTGAAAGTTTCAGAGACTGAAATGAAAAGATAAATTTAAGCAGCAACTTTACCTTTCATTGCTCTGCCACTAACATGGAGCTTCGTCTCATTTCTGCAGGTTATTTTTGCCACAGATGAATGGTTCGCTCCGGCTAAGAACCTGCTGAAGGTGAAAGTCTGCATGACTGGATCTGATTATTAAATACAAATCTCTCTAAATATGGAAAATAAAACACCAACAAGCAACTCAGAGCCAAAACAGCTGTAGATCAAATGTTTATATCGGCATTTTCTTTGGCTCGACATCCAGTCCCGATTAAAAACGTTTAAATTTGAGCCATAAATGAATATTTTAATTCTAAACGAGTTCTTTCCCGTTTGTTTCGCTGTTGTTACAGCGGGAGCCTCCGCAGTTCATCCCCTCGGCCTTCACAGAGTATGGAAAGTGGATGGACGGATGGGAGACGAGGAGGAAGAGGACCCCTGGTGAGCACCTGAAACCAAACCAGTAAAACCTGAAACCAAACCAGTAAAACCTGAAACCAAACCAGTAAAACCTGAAACCAAACCAGTAAAACCTGAAACCAAACCAGTAAAACCTGAAACCAAACCAGTAAAAATGAATCGGTTTCTGATCAGACTCAATCATAGAAACACAGAAACCTGATAATTACATGTTATAAAGTTTACAGAAATGTTTTCACCAGTTCAAATGTTAGAAAACCAGTTTGAGTGAAATTTTGTTTTTACAGTAAAAACGTTAAAACAGAAAGAAAGTTATTGAAAATGGTCGTTTTAAACTTTTTTCATGTTTTCTCTTCATAATCACCAAAAATATTTTGTTGTTTTGTTAAAGGAGAATCATGATGGGAAACAAAGGGGAGAATTATTTCACATATTTTAACCAACTCAGAATCTGAAAAGTGTGGCAAGCATCTGCATTCAGAGCCAGATGTTCTCCGTTCGACTGAACTGGAGATGTTTTATAAAAACATGAAGGTAAATTTGGTTCTGATTCAGGGCTGAAAATAAATCTGCTCCACACTTTCCAGATATTTAATTTTGCAAAAACCTTTTCGGTTCCACTTCATGACCTCGCCCTGCTTTCCGCTGGTCCTTCAGAAAGCAGCTTCATAAAGACATAAAGCCACAGCAAGTCCTGCAAAATGATCATTTTCAAGAATAAAGTCAAACATTTCCTCAACTCCTGCATGGAATCATCATTTTACCAGAAACGTCTGAAACGTCTCATGATGGTGGTTGTGCTCTCCTCCCTCTGAAGGTCATGACTGGTGCATCGTCCAGCTGGGAGTTCCTGGTCTGATCTGTGGGCTGGATGTGGACACGTCTTTCTTCACTGGGAACCAGTCGCCGTGGGTCTCCGTCCAGGCCTCCTGCCTCGGTACCGACCTGCAGCCGTCCTGATGCTCTGACCGCTCCACCTTTCACTCTGATATGTGAGTTCAATCCCCACCAGATGAGCTGCCCCGGTTCACCGCCGGGGAAGATCGGACCGGCATGGCCGCCACCGGAGCCGAGATGGCTGCTGTTGCCCAGGTAACCGTCAGTGTGGCGCTATAAAGGCGTCGTCCTGGTGACGGGAGCCGACTGACATCATGTGTTGGTGCTGATGGGCAGCTGAGCTCGGAGTTTTGGCCGGAGCTGCTGGGCGTGTCGGCGCTGCGGCCCGGATACGCTGACAGCTGTCACAACCTCTTCCGGGTCAGAACCAAGACGAGAGTCACACACCTGCGGCTCAACATGCATCCAGGCACGTCAGACATGGGGTCACAAGAGGTCACACAGGGTCACATGGGGTCACACGGGTTCACACGGGGTCACACGAGGTCACAAGGGGTCACACGAGGTCACATGGGGTCACACAGGGTCACACAGGGTCACATGGGGTCACACGGGGTCACATGGTGTCACACAGGGTCACACGGGGTCACACAGGGACACACAGGGTCACACGGGGTCACACGAGGTCACAAGGGGTCACACGAGGTCACATGGGGTCACACAGGGACACACAGGGTTACACAGGGTCACACGGGGACACACGGGGTCACACGGGGTCACATGGTGTCACACAGGGACACACAGGGTCACACAGGGACACACAGGGACACACGGGGTCACACAGGGTCACACGGGGACACACGGTGACACACAGGGTCACATGGGGTCACACAGGGTCACATGGTGACACACAGGGTCACACGGGGTCACACAGGGTCACATAGGGACACACGAGGTCACACAGGGACACACGGGGTCGCATGGGGTCACACAGAGACACACGGGGTCACACAGGGTCACATGAGGTCACACAGGGACACACGGGGTCGCATGGGGTCACACAGAGACACACGGGGTCACAGAGGGTCACACGGGGTCACACAGGGTCACACGGGGTCACACAGGGTCACACGGGGTCACACAGGGTCACACGGGGTCACACAGGGTCACACGGGGACACACAGTGACACACAGGGTCACACAGGGTCACATGGGGTCACACAGGGTCACACGGGGTCACACAGGGTCACACGGGGTCACACAGGGTCACATAGGGACACACGAGGTCACACAGGGACACAGGGGTCGCATGGGGTCACACAGAGACACACGGGGTCACACAGGGTCACATGAGGTCACACAGGGACACACGGGGTCGCATGGGGTCACACAGGGTCACACGGGGTCACAGGGGTCACACAGGGTCACACAGGGACACACAGGGCCACACGGGGTCACACAGGGACACATGGGGTCACACGGGGTCACACAGGGTCACGCGGGGTCACATGGGGTCACATGGGGTCACACAAGGTCACATGGGGTCACACAGGGACACACGGGGTCACACAGGGACACACGGGGTCACATGGGGTCACACAGGGTCACACGGGGACACACAGGGACACACAGGGTCACACAGGGTCACACAGGGTCACATGGGGTCACACAGGGACACACGGGGTCGCATGGGGTCACACAGAGACACACGGGGTCACACAGGGTCACATGAGGTCACACAGGGACACACAGGGTCACATGGGGTCACACAGGGACACACGGGGTCGCATGGGGTCACACAGAGACACACGGGGTCACACAGGGTCACACGGGGTCACACAGGGACACACAGGGTCACATGGGGTCACATGGGGTCACACAAGGTCACACGGGGTCACACAGGGACACACGGGGTCACACAGGGTCACACGGGGTCACACATGGGTCACACGGGGACACACAGTGACACACAGGGTCACACAGGGTCACATGGGGTCACACAGGGTCACACGGGGTCACACAGGGTCACACGGGGTCACACAGGGTCACATAGGGACACACGAGGTCACACAGGGACACACGGGGTCGCATGGGGTCACACAGAGACACACGGGGTCACACAGGGTCACACGGGGTCACACAGGGTCACACGGGGACACACAGTGACACACAGGGTCACACAGGGTTACACAGGGTCACATGGGGACACACGGGGTCACACGGGGTCACATGGTGTCACACGGGGTCACACAGGGACACACTGGGTCACACGGGGTCACATGGGGTAACACGGGGTCACACAGGGACACACGGGGTCACACAGGGACACACGGGGTCACATGGGGTCACACAAGGTCACACGGGGTCACACAGGGACACACGGGGTCACACAGGGTCACACGGGGTCACACATGGGTCACATGAGCACAGCAAGAAACGATCACATGACGGTCAAACTGGTTTGTGTCCAGATGGAGGAATCGCCAGACTCAGGGTCTTCGGTATCGGACTCAGGGATTGGTCTTCAGTCCCGACCAATCAGGACGTGGACCTCGTCGCGCTGACCAATGGGGGCGTCTGCCTGGGCTACAGCGACGCCCACTTTGGACATCCGCGCAACATGATTGGTTGGATTTAACTCAGTCCACGTTGTTATGATGGTCAAATGTTTAAAGTGTGTGATTTCCAACATGGCCGCCGTCCGTTCAGCTGCAGTAACTTACAACCAATCAGCTCACAGACTTTACAGCCTCTTCAGTGGAAACGTTGCTTTTTCTCTGAACTCATGAAATTGTCTCTAAAAATGATTCATAAACTTTTCTTGTAAATTACAAAACAGCAGAAAGTCCCTCTGGTTTCTGAGCAGAATCCAGTAGAACTCTGGGTTCTGGTTCTGGTTTCATAGAACCGAGCAGTTGGGCATGAAAACGGGCCGAACCAGGAGGGAAAACATAAAACATGAAAAAACTAAACACAATCAAATTTATGATCAGAAAACATAAAAACACATTTTTAAAAACAAAGTTGAAAAGCCGACAAAGTGATGAGAAAAATGAAAAGCAAATGAGAAAACCGAGTTAAAAAATGGAGGATAAAGAATGAATTAGTCATTCATTTCTGAGTTGTTTGTGCAAACAGATTATCAAAGCATAGAGGAGTCGACACTGAACCACACACTGATTATTATTTATCCTCATTAAAATAAAAACTTTCTGAGTCCAGTTTGTCCACCTGCTGCTCTGAGTCACTGGACCATTTTCTGTAGGAATGATTTCTCTGTTTTTACAGGACTTGGTCGAGCCGCCAACATGGCGGACGGATGGGAAACGGCCCGCAGACTGGACCGGCCCAAAACGCTGAAGGTTTCAAAGAACCAACAACAAAATGTTTTGGTTTTTATTGGACATATTTCCACTTTCAGTTTGTTTAATAATCTACAATCAAAGATGCTTTTATTTTATGCTACAATAAAACAGGAAATCATAAAGCAGAGCAGTTGGACAATTCAATGGATCAGTAACTAAAGACTGAAACACAGAACCCAGTTCAACCTGGTCAAAACTTTTCAGTAAAATGTGAAAGTGCTGAGTTTAGAGAAAGTTGTTTTCTAAAAACTACATTAAGTTGTTTTCCTAACTATTCGCAGGGATGAATCCTAAAGCAGAACCATGAAAAGCTCAGCAGAGATCATTCTGTCCATCTGGAGGTTCAGGTGACGCCATGTTTCTCCCTTCCTGTCGCCTTGCAGGCAGACGGCCGGGGAATCCTCCAGGTGCCAGGCTGGGAGTGGGCCGTGTTTCGCCTCGGTCATCCCGGCCTGATCGGCAGCGTCGAGGTGGACACCAACCACTTCAAAGGCAGGTGCAGCCGAGACACGGCGACTGCGGCTGCCGCGACCTCCAGGAGCAAATCCATCTTTTCATCCTTCTGTTTCCCACTCAGGTAATTTCCCAGACTCCTGTCGGATCGAGGCGTGTCTGTTAACCCCTGAAGAGGAGGCGCGGTGCATCCAAACCAGATGGAACTCTGGGAAATGGGAAGTTCTTCTTCCACCTCAGAAGGTTAACATTTAGCGCCACTGAGATCCTCCTACTCCGTCATCGTCTTCCTCACCTCCGTCTTCCTCTCTGTGCTTCAGCTCCGTCCTCATCACAGGCATCACTACAGCGAAGCGGATCTGACGCCGACTCGACCCGTCAGCCATGTTCGGCTCATCATCGCTCCTGATGGAGGCGTCAGCCGCCTCCGTCTGTGGGGTCGGCCCGCGTTGGTCACCGGCGCTCCAGCCAATCAGAGCAGGCCGTCATCCAAACTGTGACCTGCTGCAACATCACTGACCTCAGCATGAGGGAGAGCAGAGGCTCTTATAATGGAGACATCATGATCATCTAAATGGAAAAGTTTCAATCAAAGAAAAGTCAACTAGTGTAACAAACCCACAGAAAACTTTCTGTAGGTTTGTTAGAAAAGCAAATGTTTATCTCTGTGGTCTGTCTGTCCCCTGATAACGAGGACATGTGGACACAGATGCTCTGCGTCTCTTGGAGACGTTTTTAGACAGAGTTGTTCTGTTCGGATGTCTGGATGTTGAATTTGTGATTTGGTTTTATTTGGATCCGGTTGGTCGACTTCCTGAAGGCCGATTTTCAAACTGTTCAACTATGACGTCAAATTTCCTTTAAATTGTTTTGATACGAACAACATTTTTATCACAACTGAAGGTAACGTTGTTACTAGACTGTGCTATGGAAATATATGACACTGCCCCTTTAAGAGAGCCTGTTTTCTTCTAATAAAACGTCGTCTTCATTTCCATCCTCCCTGGACTCAGGTTGGTCCACCAGGAGACATTTATCTGTTTTACTCACAGTTTCTCACAACATCCATTTGTTTAGATTTACGTTTATCGGCTTCTTCTTCTCCAGCTGCATTTTCTCCCCAATTAGTAACATGAAATAAACAATGTGAGGTCAGCTGAGGATCAACATTTAGTTGTTTTAAATAATATTTCTAATCGGCATTGATTTGGTCTGGATTGATTTCCTCTCCTGCTCGTCTTTATGGCTCGTCTGTTTCCTCCAGCAGCTCCAACCGAATGAAGCGTCAAACTGCTGCTCCTGAAATGCGTCACCTGACATTTTCTGCATCGTCCATTTCAATGTGCAGCTGCTGTGTTTAGACATCGGAAGCTCCGCCCCCACCATCACTCACAGCTCTGAGCATAAACCTGACCTCTGACCCCATCTGGGCAGCCTCAGCGCTGAGGCAGCCATGTTTGTCAGCTGCTCAGATGTTGGTGAAATTACAGTAATTATCCACGCTGTGTGGTCCCGGTGTGTTGGAGTCAGTGTGTGACTGCTGACTTTGACCTCCACTCATTTCCCACCTCAGTGGGTTTTCACCAGATGTTGGACATCGCAGGAACATTTTCCACAACTCACTGATCTGTTGTTTGAAGGGGAAATTTATAACTCAGATATATGTTTAAATAGCATTTCCACACGAGATAAATCAATAAAGGCCTCATTTGGGTTTCATAAAATACATTTTTTCTTTTTAAGATTAATAATTATGAGACTATATTATCTGGAAAACATTTTTAAAAACCACATTTTGTAAATAAAATGTGTTTAACAGAAAAAAGGTTTTCTGTTTTATTGATGGGCCGTAGAATAGCTCCCCCTTGTGGTCTTATTACAGTAATACATATTTTTGACCTGTGGGACAAATTGACTGAAAGGTCCATAAAATACAAAAAGAAAACAGCTCTTCATATTTATGTATTCATAAATAAGTACAACCTGAGTATGCAGCATGTTGGTAAAAAGAAGTTGATACTAAATTGAATGTGAACAGCAGAAACCTGATCAGTTCAGAAGTTTCCTGAGGCATTTATCCGAGGTGAAACAGACGACTTGTGTAACATCAGGATTTGTTTTTCCTGCTGGTCGTGGTGATGCATCAAGCTGCGCTTTTAATCTGAAACAATAAACACTGCAGAGTCCCCAAACTCTGTTCTTTAAATAACTTTAACCCCAAACTCAAACCCGTGTTGCTGCAAGGCAGGAACAGCAGCACCAACTTCACCGCTGTTCCCTTTAAGAAACCAATAAAACTCTAAAAAAGAGATTCAAGGTCAAGAAAAAAAATATCTGTAATTTTTAGGTAGATGATCTCAAACTATTCTGATAATAAATTAAAGTTCAGAATGGATTTAGTGTCATTTCTGCAAAAAGTCTCTGTTCTTAGGAACCTTAAACCTGGACGCTAATGAGTGAAGCTAACATGCAGCATAAAAACAGCAGACAGTTTCTTTGATAAATTGGTTGGACAGGAACTGGAGGCTCCAGCTGGACGGACAGTTTAGCTGAATATGAATATTTTAGTTGCCTCACCTGCCTTTTCCTTCCCTGGGTGTTCAGGATAAATGGTTCCCCAGCTGCCTGAGCTCCATTTAAAGGTTCCAGGTTATCGTCTGAAAATGGGAAAAATACTAGTTAGTATTTCTGGTCAAAGGTTTTATCATTAAAATGTTATGCTGACTTATGATGCATAATTCTCTAACTGGAAACTCTTGATCTGATCTGGCAATAAAGCGCAAGAAAAAAAATGGTTTCATTTCTGCCAACTCCCAATAAATGAAAGGTTAAGTATCAATACAGCAGAAATAAATAGCAGTGATTTTATTCAGTGACGGATGTCCTGAACTGGACCTGCTCTCAGAGCGGCGCTGACCCAGATTCCTCCTCTGCTTCCAGTCTTTGAAGGCTCATCATCGACCGCTCTGACGTTAATAAAGATGAAGCACAGAAAAGGAAATTAAAGCCCAGCTTCCCTTTTCTAACGAGATCATATCCATCATGGTCTGATCTTTGACCTTCACTGCAACCTCCTCAGAGCGCCACAAAACAACTAATGCTGCAAAATCCTGAAGCTCCTCCAGCAGGAAGACAACTACACCTAAATGATGTCCCATGAAGCAAAGCTCTTCAGCTGAGACATCTCAACAGCTTTTTTATTCAACAGGGGGCAACAGAGACACAGAGCAGCGACTGGAGACACCAAACCCACTGACAGCTCAGATGTTATGCAAATTAGCTCCTCGTCTGATTCCTGTGTGTCTGAATGCTGGGGGGCGGCAGCATCATGAAAAATGGCTTTTAAGCTTAATGGGAATTCACTTAAAAACATAATTTAGCTCCTGCAGCGCAGCAGAGCAGAAAGCAGCGTGAGGCATTCATCTGCCGCTGGAACCTGAACATCACGCTCACTGAGGTCCATGCATTTTCTCATGCAGGTTCTGAGAAATGAAAAACTGTAAACAGTTTATGGGTGTTGGAGATTTACAGCTGGTAATTAATAGGACTTCAGCTGTTTCCTTAGTGGTTACAGGAAGCGTGAAGAACCTGGGCTCTGCATGAAGAGCTCAGCTCTGAATACGGGTTCAGGTGTGAACGGAGCCTTTTGAATATAATAATGCTTGTCTCTGTGTTGTGTGATCTCCATTTAATCTGGCATCGGGTCGCAGGGCGGGAAACGGACCGTTTCACACAGCTGGCAAATGTGACCCACATCTGGTTTATTCATGGCAGTGTGAACGGACCAATTCTGATCTTTCCACATGGATCTGGATTGTGCCACTTCCACACATGGAACTAAATCATGTTCAACAGTTTTCAAAGCATCTGCAGTCTGGATGAAATGCAGTCAACTCGCATTTTATCCAACCACAGAAAAACTGGGACCAGAGGATCATGAACAGGTGATTTTACAGTCAATAAGATTCTTTAAATTTACGTTTCATTAGATTTGATTTGTTTTGATCTTCTGATTGTCATCAATACTGTCTTTAATATATAATATTTAGGTGAAACTGAATGTCTCAATTCTTGTTTTGTCAGTCAGTCTTGAGTGAGCCTTATTCCAAAATTAATAATTTAGATTATTTTATTGGTTATGAACTCTGATCAATGCAACATTTTTCACTGAAGAATCAAATTTCATGTTAATTTTGAAGGAAATCTGAAAGCCGTTCATTTTCTCCAAGACGGATGAGTTGATATTCCCTGTGGTGACATCATGACTCGATGAAGTCATGCATCTGGTGATGGTGCAGGGTTAGGGTCAGAGGTCAGGGTCAGAGGTCACCGTCTGTCTGAACGTCGCTGGCTGCTGTAAAACCATCCAATGAGCTTCAGCTCTGGTTCTCTACTGGTTCTCTACTGGTTCTCTACTGGTTCTCTGCTGGTTCTCTACTGGTTCTCTGCTGGTTCTCTACTGGTTCTCTGCTTGTTCTCTGCTGGTTCTCTGCTGGTTCTCTACTGGTTCTCTACTGGTTCTCTGCTGGTTCTCTACTGGTTCTCTACTGGTTCTCTACTGGTTCTCTGCTGGTTCTCTACTGGTTCTCTACTGGTTCTCTGCTGGTTCTCTACTGGTTCTCTACTGGTTCTCTACTGGTTCTCTACTGGTTCTCTACTGGTTCTCTACTGGTTCTCTGCTGGTTCTCTACTGGTTCTCTGCTGGTTCTCTACTGGTTCTCTGCTGGTTCTCTGCTGGTTCTCTACTGGTTCTCTACTGGTTCTCTACTGGTTCTCTGCTGGTTCTCTACTGGTTCTCTGCTTGTTCTCTACTGGTTCTCTGCTGGTTCTCTACTGGTTCTCTACTGGTTCTCTACTGGTTCTCTACTGGTTCTCTGCTGGTTCTCTACTGGTTCTCTACTGGTTCTCTACTGGTTCTCTGCTGGTTCTCTACTGGTTCTCTACTGGTTCTCTGCTGGTTCTCTACTGGTTCTCTACTGGTTCTCTGCTGGTTCTCTGCTGGTTCTCTACTGGTTCTCTACTGGTTCTCTACTGGTTCTCTGCTGGTTCTCTACTGGTTCTCTACTGGTTCTCTGCTGGTTCTCTACTGGTTCTCTACTGGTTCTCTGCTGGTTCTCTACTGGTTCTCTACTGGTTCTCTGCTGGTTCTCTGCTGGTTCTCTGCTGGTTCTCTACTGGTTCTCTACTGGTTCTCTGCTGGTTCTCTACTGGTTCTCTGCTGGTTCTCTACTGGTTCTCTACTGGTTCTCTACTGGTTCTCTACTGGTTCTCTGCTGGTTCTCTACTGGTTCTCTGCTGGTTCTCTGCTGGTTCTCTACTGGTTCTCTACTGGTTCTCTGCTGGTTCTCTGCTGGTTCTCTACTGGTTCTCTGCTGGTTCTCTGCTGGTTCTCTACTGGTTCTCTGCTGGTTCTCTGCTGGTTCTCTACTGGTTCTCTACTGGTTCTCTGCTGGTTCTCTGCTGGTTCTCTACTGGTTCTCTGCTGGTTCTCTACTGGTTCTCTGCTGGTTCTCTACTGGTTCTCTACTGGTTCTCTACTGGTTCTCTACTGGTTCTCTGCTGGTTCTCTGCTGGTTCTCTACTGGTTCTCTGCTGGTTCTCTACTGGTTCTCTGCTGGTTCTCTGCTGGTTCTCTACTGGTTCTCTGCTGGTTCTCTGCTGGTTCTCTACTGGTTCTCTGCTGGTTCTCTACTGGTTCTCTGCTGGTTCTCTACTGGTTCTCTGCTGGTTCTCTACTGGTTCTCTACTGGTTCTCTACTGGTTCTCTGCTGGTTCTCTACTGGTTCTCTGCTGGTTCTCTACTGGTTCTCTGCTGGTTCTCTGCTGGTTCTCTACTGGTTCTCTACTGGTTCTCTACTGGTTCTCTGCTGGTTCTCTACTGGTTCTCTACTGGTTCTCTGCTGGTTCTCTACTGGTTCTCTACTGGTTCTCTGCTGGTTCTCTACTGGTTCTCTACTGGTTCTCTACTGGTTCTCTGCTGGTTCTCTACTGGTTC